AATAATTAGGTTATTAAAATAACCTATTTATTAAGTTCCATTTCCTTAACTTATATTTTATTTTAAAATTAAATTCTATTAAGATTTATAATTAAAATGCTTAATAGATATTTAACTATAACTTTATAACTAGGTAATTATAATTTAAATAATTTATTAATATTAAGATTTAATATTAAAAATAATATAAGTAATATTATTAATATAAAAATATATAAATAATTATTAATAGCTTAATATTTAAAGTATTATAATATAGTTCTACCTTTTATAACTTTTAAAAATAATATATAATAAAGTATTAATTCTTATTATATAATTATAAAATAATAATCCTTATTATAAAGTTTAATATATTTATTTTAACCTTAAATAGTAATAAAGGATTAAAATGCTTTAAAATAGGAGCTTTAATAAATAGAAGCTATAATTTTTTAAAGAATAATTACTCTTCCTTTATAGGGTTAAAGGTATTTTATAATACTTCCTTTATTTTATTAGTTAAAGGGGTTATAATCTTTATATACCCTTTAATAAACCTTTAATAAAACTTTATAAACCTTAAAAATATTTATATAATATAAATAATAATAGGTATTATTTATTATTTAATTACTTTTACTTTATTATAATTTATATTAATACCCTTTAAGGTAATTATAAATTTAAAGAATAAAATATAATTAATAAACTAATTATACTTTTTTAAATTTATATAAAAGCCCTATTTTTTAAGCTTAATTAAAATATTATAAATATATTATAAATACTTTTTATAGTTATTATTATAAATAATAATATTATTTAAATAAATTATATAAATATAATTTATTAATTTAATAAATATATAATTAATATATTATTAAAAGGTAATAAATATATTAATAAAACTAAAGGGTATAATTAAATATTTAAAATAGCTATATTTTATTTAAAATATAATTTTCTATTTATTTTTTTTATAAATATATAGTTAATAATAAGTATCTTTTAAGTTTACCTTAATAAAAATCTTAATATAAATAAGCTTATTTAATATTTTTTTAATTAAGGGTAATAATATATAGTCCTTTTTAATTAATTAGTTTAATCCCTTATAATTAATATAAAATTATAATTTACCCTTTACCTTAAGTATAAAAAAGATAAGGATATTAATTAAACTATTTAAATAATAAATTTACCCTTTTATTAAAGCTTATTTAATATATTTTTATAATATTTTTTACTTTTTATTATTTAATAAATAAATAGATTTAAATAGTAGCTTTTACCTTCTTTTAATTTAATAAAATATTTTAAAAAATAATATTTTAATAAAAGGTTAATTTATTTAAGGTTTTTTAAATCTTTAAATTCTTTTAACTTTTTTAATATAATTATCCTACTATTAATTATTAATTATCCTTTTAAAGCTATTATATTAATTATTATAAATATAATAGTTATTTTATAATTCTTTATAACCCTTTACTATTCCTTTATATTTAATATAAAGGTAATGTTCTTTTTTTATAAATAATATATTTATTTTTTTATAATTTAATTTAAATTTAAATTTATTTACTTTCCTTAAATTAATTTAAAAATTATATTATATAAAAAGTTTATTATAACTTTAAAGTTAATTAATACCCTTTTATTTATTTTAAAATTATTATATACTTTTATAAAAAGTTAACCTATTTTTTTAATTATTTTTTTTTAAATATTTCTTTAATAAATATATTATTATTATATAATTATAATTTAATTCTTTAAAGTAAAATTTATAGGTTAATTATATTATAATCCGTTTTAAAATTAATTAGCTTATTTAATATAATCTATTTCCCTTTTATCTTTAACTTTATTTAAACTTTAAAATAAATATAAAGGGTTAAATCTTCCTAATAATTAAAGTTTAACGGAACTATTAATATACTTATAATATTATAATAAAGCCCTAATAGTATAATATTAATAATATAACTATAATTTAAATACCTTTTAAAAAAATATTTTATTTTTTTATAAATATAATAAAACTTTATTCTTTAAAAAAACCTTTATAAATATATAATTATAATATAGCCCTTTTTTTTATAGGTATAATAAATAATAAATTCCTAACTTTTTATTTTTATATTAATATAAAAAACATTACTTCTTTTATATTTTTTATTTCTATAAGGTAACTATTATTTAATAATTAAACTAAGCTTAACTTTAATAATAAAATAGCTTTAATTAATTTTATTTAATAAAGATTAAAAAGGGGTTATTAAAATATAAATCCTTATAACTTTTATTAATAGCTTAATCCTTTTTATTATAATAATTAATTTATTATAGGTTTAAAAGATAAATCCCTTAATAATTTTATTTATAATTTATTATTTAGCTTTATTAAAAGGTATATTACTTATACCTTATTTAATAGGTTATTAAGGTCTTCTACTTCTACCTTTTTAAATTTCTTTAAAAAGTTATTAAAGGATTTATTATTCCTTTATATAAAGGCTTATAATATTAATACTATAGTTAAACTATTAATAATATTATTTAAAATATTAATATAAAGCTATTATTAAAATACTTTTTAAAAAACTTAAATAGGATTATTTTTATAATATATAAAAAGGAAATTAATTTATTTTTTTAATTAAATCTTTAAAATTATTATTTATATAAAATACTTTAATTATTTTATCCTTTAATTTTATTTTAATAAAATAAATATAAAATTATAATATAATAAAAAAGAAGGAAAATTTAACCTTAATTTTTCCTTTATATTTAAAAATAAGTAAATTAATTTTAATAAAAACTTTACTTTATAATTTTTTTATAATTTATTTATTAATACTTTCTTTAAAAAAAGTAATAATTAAAGTATTAACTTCCCTTTATAAGTTTTAAAGCTATTTTCGTTTTTTTTATAAAGCTAGCTTTTTTTTTATTACTATAATTTTAATATCCAATTATTAATTTAAAAGGGTATTAATATTTAATTTAACATTTATAATCTTATTAAAGGAATTATTAAAAATATAAAAGGATATTATATTATTTAACTTTAATATAGCTATTTATAATAGTTTAATAATAATTAAGGAATAAAAAAGAAAAATTAACTTATTATAGGGGTTTATTTTAAAGTAAAGCTAAATTATTAATAGGTAATACGTAAAAAGTAAATAGGTTAAAGATATAGGTAAAAGCTTAATATTATTAATTCCTAATTCCTTAAATATGAAAAGGGAGCTTAGATACCTTTATATAGTTAACTTCTACGCTGTCTCCACCCTTTGGGGTAACTTCTACCCTAGTACTATAATGTTCCCTGACACAAGGCAAGTTAGTCGATGCAAAACTTAAGAACCCTGGGAAGGAGAAAAGAACGGAATTCGAGGGACTGTGATAATAGAGCCCACATGTACGTACTTTTAACGTAGTTGGAAGCTTGCTGGTAAAGGAAGTGCTGGTACTTTCGACCTCGAAAGACTCAAGAGATGATCTCTGGTTTTTAGTTGAGTAAGGTGCCGGGCTAGGATACTTGGGAAGGAATTGCTTGAGAAAATGTGATGCCTGGTAATGCTTGAGACGATCGTTGCAAGTCGAACACTGTTCGGATGATGATATTTTGACTCGAATGCCAAGATATTGAGCAAGGTAATCCCGACTTATATATCCTTTTGCTCTTCTATGCTGTTGGTCTCGAGCAAGATGTTTTCCTATTTCATAGCCCTCTTTGTTGGTTCACCAATTAGTTCTCATGCTAGCACCGGCCGATGCCATTCTTCCCTTTTCCCAACTGCCTATCAAGGTCAGAGGTATCAGTACGAGGATCATCTGACGATTCGAGTCTTCCTGCCATCGTATAATATCTAACAAACCCGAAAAAGGGAGCATAGGTTGAAACACCCCCTTGCGATCCAAACCTACCATGACAAAGCTCTCGAACCAATTGGCAACTCGCCCGTGCAATGTTGGCTACGATCTAATATTCTACATGCTGCGTGCGTGCTAAATGAAAGTGCAAGCCGTCGCAGGCCGTCGTACACGCCATTTCCAGAGACCAGTCCCAGAATTTGGAACCTCGAACCAACATAACGTCCGACCAACACAACCGAGCACATGCGTAGACAAAACTTTCATACCAATACAGGCTTATATCAAGCGAGCTTACTTTCTAGGGCCAGCACATACGTGCGAAACGGTGGTGATATTTTTAATAGGAAAGTTGGTTAAATCGTTCAAGAGTTTGTTTACATCGCCAAGACCGAGTTCTTAGGACTTTCTAAGAAGTCGGTCGCAAGCGGAAGGGTGTAATACAGGTGGGCGGGCACGTAACGGCAGCATCGCTTGAAACAGGAGGAGCAGCTTACTCCAGGGAGGTTTGATCATTCCCCTTTTCCTTAATACAGTGCCTTAGAAGGTCAATGCGCCGACGGCACAGCGAATGCCCGGCGGCTACGAGAAGAGGGCATGACCGTCGAACCGCCACAATGAGTCAGCAGAGCACTCCGTACCGGATGTTGGATGTTGCTTTGAAGGCTCCTGTTATTGTTCTGGCTGCCTTTGCGACCTTGTCTAGGCCAAGCTCCGTGGGATGTGCTCAGAAGTATGCCGAAGGAAAAAAAAGCAACCTTCCAGGACACCGGACATGATGGAACTTGAACCCGTTTGGTTGACATAATGCTAAATGTGCAGGCTTCGCTTAATTAAGTCGACAGGCAACAGGTTGAGAGTACAATTACAAGCGTATGAGAGTTACTAGTGGTGTGGTTTAAATGGTGTTGAGTGAATGAATGAGTGCCGTTCACAACGGATCATGGTCAAGATACTACAGGCGACAAAGCCTTGAGCAGAAATTTAGATTTGTGCAAAAAAGCTACATAATGCCTTCTTAAGCACTAATTTACTTCATGGCGACTTTCATAGCCAGAGTCACCTGCCAAACGTGATGTCACTAACTTAGGCTTTCACTACTAGTTAGAAGCTAAGTCTTGATCATATAAAATAAAGGAGAAACTGTAATTTGAGCTATCGAATGTGGCAACATGTATTGCCAACATTAGGAACCCTAGCTAAGTCTCTCATGTTCGTACATTTCGCTCATTTGCCCGTGTCTTGATATCATCCATGATTCGTACCTGTCTTCTACCTACCGGGAGAACTCGTGTGAATTCTTCCGCATATAGGCATCTAAGAAAAGCGTCCAAACTGTTTTATCTACAAGGCTCCTATAACTGGCAAGAAACTATACCTACCAAGCTAGCTATCATGCAAAATTGACCCCATTGTCCCCATAGTATCATACCATCTGGCAAAGCAACGCCAATAACGCCGGACACCACAATGCTATGCCTCTTCAACGGCGTCGTCGGGAATATACACGCCATCGCATTTCGCAGCTTAGTCGTCAAAGAGATTGGGCCAGGCTCAGTCCCAGGCGATTTTCTGGATTGGTTTTGCGATAAAATCTTAATACTCTTCAATGGCGCAGTTGGGATGAAGTACGTAGACAACCTTCTGTGAGGTTCCGGCTGCAGACTGAGAGTCTTCGGCATCTTCGTCGGCTAAGCCTTCGCCGTGTACGGCCATAAGAATGTTGTCCTATTGTAAGTAATGTGCGTTAGCAATATCTTCTTAACCGTATTTCCCCCCCTTCATGGCTTGAACCAAATTAATGATGATCGTGGGCAAATCCCAGCAGCCATCCGATGAGCAAGTGGGCGTGAGTAATAGAGGTTAATCAATCTGCCAGGGTGGCTTACCTTGACCATCTTCTTCAGTACCATCTTGGCAATGCCCATCTCGCGATGGTAGTCCTCTTCACCGTCGAGTTCATCCTCCTTCTGTTCAAGATACCATTGAATAAGTTCTCCGCCGTCAACACCCTCACCGGCTCCACTAGCCTCGTCATCATTTACGCGCGAGACGATTAGATTCACCATCGCAATGTACTTCTCGTATGTAATGGCTGTCTTCTTGCGTCCGCCAGTACCAGGGCCACTAGCCTCAGCTTCGCCATTGTCATCACCCATTGTCTCGTCACCTTCGCCATCCCTGGTCTGTGATGCAGCAGCCGCAGTACCTGAAACCTCATCCGCTGCTGCAATAAGAGCAGCTGCGTCCTCGGGCTCGTCATACTCATCCTCCATCTCAACGTCATCGTGTTCAACGGAAATGATGCTTTGACGTAGCAGGTTAAATGCCTCGTCCACAAACTCAGGAACAATTTCTTCTACACAATTAGCCTTGGCAATCGCCTCGGACAGGCGAATCAAACTTTCGAGTTGTCGAACGGTGATTCGATAACTGTTTTTACCAATTCCGCCTTGGGCGTCATCAGCACGGAGTTCTTTATATTTGGTTACGAGGCGCTCTTTAGCCTCATCTGTGAATTCTGGTCGGAAAGTCCGTGCGAAGCGGATATACCTCTGCAGGCGCTCTGTGCTGAATTCAGGCTCGATAGCACTATCACGCAGCGCGTGGATACCCACAATGTGCTCGGCTAGATGGCGGTCAACGGATTCATTACACTCGTCAAGAATGACGAAGAACAAATCAAAACGTGACATAATGGGTGCTGACATGTTAATATTTGCTCGCAGGGTCATCTTGCGATTGTAACGTCCACCAACAGGATTGGCGGCAGCAAGGATAGATGTTCGAGCGTTAAGAGTAGCTTGGATACCAGCTTTTGCAATAGAGATGGTTTGCTGTTCCATGGCTTCGTGGATAGCCACTTGGTCGGCGATATCCATCTTATCAAACTCATCAATGGCGCAAATACCATTATCCGCTAACATCAAAGCTCCAGCTTCGATTGTAAATTCACCAGTCTCTTCATCCTTGACTACGGCAGCTGTAAGACCAGCAGCCGAGGAGGCTTTTCCCGATGTGTACACCGCTCGCGGGGCGAATGAGCAGACATATTTCAGAAACTGAGACTTGGATGTTGATGGATCTCCGACAACACAAATATTTATATCGCCTCGCAGAGCCATCCCCTCTGCGGTAGTCTTATGAACACCAGACATCAGCTGTAGCAAAATGCCCTTTTTAACGATTTCATGGCCGTACACTGTTGGTGCGATTGATTTCACGAGTCGTGAGTAGATATGGTCACTATGGACCATCTCACGGAGCTCCTCAATCTCGCTAGGGGTCATCGAGTTCAGGACTGCAGCTTGCGCATCCTCTACCGACTCAGCAGTTTCAGCTGATACCTGTGTCATTGAATTGATGATCTCATTGACTTGTCTGCTGGCAGATTGTCCGGGAGTCGTCGTATCGGGGGTTACCATATTGGCAAGGAAAGCGAGGCGGTAGGTAAGATCCCGCACACCGAGGGACTTAAGACCCGAAACACCATTACCGCCAACGTCGTTATTGCGAGGCGCATTGCGGTCGTCGCGGACAGCTGTAGGACGGACACCAGGAAGACCAAGCTGGCTCACATCTGGGACCACGATCAACGCGCCCGTAAATATGCACCGTTCTCCTGCCTTAGCACGGTCGACTATCTCGCCGCGAAGGATGACATCCATGGTTCGGGGCATACTACCAGTGGGTATTTCCGAGCTGTTCTCCTGGATACGTACTTTCTGCCAATCAACGAACGTACTTTGCCGGATATCTAGCTGCCATGCTAAGCGGTTGCCGCATTCATTGTTGGGGCATTGTGTGGGCTCGGTATATCTGAAAGTCTGCTCCACGTTGGGCACTGTATTACGACAAGCCTCGCAAGTGAATGTTGCCAGGGACAATTCAGGCCGGACTTCAGATGTTCGCGTTACTGTACCAGAGATGGAAAGCAGTTGGCCAATGTTCTTGGCTCTCAAGCTTCGAATTCTTGATACAAGCGGCAGGTTGTAGAAGGCAATGGCAAAAAGCTTGTCAGTTTGTTGATTGGCAGTCTTGCTCCCTTGCGTTTCAGACTGGCTAGCGGACCCGACATTGCTCGCGCCGGACGTTGTCTGATTGCTCGACGTAGTTGCTTGTCGGTGCTCACGGAAATATTGCGGTTCGTGTTTGGCGATCATGTTGTGCAAAGCGTGCGTAAGAAAGGGGAGGAATCGGTAATATTGCGTGTTAATCGCATTGGCAAGCCCACCGTTCTGGTAAGAGGCTACATGGTCGTAGTTTACGTAAAACGTGGAAAGCTGGTATATACGCATGTTATGGATCTGTGCGATGTAAAACCTATCAGTGGTTCTACTTGAGCCAGGTTGTTGGCCCGAGGCAACTGGATCTTCGATGTATCTGAGCCGGCACTGTTAGGATAATCTGGGGTGAGCATCTCCAGTGGGCCAAGACATACTCTTCGATGAAGTTTTCAAAGTGGTCTTGCACAGTAATGCCAATCCTGTCCTCGACTCGCGGAATAGTAGAGGGGTCGTTCCGCCTCCTTACGTGTCCCGGGATCTGGTCATCAGCAAATCCTTCGCCCTCGTCGTCGCTAGGGGCGGCCAAACTCTCGGATGGAGGTGCCCGCGGCCGGGCTGATGAACCTCGTTGGTATTGCCTCGGTTTAGGGGTCGTCGCAGGCCCCGAAGGAGCGTCCGACATGGTGAAGCCGGCGTCGCTTGGCGTCGCCATTGTCGCGTAGTGATAACCTCGAGGTAGGTGGATGCTAAACTCTGTGAAGTCGGGGTATCAAATAAGGGCACAACGGTAAGCAGACGCACAAACACGAACGATGGCAGAATGGTATGCTTGAATCTACAAAACGAGATGTTCCTAGACCTGTCTACCCAGGCAGAGAGAGGGAAAAGTGGGTGGAGGGGCTAGGTTCCATAGAGCCCGTCGCGTCGCGTATCTTCGCGTTTTGATTGGACTTCAAAGCGCGTTAAGTGGTTGCATGGTTGGCGGGGATGAGACTATATATCGGCTATATGCATATTTCTGTCTACTGCGATCAACCATCGCTATCCATCCAATTATTCAACCATCGAGACCAGTCTCTGAATTTCCAAATCATCTCAATCAGCATCGACACACCTCGCCTCATGCTGCCTAGTAGGGGAAGAAGCTTTTACTTGTTCTCCTGGTCTCAGAGACAGTCTTCATAGCACTATTTTGCTATTTGATCCTTCTAATTCGCATACGTGCAAAATTCTGCATTGACCTAACCCCTGCACTATTCCGTCTACAATAAACCTAACGTCGTCAGATCAACTGCATGTGAATAAGAAACTCATCTCACAGAAATGTCAGCATAGAGGCCGCGGCGCTTCAGAGAGAAGATGGCACAAGAGCTGTCGTCCAATTGGAAGAAACTCCAAGCAAAAATTCAGGCAGAATCTTCCACTGCTCCTATTTCGCCGCCCGAGGGGTCAACGTCACAAGACTCTTCTTCAAGCAAGAAGCGGAAATCTAGGCAATTCCCCGAAAAGGGACCAACGCCAAAGAAGCCAAAATCTAACAACGCTTCACATCGAGTACATATATCGCCCATTTCCAAAGCATTGCCTCAAAAGAGCAAATCTTCCACGAAACCACAGGCGATGGGCGTTACCCAGTCTTCCGCAATAGTCAAAGGCACGCCTGCTACCGTGACACCTTCACTAGCTCTCTGGGCCAAAGAAAATGATATAACGGCTGAGGACCTCGCTGAAGCCTATAATCTAGGGTCTAAGCGTGGCCGAACTTCGTCGTCTGCTGCTGTGTCCATCACAGAGATCGCGCAAGATAAGCGTCGAGTTAACGAAGGTTTGGCGCCCAATGTTGAAGTGGGCAAATACATTGCTATAGACTGCGAAATGGTCGGTATAGGGCCTGAAGGACATGATCACATGTTAGCACGCGTAAGCTGTGTAGATTTCCATGGCAAACAGGTATACGACTCTTTCGTATGTCCCCGCGAGCGTGTCACCGACTATCGAACAGAAATCACGGGAATCACTGCCTCTATGCTACGATCTTCAAGTGCGCGGCCGTTTGAGGAGGTGCAGGCTACGGTTTCTGATTTACTTAGGGGTCGGATTCTTATCGGTCATGACGTGAGGCATGACCTGGCTGTTCTCGAGATTAGTCATCCAACACCGCAGATACGCGATACTGCACGGCATTCCAGCTTTCGCAAATATGGGCACGGACCAAAACCGGCATTACGTGTTCTCGCTAGAGAAATACTCGGTCTGGATGAGTTTCAAAAAGGCAAACATTCCAGTATTGAAGACGCCAGAGTCGCCATGCTGCTTTTCCGGACGAAGAAGTCGGAATTTGATGTGGAGAATGGGAATCGCTACGGGATGGATGGTGGTTTAACCCACAACTTGAAGTCAAAAGGGCCAAAAGCCTCTAAAAGCAAGAGAAAGAAAAGGTGATGTCTTAGCTGTGAGGCAGGATGTTATACAGCCAATAGCCTACGCAACCATGGCGCCTTCTCCGTGACGATAATCGATTCTGATAGTAGCTTGTCGAGGGCTCGATTTAGTTCTATTTGGTAACACTTCCTAGTCACGATACCACCATATAGGTATCGTCTACCAGGAATACCTGGATCAAAACTCGACCAGTTTCATGAAGCATGCTTAGGCGATTTCGAGATCTTGCGCTCATTCATCCTGTATGGCTCATAACATGGAAGTTACCGACAAGATCACACGGGATGGCAAGGCCGGCATTTGATTCATCAGAAAATGCGACGGACTGGGGGGACCTGTAGCGGAGGGACTCTTGCTCCCAGGTTGGTGCCACACAACGTCAAGGACAGATGTCGCGACTTCAATGTATATGTAAGGAGGTCGATAGTGTTTGCATCTCGGCCGGAGCACCCCAAATTGGGTATTCGTGTTATAAACCGTGTTTAGGTGTTTGTTAGAATCATCCTAGATCCCAACGATGAGTGCAGGCTTTGACTTGAGCATAGATCATGACTGTTTGCCTAATACATTCACCCTCAACATCTAAGTTAGCCTCATCGCTTCGGTAAGTATCTTGCACTCTCGAGTGGCCCAAGCTTCGTGAGCAGGCATGTTCCTTTAGAGAGCTTACATATTGGTAACATCACGAAGCCATTGAAGCACAGGCCTATTCATCACGAAACCCATTGAATCGCAGAGCCCATTGAGCAATGAACCCACTAAATCTCAAAGCCCTGATGGTCTATGTACTTATTAGATCACAAACCTATTGAATCGCGAACCCATTAGACTATTGGAAGGGTATTCAATAGATTTGGGATTACACTAAGAAGGCTTCTCCCTGCATAGGCCCTAGACTAGGCACGCAATCACAGCATTGAGCTATATTTATATTCTTATAGCATTGTTATCTAAACTCATACCCGGCCCATCTCCCTTTATAACTTTCACTTTAGTAATCTATATATCTCTCTGCCAGTTCTCGGCTCAATACCCAAGGTTCATAAGATCTATCCACACTTGTCAGAAAAACCAACGTTGAAGCCCAACAATAATCGCAACAATCTCGTCAATCACGACGCTATCCTCGTTGTCGGCTAGTACGCAGTGACAGTAATGCAGGAGACGGTCCTACGACCGAGAGACTCTGCCGCCATGTCATCTCAACTTTTACACACCGAGCAACAGTTGAGCGATTCGACTATGGGGGTTGAAAACGCCAGGTATCTACAATGAAGCACGCTTGTCATGGGACATTCAACTGATTAGCATACTGCAACAGGAAACCACTTACAGAGTTTCATCTGTTCCCCAATCTATCGACAGAGCTTCGATTGGAGATCTGGGAGTGTAAGGATACCCATGTTCACCATTTTACAGCTTGACTACTAATGCACATCTAGTTGCCGGCAGCTCAATCCCACTACAGGTCCATTTGTCGCGCCCCCTTCCACTCAACGCGAGAGATGTAGAGCCGTACCCCGGAATGCGCATATTCAAAAGGAGTCTGGAATATCATGATCAGCGAATGAAAAAAATCTTGCCCTTGTTACACACGAACTACGAATCGCGAAAAGCGACGCTCGACAGGTATTCGCTGGTGCCAATTTATGACTTGATTGTTGACAGGGACTCTATTTGGGAATTGCACCCTGAGGTTAGAGCACAGCTGGACTTTGGGCTTTATCAACGCCGAGTTGCCTGCGACTGGCGTGGCGACACTCTATTCTGGCCGGACTATTGGTTCCCGCTTCCCCCTGGTCTTTGTGCAGGCATTTGCAGTGCTACCAAGCTTTGCATAGTCGTGCAACGGTACTATGGCGCTGACGAAGACCATATAGAGGATATGCAAGCTCTTATCACCCCACTCATTGAGGAATGGACTCAGAATACTCTTCCTAAACTTCCGAAACTCAAAGAAATCACATTTACCTTCACGGGCCAAGTAGAAATATTTACCGAGGAGCAAGAGGCCGGCAGGGACCATCACTACGAAATCCCATACAGGCCATGCCCGGAAATTTCGATCCTCGGCTCATTATTAACCGGCGGACCAGTTATTATGAACAAGTCCCCGTTGAGTCCCTTCGCGGAGCAGCCTAGTCATTGGTGGGAACCGGTGTTGTACCTAGTAGCTTACACGGTCAGAACGTTACAAAAGGGAATACAACGACAGCGATCCGAAATCAAGCTTCATTGGGCATTCGACTGGGGGCTCATAGATACTTGGGAGGATGATTGGGAAAGCCGAAGTATCCTCTTAGATGATGAGGAAAGGGATTGGGAACTATTGGGCCTCGCGGTAAGTTGCTCACCCAGTAGTTTTGCTACCCTTTTGGCTGGTCCCTAATACATTGTCGCGAATATCATGTTCTTGTGAAATTGCACTCTCAACTAACTGAAAAACCAGGCTGAAGGGAAGATTGTATTACAGGCAGATAAACTCCTCCAGTTCGTGTAAGTATGGTACCTATCTTTGGGGATCGAATTGTGATATGGGAATCCGTGGAGCTTCTACACTACTCTTTCCTGATCCCAATACCAAAACCTTATCGATCCATTTTGCTTTGGCAACTAGTCGTACTAACAAAACATCTGTAGCAAACTTCTCGAACTTGTAAAGTTCACCTGGTACGATGAAGATTTGACCGATGAGTTTTCCGGTAGATGCATTGAAATCTGTGAACGAATTAGGGAGATTATTAAGGCGCATTGATCTAGCACAGCCAAGCGTGGGTGACATCTGGTACGGCCATTTTGACCAGCATCCAAATAGCCGGAGGCATTATTACATCTAGCTGCGCTCAGAGAAGCAGAAGTATTGGGTCGTAGCCTTGGACGAGGACAACACTATGGACACAAGGGAATCCGGGGATATAAGGCTCCTGTTATAGGCCAAGGAGCGCCAGTTGCTTGGCTCTCGGGTATCTGCTGTATGATAGGTACATTGCTTTATTTGTGCCTTGAGCGCCATTGTGTAGCATATGGTCGCCAGATTTCATGAGATTTACCTGATGTATGCTAGTAAGAGTGTCACATATATGAATCATAATGCTAGCTAGCTATGGGTTTATTCACATCTTATTATGAAAACATTAGGTATCAATTAGTACGAATACAGAATTTACTTTGGGCGAGTCTAACGGCGCCACCAAGGCTTCTTAAGAGCCGTTCCGTCATCCTCAGCGGGCAACTCCTTGACGACACGTAAGAAGACGCTCTCCATTGTGGCAGCCGAGATGGAGTAACAGTCGAGATTGAGCTGCTCTTTCTGGGCCTCCAATGTCTCGATCAAATATCGCGTGAAGCTCTGTGTTCCACCAGTTCCTATTTTTTCATCTCGCGTACTCTCTGTCGTCAACTGAAGGGCGGGGACTTTACTGTCCGCGGGAACGATGAAGCGAACCTGACCGCCAAGATTCTCACCTTCGAACTTGATTCCTGGGAACGTACTACGCACCCAAGCCGCCACCTCCTCCATCTCCTCGACCGTTGAGAGCGGGGCGCTCTTGAGAATCAGGTGTACGTGGTACTCGTTACTGTGAGTCTTGCGCAGCGCCTCCGTCGTGCCGATGGCAAGGAGTCGTCTAGCGACGATCGCGGCACGCGTCGCTAGTGCGTCAGCTTCCTCCATTGAATGTGTCGTGATAACCACGGAGCGACCCGGTGCAATAGCCTCGAGAGTCTTCCAAAGGACTCGCTTAGAAGCTGCGTCCATAGCAGAGCTAGGCTCGTCAAGCAGAAGAACGGGTGGATTGCCGACGAGAGCGATACCGAGGCTAAGCTTGCGCTTGTTGCCACCGGAGAGTTTTGCCGCGAGTTTGTCAGCGTGAGATGTGATTCCCACTCTGGCCATTACGTAGGCTACGTCTGCTTTGACGTCCGTCACGCCCTTGCAGCGGGAGTAGAAAGAGAGGTGCTCGCGGACGGTTAACAAATCTAGAGCGTCAAATTGTGGGCACACGCCGAGGTTATTCTGCGCCAGGCGAGTGTTCTTATGAACGTCGATGTCCTGAAGGTATATTCTGCCGCTTGTTGGAGTCAAATCTCCGCGGATCATGTTTAGCGTCGTCGTCTTCCCAGCACCATTCGGTCCCAGCAATGCCAGTATCTCTCCTTTCTGTAAGCCTAGGGAAACATCTTCGACAGCTCTGAACGAGCCAAAGTCCTTCGAGACGTGCTGCACGCGCAGGAGGTCTGAATCCGACGACATCACACGTGCTGTCTCAGCATCAACATCTGGTCTCCCAGAAAGCACGGTCTTCTCAGTATCGCTAATGTCTTGCACAGGAACCTTCGGTTTTGAGAAGAAGGGAAGACGGCCTCCTTCAAGCCATACGACTAAGACAAAAATCCAGATGATTTGTATCACTAGCAAGAGAATAGGACCGCCATACGCATATATAGACCCTGGGTACGTGACGATACTGCGTCCTCGGCATCGCACTAGGTACGTGTTCACACTAACGGTAAGGCCACGCAATAGATTCTGGATCGGGAATATGAGGCCTAATCCGTAAGCGGTCCCATCTAGAGCCTTAAGGTTCCCTGATTGGGACACGTTGAGGACCTTTTTCAGATAAATCAGTAAACAATAACGGTTTTTCATGTTTGGGAATCTTACCACTAATGAAATGATTGAAAGCACATACATAATCGCCATAAACAAGACGGATAATGCAAATGCAGCGGGTTGAGACCGAGCGACAAAAGATACTAGATATGAGAAGAGCACAGCGGCGAAGCCATATAGCGCCTGTACTACGAAGAGATAGCCAACACCGAACCATTCCGTTGCTGGTGCGATAAGAACGGTGCAGATAACAGCAACAATGATGACAAAGAAGGAGTCGAACACCCAGTACGAAAACACGGTAGGGAAGGGTCTGATGCCGTTCGAGTACTGTAGCGCTCGGACCTGTGACTTTCTCTCGTATGTCGGGTATAACGAGAAGAAGGCGGGATACAGGGCTTGAACTAGGCAAAAAATTGTCACCCAAATGACGCTATTCCCACCATTCGCCTGGTTATAGCTCGTAAGGGCGGACAAAGACACTTGAATTTTCTGTCCACTCTTAACTTGGCTGAGCAGATTCAGTAAAGTCGCGGCGGTGTCCACTGAATTCGCGTCGTATGCGATGAAGGGGTTGCTGTTGTTACCGACCCAGATACCGCCGCTGTAGGATAGATTTTGGGTATGTGTGCGCACAAAATCTTCCAGCCCATCGCGTGTGTCGATTATATACGGCCCATACTCTCCATCACCATAGCTGTAAAGCTCACCATCATTCTGTTCTGTAATGATAGCGGCTATAGTATCGTTGGCTGATTCTGGCCCAAGCGCCAGAGTTCCCAAAGTGTATAAACTGAGAGGGTAAGGGGTCACAGCAGACGAGATGATTTCATCACAACGAGGTGTCTCGTAGTCTTTGAGAAACTTAGGGGTTAAAGCCGCGATGATAATGGGGATGCCGAGGGCAAAGAGATACTGCCACCAACCGGAGCGGAGCAATATTATCCTCTTGAGAAGTAAAGCGCGTATTTGCCTTGCGTATACGGCCGTTAGGCTGAGGGTGGCCTCAGGTTTAGACTCGCCAGTTAGAGACTCGGCCAACGATATCTCTTCAGGCGACTCACCAATGAGAGTGTGAGGTTCCTCAGCAACCTTGAGAAACACGTCCTCAATCGTGGGTCCAGTAATGTATAACTCCGTATTGGCCGATGTTCTTAAAGAAGCCAATACTCGAGCGGCAGATGAAGAGTCCGGTGTTCTACAGACGTATCTATCGTGCTTCTCAATGACGGGATGGGAAAGACCTGAGATATCTTCTGCCTTGGGGATATGAACTCGATAACCACCGCCGTACTGGTTCTTGAGTTCTGCCGGCGTACCCTGACACTTCATTTTCCCAAGCGTAATAATCATGATGTGATCGCTTAGTACTTCTGACTCGTCAAGAAAATGAGTTGTGAGGACCATCGTTCGCTGGGCTCGCTCTCGCTTTATGACCTCCCATATCACTCTGCGTGATAAGGGATCCAGGCCAGATGTGATCTCATCTGCGAAGCAAATAGACGAGCCACCAACCAACATGCATGCTAGCTGAAGCTTTCGTTTCGTGCCACCGCTCAAGCTCGCAGCTAGATTATTCTTCTTATTAACAAGGTCGCATTGTTCAATCAATTGCTCGAGGCTCTCTTGGGTATCTCCGCTCCCCTTGATGGCGCTCCATATGGTCAAATGTTCAAAAACAGTGAGATTATCCCACAGGACATTCTTCTGGGGGCAGATGCCTACGAGATAGATTAGCGGGAGTTGAATGATTAGGAATGCTGTTCAAAATACCGATTTGAGAAGAAGAAGCATTGATAGTCACTGAACCATCAGTGGGTTGCTGAAAGCCAGAAAGCATTTCCAATGTTGTAGTCTTACCAGATCCATTTGGACCTAGCAGACACAAGATCTGATTCCGATAGCTTGTAAGATCCAGATTGTCGACTGCTTTAGTTTTAGGGGTTCGAGCGCAACAAAAGATTTTCTTGAACCAAGAAGGGCGGTAAAGTTTGGATAGTCCTTTTGTTTGAATTGCAACCTGCGAATTCACTGCTTCCGTGCTGGTATCGAAATCTCTTCTTCGACGATTGATACCGTGAAGAGCCTTTTCAACAAAGACGGCGAGGACAGGAAATATAAAGATCTGGGCAATGAGAATGATCCATAGAAAATAAGACCCAGCCATGCTGACCCAATTTACCCCTGTAACTTGACCCGGGATATTTGAACCTTCGAGTTCACTTGCGAACACCGGAGTGCCCAGGTCAAGAACAACTCCAACGATTTCTGATTTTGTAATGGCACTGAAGAAGTACACATAGTTCATACTCGGGAAGAGCAGGCTAAGCGCAACGACCTGCGCAAGGGGTGGCGGTAATTTGGTATTCTCTGTGTACGCGGCAATAACAGCAAGCAAGATAGGGATCAGGGTTACGAAAAGAGAACCAAAGGCATGGCGTTTGAAGAAGGCCGCGCCAAATACTGACGCACTTGTAACGGACCATCCGGTGAAAATTTGCCAAAAAATAACTATTCCTGCGTTTTGACCAGGAAGTAAGAGGTGCCAGAAAACTGTGCAGAAGTTAGCACGACTCCAAGCAACGCAGATGCATATTTACCGTACCTGCGCCAAGTATAATCCACAATGGTAGATATAATATATCAAATGTGATAACATAGCTGAGAACTCTTGCCCAAATAGCACCATCACCGCCCATGGCGTCCACAAGCTGTGACATACCCGAGTCTCTATCATATGTTACCATACCCGCGACATGGTGGGCCACAGGGACCATGGTGATGAAGAAGACGAAAGACAGGGTGTATAAGGCAAGGGATTGAAAGTCCCTTCGTGAAAAATCATCTGCTTCTTTTTGAGATAACCTGGTGAAAGCCTGGACATCTGGGATTTCTGTAGAGTTCGTTATGGCATTGTCGATTTCCAACTGTAAGGGAAGTACAATTCTTTCCACACCGCTGTTTGCGTTGAAGACATCAAACTTATATGTCAAAAACGCTGGGTCTGTCAGAATGTTGTATTCCCACTTGTCATCGTCATTATTACTGCCGGGGGAGTTTTTGAAAACAATTGCGGCGTGGCATGGTGAGTGACCGTGAGAGTCGACCGGGCATGTACTTTCGATTTCGTCTTCATCGACACGTTTAATAATATGATGATCCCCCAGCGATTTCTCGAGTCGATCTAGGATGGGAGGGAAATCCGCGCCCAGGCTCGCCGAACTTGCGACAACAATGGGTTTGGAGCCTTGCAAGCTGTCTTGGAGGCCCCTGATAGGATGTATCTTGCCAACGCCATAGCGATTTAGATCTTTGATAAAGTTTTGTATCTCGAGTAGCAGAACTAGCAGAACGATTGGAATTATTAGGGAGCGTATAATAGTGGACAGCCATTTCCGCTTAACTGCAACCACCAGATTCTTCCTGATCAATGCCACAGTCTGGCCTAGGAAGGTTGGATTACTCATCTTGGAGGGCTGTTTGTCGCTTCATTCCGATTTAACGTAAGGGGCTGTTCTTTAATGAAAGAATAGAATAACGAAATTAAGGAGTCATAAAAGTGGTTGATGAAGAGGCCAGATAAAAACCTGATAGAGATCGTGAAGGTTGTGCAACAATTTTATTATCTTCCAGACTCAACAGGATTTAACCCCACAAAGGCTGGGTAATAATTAGTCCCAAACGTTGTATCTACTTAATAGTGTAGGCAACCAACTACGAGCACATACACTCGCTTTTTGTTTCATGTCATGTAACGAACTACACCCAGCTAATGCAATCATCGACATACCGTATGTGCCGCAGACCTAGTGGCTTTGCAATTCCCCCAAATCTTAGGCAACAGAATTTCAGTCAATGGCCATACAACGGTCCTACGTTAATAGATACCTAGGAACTAAAGAACATAATCAATTACTGTATACGCGAGTTTCCCTTTACAGGTTGGGGTTGCTTGCCACTGCTACTGGGAGAGATGCGTGATGATCATTTATTGGATTTGGTCTCGGTACTCTAGCCAATGTACGCATAGTCGCTCTGAGCTAATTGGTCAATTGCTGAGATGGTGCTGCAGACTTAGCCATTCAGGAATATTGCAGATAATTTCGACATCCGGATCCGTCTTTGCCAAGTGCGTGACAGGAGCAGCCTCGTTAGGCAACACTTTTCCCGGCGTTCTTAGAGGACGAAATCCTTGAAGGACCCACAAGTAAGATAGACGGACCAGGGAGCCCCCATAATAGAGAACCGCAACACAGACGAAGAGAATGTTAATCGAGGTTCGTGTCGTAGAGTATATGGATAGAACAGAATAGACTGGTTGATGCGGAGACCGTAAATGCACGAGTATGCAGGCCTCGTATATATCTTGCTGGCATAGCGAGAGTGGTGATTCCCACTGCGAATATAACAACAGTACCTAATGTAGCTGCCTTATATCTACATAGGTACTTACATAGTACCAACACTTACCGCTGTGGACAGTTGAAAGGGTTCAAACCTCACCTCGATCCTAGTTCTTATGGGTACTCCCGTAAAGACTCAAAAGAGGTTTGGCTAGAAAAGTACGTCCAACGGGTGTAGAGGCTCACTCCACGGATGGCGTCCTCCTGAGTCTCAGAATAGAGTAATATGTCCCCCCTTGATATATGCGTTTGCTCACCCTCTCCGCGCAAAGCTAGGTGGCAGAGCGGGATCAGGTAAAGGGTGGTAACTTTCTTAAAGAATAAATCCTCGTCTTGGCTTGAAATGATAAAGTCCCTTCAGATTCACGGTATAGCAAAGCAAATGTGGTGTAATGAGTGCAAACTTGGTGAGGTCAGCCGCTGTCTGACAAGCCAGGAGCAGTCGGTTTGAATGGGCCAGTTGCCGAGATTATTTCCCCAACGTTTACCACTGCTTAGGTTTTTATTTTATCTTGTTTTCATTTTTCTCTCAGCATAGACATACGGTGTAGAGTGAGGGTAATGCCTACAACCACATCTTCGAGCTTTAAGATAGACATGTGAGAGGCTTTAGGGTAGATCACTAGAGTACTGACATAGTATGTAGGTGCCTACAGTGACCAAGTACGCTGTTGATTACAAAAGTGGGATGGTTTCAAATTCCCAGAATGGCCTTCAACATGCTCAGGTTTAGAATTATATCTATCCGTTGTGATAAACTTGGTACACCCAATGTCCCAACTGCAGCTGACAAATCGAGATGTGATTGAGATCGGCAATGATTAGTCGCTCCTCTATAGCAATTTAAGTCAGCAAAGCCCTGCCCGAACCCTTTATAAACTCAAGTGAGGCTGAAAAACGTGTTGAGGGGCGTCTATCAGTAAAACCCAAATATTTGCATCAAGGTCAAAGACTCAAATACAATCTAGCATAGAAAATTTGGTGGAATCATCATAGGAGGCCGTTAAAATCGTTGAGGAAACTGCACTTACTTTTCACAGATGAATAGCATGCTGAATCATCATGGTATGAAGATTACGTGTAAGCATCACCAATTATGCTAACAGGGGCGTGCCAATTCATATGAGCACCCTGAAAAGAAGTGAATAGAGCACATATGCCGCTGTCCAACTTGATGTCAGGTTTGTGGCGGCCACTGACGCTGGAAACTCGTTTGTGCATGTAGGCCTACAAGGGTGATTGTAACATAGGTACACAAGCAGGGTAGCCACAGCACACTGTAAGCCTAAAAACACGTCAACAAGTATGAACGGGAAAGGTTGAGGATAGATCTCGTACCTAGAAACAAACAACGACATGCCAATCTATAGGGGCTGGCATAAATGCACCAAAGAGATCAAGTCATTCCTTATGCACAGCCGCATACCTGCTCAAAAACGCTCTTCGGGCTTCTTCCACCCGGCTAGTCGACTGACCTCGCCAATGGCTGATAATACATAATCAACAATGACTTTGACCATTCCTTGGCGCTTGTTTTTGCTACCATCATCATGAGATGGCTGCTCACTGCCAATAGTGGGCAGGACATTGTCACTAGCTGACAAGCTGACAAACAAGGCAAAAGGTATAAGCCATACGCAGATGCCGAAGAACGACGCGATTTCTGTGAAGCTCGGCACATCGGGCTGGTCATACATTGATGTTAATCGGGAATATGACTGCTGTTGCGCGTCGGAAAAGTGCCGGAACCAGACATAGTGATTGGCAATAACGAGCACTATTGGGTGTTAGCAGACGGTGCCCTGATATTGAAAGTAGAGCCTCGACATCTGCCTTACCACATGAGGCTATGAATAGAGGGTCCGTCAGCTTGACAAAAGGGAATCGCCGCATGTTACCCAAATAGATAACATGAGAGACGACCCCGAGCAGGGTCAACCAGAAAGGTAAGCCATCAACGACCCAGAGCACCAATTGTAGACCGATAATGCAGTATATTAATCGGGTGAGCAGTCGTTTCGCAATGACAGTATGCTCTTCGACAAGTTCGGAGAGATAGTACAAGCCCGAGGCTAAAGGAGCGAAGCGTATTAGCTACAGAACAGTGTTCTCAGGAAAGGCTGGATGCCAAGAATCACATACCTATGGCCAACGTCAAGAAGCAGAACCCGAGGACAGACCCCAGGTAGCCAACGAGAGGCAGAATCCACATACTTAGAGAGATGGGGACAAGAACATCACTGTGGTTATTGTTTTCGATCCTCAGAGGATATCAACTTGAACTCAAGAGCTAAGGGGAGCAGCAAAGGCGATGATAATGATGATGCGTGTCCTTCCCGCCCAGAACAGTCGACAGACCCGACAGACCAGCATCAAAGAGACTAATTGGACGCTAGACCTGTATGGGCAGTACGTACCTGAGCTAGGCCTCCCGAGTCGGTATTTCCCCGGCGTCGATAAGATAACGATAAGAGATACTCCACCGAAAAGTTCACTATCAGCAAGCACCGAGCAAGGGTGCCAAAGCTGTAACCAGCCGACTCACGATGGACGCATCGGTATTCATGGGCATTGTTGCTGGCGATTGACGACGTGGTAGTGGCCAAGTCCCTGAATGATATTGATACGAAGCCATAGGGAATTTCTTTCAATCGCCCCAAACCATACACACAACACAGTTTAATTGACAAGATGTCACGGCCAGAGGACACTCTGTAAGAGACCCCTCCTACCCCACTATGACTATCCCTTCACCCCATTTAGCCGTCAAACAGCAAGCGATGATATCCCACTTACGCCGTCCTCAGGTCCGCCGATATACACTATGATGACACCGAAGCCCGCAAATACACAACGTCCTCACGGATACAGAATATCCAGGCCTCCATGGCCGAGCGTGCCCTCGAGCTCCTCGACCTCAAATCTCCTTCCCTCATTCTAGACGTTGGCTGTGGTAGCGGGCTATCCGGCGAGATCTTATCAGCAGTGCCGCCTGAAGAAGGTGGCCCGCACACATGGATTGGCATGGATATAGCACCATCCATGTTAGACATCGCCCTGCAGCGCGATGTTGAGGGCGACCTGATGCTGGCCGACATTGGCCAGGGCGTGCCCTTCCGCGCGGGTACTTTTGACGCCGCCATCAGCATCAGCGCTATCCAATGGTTATGCAATGCCGAAAGCAGCGATATATCACCATTAGGTCGGTTGTCACGCTTTTTCGACGGCTTATACGCAAGCTTGAAGCGAGGTGGGCGTGCTGTTTGCCAGTTCTACCCCAAGAACGACGAGCAGAAAAAGATGATCACAGGTGCCGCGGTCAAGGCTGGCTTTGGCGCAGGTCTACTCGAGGACGATCCCGAGACGAAGAACATCAAATATTACCTGGTATTGACAGTCGGTGGGGGTTCGCTTGAAGAGAAAGGTGGTGATATCACAGGCGTAGTGAAGGGTATGGACGGTGTCGACATTCTCGACAGCAGGGTACAGAAGAAGAGCGGTAAGGGTGACATGAAAAAGGGCAGCAAAGCCTGGATCATTCATAAAAAGGAGCAGATGGAACGGAAAGGCAAGGTCGTTAAAGCGACATCAAAATATACTGGACGGAAGAGGCGCATTGCATTTTGAGGAGCAGGGATATTTTTATATACCTTTTGCATTGGCGTGGCGTTTTACTTGAGGGGATATTTTTCTCGTTTCCTCTCTCTATCGGTGTCGATTTTATATTTGAACGAACGGAGAGATTTCATTGATCATGACTTGTCTATCGTCTAGCTTGTTGGTGAGATAACATCATTCTCACATTCAGAGTAATGTCCTGAATGAGATGATTAGTTCATGAGGGCTCTTTCTAGAGTCCAAGTAGTATACCCAGACAGTGAGGCTCTCAGCCTAAAATATCGTTACAAGCAATGGGTAAAGTATATCGTTGTGGTCGCTCTTTTCGTTGGGTGTACGGATCTATGTCATTGATTCCTTACCTACCATCTCCCATCGATCTTATTATTCTACACTACATCTGGAAACTCATATAAAATGCAACGTGAAATACTACGCGGCCTAATAGATCAAGTGCTAACGGGACTGGACAGAAAGCAACTCTGCCGTCAGAGCTGCGGATTAACGCAGTTTCGCGAAATGGAAGCCAAAGAAACTCCAAGTCCGTACGCTCTATCAACCACATTTGACGTATCATAAAAACCTCCACGCGTTGTATAATGCATCTATAAAATACACTAGAAACCCCCCTCATATTCGCATCGTAACCCTTGAGAGCGCGCCTCCACCGGCACTACACTCGGGTTCCGGCCGGAGTCATTTGTGACGAAAACCCCCGATACCGGCAGTAACTGGCTCGCGCCCTTCAAACCTAATCGCGCCCACCCGCATTAATTGATCATGCGCCATAACAATGGCGCAAAATCACGGATACCGATGCCCGATCCATTATTGGAGCGTACCTCGGATGGAGTCCCTTGATGGAGACTATGATAGGAACTTCCTCAGGTGTAAGGTGGTACTCAAGAATGCCATTGTTTACCCCGCTACGATGGCATAGTGTTGTCGAGTAATCAGTCATAATATTTAGACTCCCTAAGCTTTTTTATTTTTATTTTTACAATCTAAATCTTGAATCATATAAAAGAGCATAAACGAGATATAGACTCTAGAGTTCGTTTCGTAAAGTCTTCGCATAGAATTTTGGTTTTCGGGGTCGTTGATCTTGGTGAAACTACTCCCGATACGCAAAGGACAACATACACATCCCCTGAGCTCAAGAAACACACGAAAATGGCGGACGAAGAGATCAGCAGCACGGGGCCTTTCAGACATACCAGCACCGAGCTGGCATCGAGACTACAGCACCTATCGCTGTCGGCGCAAACCGTCCATGCAGATGACTTCCTCAACTCACATGCGGCCGTGGCGCCGCCCATGCACGTCTCAACCACGTTTCGGTACAGCCGGAACCCGGACGACCTCAGTTATATGAGCAATACCAGCGTAAGATATCTTCCTAGTCCACAGCACCGTGCTTCTAAGCAAAGACATAAGTTTTCTTTAGAAGTGAATACTATGCAGATATCGCAGCTGACAAATTGGTGCCCGAGCAGCCGAACAATCCTCATGATTCACACATATACTCACGAGTGACTGCGCCAAACACACAGCGCTTCGAGGCCATCTTGACCTCGATCCTCCGGGGGCCCGCACTGTCATACAGCTCAGGGCTATCCGCGTTCCACGCCATGGTCGTGTTTCTGAACCCGAAGCGCATCGCCATCGGGGGCGGCTACCATGGCTGCCACGGCGTGCTCAAGGTGATATCGAAGTTGACGGGCTTGAAGCAGCTAGAGCTAGACTGCGCGGACGAGGAGCTGGGGCCGGGAGACCTGATCCACGTCGAGACGCCCCTGAACCCGACGGGCGAGGCGCGCGACCTCGAGTTCTACGCCGAAAAGGCGAGACGCACAGGCGCCATCCTCTCCGTCGACGCCACGTTTGCGCCGCCTCCACTACTGGACCCTTTCGCCTTCGGCGTCGACATCGTCATGCACAGCGGGACGAAGTACTTCGGCGGCCACAGCGACATGTTGTGCGGCGTTCTAGCTATCGCGCCGCGGCACGCTGAAAAGTGGCTTACGACGTTGCAGACAGAACGTGTTTTCCTAGGATCGGTGATGGGGAGTCTGGAGGGGTGGCTCGGTATCCGCAGTCTCCGCACCCTGGAGCTGCGCGTGCGCAAGCAGAGCGCCGATACGGAGAACTTGGTCCGTTGGCTGGAAGCCGAGAGACGGCGCGAGGGAAGTGTGGTCCGTGACACGGTCGCGGAGATCAAGCATGCGAGCCTGCAGGTAGACAGTGAAGGAAAGGAGCTCGGATGGTTGAAGAAACAGATGCCGAATGGCTTTGGTCCCGTTTTTGCGGTATACATGAAAGATGCGGACTATGCGAGAAAACTGCCTAGCAAGCTGAATCTCTTCCACCATGCTACGAGTCTGGGCGGTGTGGAGAGTCTGATCGAGTGGCGCTCCATGACGGATGAGGGCGTCGACAAGCGTTTGTTGAGGTTGAGTATAGGTGTTGAGGGCTGGGAAGATCTGCGAGATGATCTGGTTCAGGGGTTCGAGGCGTTAGCGAAGGAGCACACCACTGCGTGAGGCAGTCGGTCTTGATGACCGGTACGCTGGAGGGCCATTGAAATTATAATAGACCTCTTAATAAGCAATTGGATAGACTTGCACGGTTATGAAAGACGCAGCGTCAATCGTTCGTGGAGGGGTATCCAATGCTTATCCAAGGTTTGTTCCTAGAGCCCCTGCTACATAAGACTACATTTTAGTTGCTAATTCTCAATATTGTGTTCCAGCCTTCATAAGTGTAAAGTCAAGAATCTCCATCAGATTCAGAAGTCTATGCCGGCGGAACACAAGATTGGGTAGTGTCATAGTTACAGGATGATTAGGCATACCTATATCATTGCTATAGGAGGGATAGAATTATTAGTTCGATAGTCATCACAATGGGTATTCGTATACGCTATGCCTCATGCCAACGTATCGCATTTGTAGGGGACATAAAATAACCGCCGCACAGTAGCTTCACGTACTCATACTCCTTCGAAACAGTGCCTTTGCCCACCTCCCTATAGATTTCCTGTGATGTTTTGGTTTCTGGGCCGGTGCGACTAACGTCGTGGTAGTCGATCCAGGCGCCGTCTGAATTTCCACAGCGTCCGACTCATTTCCCGCAGAATCTGGGCAGCTCAAAAAATCGAGTAAGGGTAATCCCTTGGCGCACAAATATGCATTGAGAATATCTCTGGTGGCAGCAATAAATTCAGCATCCCAGCTCCTGCAGAAGAAGGAATCGTTGTGCAAGAAAACTAGCGTCTCCTGCACTTCTTTGAAAGAAACATGCTGAAGAGTGAATTTGACGAAGTCGAGGCGTTCCGACTCGCTCCGTGTTCGAGGATGCCACTATAGTACGCTGGGGTTAGTAAATACTCTTTTGGGAGAACTGTGATGAATATAAGAAGCTCTGTATAGTCTTAAACGCGTATATTGCCGCTCGCAAAGTTATCGCTTTTAGGGGTAAGAGGAACAGGAAGAAAGTGACCCGAGGAAAAGCATACGGTTTCAGGGTTTTCTTGACAGCCACCTATGACAGCGCTCACTAATAGTGGTACCATCTCGGGCTCTGGTTTAGACGCTGTGGTAATCAAATGTTAGAGATGAATTCACTCAGTGTTGGACTACAGCTCCAGATGTACATACCGCTCGCGTTTTGACCTAGCGTGTACTGTACGTATTGTGGTATTGGCAGCTGGGCCATAAGCCTAAGGAAGTCGTGTTTTCTCCAGCCTTTGGAACATAATCTTCGTATTGGCATCCAAGCCTTGTAACTATGCAGATGGTTGGACCAGTGGGTGACTGTCTTTTTTGTGTGGTTGGAGGGCGTATGAGACTGCGCACTGCCTAGCTTGAGTGGTTTCATCAATGTTGAATCAAGCTTATTGAGAACCTGGACGAGCATTTCCGTGTTTTGCAGATGACTGTCCGCCCTTGCAGCGATCGTGAACAGTTTTTGTAGATGGTGGCAGACCGTGTCTTGCGACAACTCGATATTTACGTTACCAAGCATGGCCATTCTATGTATTTAGAGTCAGCAACCGCCACTTGTTGAGTGAGAATGTCAAGGATACTGAAAGAATAGGAGGTGTCGATGCACCGCACATCAAAAGAGAATAGAGTGATGTTCGAGTACTAACCGGAGCACTTCGCCTTTGAGGACCCAAAAATGAGCGTCAAAATCTAGTTTTGCAGACGATGTAATCATATCCCAATTATCCCTGACCCACTCCTTAACTGTTCTGTGCATGTAGTCGACTCGGCTGCTCCAGGTATCAGCCATGCCGTAGATCTCCAAAAGCCCTCGAGTCCGACTGTTCAGTCTTCTTGACAAGGAAGATATAGCGCAGGCCACAAACGAATCATCTTCAATTGCTGTCTCGAGATCAGTTGGCGCATCATCGTCTCCCCAGAAGATAGTTGAGGCGTAAGGAACTAGATCATGCTCTTGACAAACATCTAAGAGCAAGAAGTAATGGGCACCTTCAACGTTATTTATAGGGTTCGTCCGTCTCCATATCGCGAGAAATAACCTGTCTAAATCTTCTGGAAGACTATCGAGGGTAGCCTGTACGTCGGATAGTTTGTCCCCTTCTTGAAAGCTCAACAAAAGACTGCGAACTACTACCGAAACCCACAGGAAGACACCTTGTGCCTTCTGCACGATGTCACTTAGGAGCTTCTTGGCCTGTACGGGGTGTAGATGCTTCATTTCGGAAAACCCCGGGCTCTTCCGGAATTGACCATGAACGTAACGTTTGATATCCGTGTGTGTGAGTTTTTCCAGTTGTAGCATCGGGTTCTGATTAAATGCATCGCGAAAAACGTTCCACGGTCTGCTACTGGCGCACAGTTTGACATTGTTGTATGTAGCTGCCTCTTGGAGAAGTTCCACGAGCGATACGTGATCTTCATCGTCGTCAAATTCGTCGAGACCGTCGATGACCAATGCCACTTTGATTGAAAGACCTCCATCGAGTGGCCCCTGGTCCGCTAAAGAGAGGAGCGCACGGAAGCCAGCAAGAAGCTCCCACGGTCTCCAATCTGGAAGAGCCACGGGCGTGTCAGGTGAGAATAGCTGGACCAATGCCCAGCGGTTGGGGAAAACTTTGGGGACAAGCTGACGTGGGAATCGCTTGAGGCATTGATGAAGTATTGCACGGAATAGACCTTGATGAGACTTCTGTAGCTTGTTTCCAGCATTCCACGAATAGTAGGTAGCTAGGAGAAGCTCGCATGGATTCGACCACTGTTGCAGGTAATCCTCGAGCCTCTTGTCGCCCGCAAGGAACTTGGTAAGAGTGGACTTGCCCGCGCCAGCTTTTCCGGATATCCAGTAAATCAATTTAGATTGCCCAGTAGCCCATTCTCGAAGGTCAGACCAGCGAGGCGTCCCGTCCGATCCAGTTTGTGGATTCCCAAACACCCACTCAAACGTGTCCGAATAGGCCTTAGGCACCGTGCTTTCCCTATGATCGATAGTCTCAAATGAGAGGCTGTTCATGATCATCTCAGCGATTCTTTCTTCACGCATTCGGATTGCTATATGGTCAGATTTCTCAAGTTCCTCCATTTCCTCCGTTTCCGTCGTCATGAAAGAGCTCGGGACCCATCGTGAATCAATCGCGTAAGCAAGAATCTCTCGAGCTTCTTGCTGCTTGCTTTCTGTCTGAGGTCGAATTAGTTGTAAGATCTGCTGGCCATAACTCCGAGTGATGTCATCAATATTCTTGAGTTGATCAATCAGAAACCTTCTATCCTCTGCGAATTGTTTCATTGTGATGCGATCATTCTCGGCTTGTCCCCTAGCTAGACACTTAGTATGTTGCTTGCAGACACAATACTACTGGGGGTGAAGATAATGGCCCAACCGTACCATGAGACCACGAGCATTGCCATCGTGATTTGCTTTCTATTTTCATCGAGGCGATGTTCTAAATGTTGAATCTTATCTGCTGACCACACTCGTCTCAGGGCTACTACAAAGCTCTCGGCGGCTAGCCGTATTTTTGTCGTGCCTTGGACTCGTAGTTTTGTAAGTATGGCTTGTATCTCTTTGTTGATAGCCTTCGACTCGCGGCAAAGTCGAAGTAGAATGTCGATTGCTTCCCTTTCAACTTCAAGTACGGCATTCTCGGAGTTATCGTCTTGCATCAGCTTTGACATTTTCGACGATAAGTTGTGAGTGAGCGAGGAGAGATCGCGGGCGATTTTTGAAAGCTCGATATCATTTTGACTCTGGCCCACGGACGATTCGTACGCTTCCTTAGTATTGACAATAATCCCACTAGCAAAATCCAGAAATTGTGCAACAGCTGCTGCCACGGACAAGATAGTAAGGGGATCCATCCCACTCAAGGAATATTCTTACCCCTACCTAAGCATATATCAACATGTAACTGAATATTGCGCGATACCAGTTATACCATAGGTATCTGGTACTCGCCGTGGGAAGGGCAATACAGAGCAACACAACACTAATGGAAACAGTACTGCGAAGTTCCTTACATGAATTGTTATATGAGCGACCATCATAATTTGGGGCAGTGCACCTAGCTTTCATCAGCTGGCAAGGCATATTAGATTGTAACCTTGATAAGGTATGGTGTTGCAACCCCATGGGCTAGGGAGGTAGTGAGGTGGCAGTAAGCTGGGCAACCATTCCCGATTGATCCCCTCTGTGGCAAACATTCAACAGCCGTTTAGGAACAACAGTTCGCATGAGAACGCCTTTGCGAACTATACTTGAGGCTGTGAAAAAGTACGTGGGATAAGTAGCAGCTACTAGGCCTATATGGGGTGAGGAATCGACACGCCACAACTTTTCGGACTCGGAATTCTACCCTAGAGCGCGGAGAGCAAATGGGTTAGGCACACACAGGGAGGCCGCTCGCTGACTGACACTTGGAGGTCGAGTCCCGAGCTCATATTTCGCGCCACATTGCACGATCAGGGCAGCGCATGGTGGCAGAGGGCTGCTGAAACAGGCTCCTTAAAGTCAACAGAATCTAAAATTTGAATGAGCAGGACATTTACAGTATGTAAACAGTAATATGCCACGTGAAAGATGCGACGCTTCAGTGATTTTACTCGATTTGCATTATTAATAGTCAGTCTTCTAACCGTACATAATGTTGCTACACCTTGCTCGCAAACTCCAAGGGTGTAGCACAAGACTCTTTTTTGTGTACCGTTAACCAGCTTCAGATTAATTGAGCCCAACTAAGATATGGGTCCTTTGTTATTATAGATGAAATAATGCCGTATCAAATGATTGACCAAATAGCGCCGCGCTGATATCCTAAAAACCGCAAATCTGCCGCCTGCTCTAAGTTGATGATCATACAAAGATGAACCTCTATTACATCCTCGTAAGTAATAGACAATGAAATTCGTTAGGTTCGTATAATATAAGCTTCAAGACCGTCTGGATCTCGAGGGGCTGGGGCTTGGCTTCGTAGGATCATTGACAAGTTCGGCTGTACTTGCCAAGTGATCAACACCCTGACCCGGCTCGGTTTTGCTAATATTACGTTGGTGAACGTGGCCAAAGTTAGCGGGACGTTCATCTACGCCTCCAAGACTGGACTCGACTGATGTAGAATGGCTGAGGTCTTCGGTCGAAAGACGCTCTTGTGAATTGCTCCGATCAAATGGCAACCTTGCCGTTAGATGCGACTCTGGTTCTTTGGTGCTAGCCGACTGCTCGCTTCCCAAATTTTTCAGTATTTGTTCAGTTGTAGAGTTTCGTTTCGAACTCTTCCTTGGCACTTCAGGAACCTCTAGATTATCCGGGTCTTTGCCCGGTAAGGATCTGGTGACCCTTTGAGATGGATGCCTGCTAGCTTTGGATTGTATGCGACTCGGAACCTTAAAATCTTCCCCAGCATCCAAGTCTGGTAGTAAAGGAGGATCTTTTGGTAACTTCGATATCCCTGTCTCCAATTCTTCGTCCGATTCGGGCTCACTAACGTCATTCAACAGCTTGCCACCAGCACTATCGGCCCGGGCATGATTAGTTTTCTTCGGTCTGGGCATCTCTTCCTCATCATCGCTATCGATGGGCCCCTTCCGCAATACACCAAGTGCAACGGGTATCCCTTCGGGTGGCGGATCGTCACTAAAATCACCGCCTCTCGCCTTCATTGCAGATGGCATTCTCGAGCTTCGGACAACTTCGAATCCTTTCCCCTTTTCCTTCGTTTTGCCTCCAAATAATCGCATAAGCCAGCCCGTCGCGGTCGCAACTGGGCTCGTGGGGTCCGCTGGACCAGTACCTAGCTTGCGTCCTGGGCCGTCTGAGTTAAGAGCTGGACCTCGAACGCCATAATAGAAATCAACTTCTCTAGTCGAGTAATCTGTGCGGGGCGCAAAAATTGGCGCAAAAGGTGCGAATCCAGGAGTAGCAGTAGGTATGTCACCCTCGGTTTCCCCACCGATTTGACTCAAGCGTTGATTTGCAAGATCAATACTGCCAAGCGAACCTCGGGCCTGGTGCAGTGATGATGAGCCTGCTTCGTCCATGTTTCCACGACGAGCACGCGGTGGACGGTAATACGGATCTGCACTGGGCTGTGGGCGAGTCGCTTGGCCAGGCGACGGCAGGAAAGAGAAAGTACTAGCTTCTCTAGGTGTTGTTGCCGCGAAAGTGCTGCTTCCCATGAGGTTGGAATAAGCGTCCACGCTATATGTGTCCATTGCGCTAGAATTTCTCCTTGGGCTCATCATGATACCCATGCTACCTGCAGACTCACTTCTCACCCGACCATATCCTCTCTTCGACGCATTTTCGGCGGCGTCTAGCATAGCAGTGCTACTAAGTTGACTTAACCTTGACGGGCCAGCTGTTCGATCCACGCGCCTCGATAATTGACGAGCACCAAAAATCTTGGACAGTCCACCTCTAGTCTGCCCACGGATGTCATCGCCTCCAGCACCGCAAAGGCGAGCAATAACTTCAACAATCGTCTGTAGGGCATTCAAAAAGAAGCCAAAAAGAAGTACGGCACCATGAATTACGAGAATTGCGTAGCCAATCCATCCCTTTGGCCCTTCAGTGAGTCCCAGCGAGGAAGTGAAAGAAACCATTAGGATAATGGAAACAAAGCGAAGCGCCGAAAAACCTATATGGTAGGCGTTCATTGAAGTTGATTTATGAAAAGGGCGGAAGGCTTGCAATGTCAGAATTTGGACAACCTCGCATACGGCGAGGATGACAATTTGAGCCGTTCCAGAGGGCTGAACAGCGCCGATGGCGATGCCGCGTAATATAGTGAGAATGATCGGAATCAGAGCAAAACCTGACGCCTCGTCCGAGTAAGTATTATACAGAGGACCGTAAAGAAGGACGGTGGGTAGATCGTCAAATAGATGTGCTCGTGGTTTTGTAGTGGCAATTAGACGCGTTACCCAACCAGCAAAGCCAAAAATCAGTGCCAAGGTTACCACAGCCAGAGCCACGAGGTACCCTGGGGTACGCGTTGCGACAACAAGCTGAAATGCCGAGAGAGAAACAATAGGGAGGAGGAAGTAACTAAAAACTATTCGAATGACGTTGCCAAGTGAAAACGGAATATTTTTTGACCGGAGGTCTTCCTGAGAATCATGATTCATAAGACGCCAAAGCCATCGACCCAGGAAGCCAACTTGGGTCAGAAATAGGACTGCTGCAATGATGACCAGTAGCCATACTATAGAGCCAGCCCATATATCTTCAATTTCTCCTAGGCCATCAAGTTGTGCGGTGCGTTCCAGGCCATACGCACCTGAGGTAACGTAGATGCCATCAACAACACTCGACCACGGTGCCGCTTTGGACACAAAACTCTCATTGAACATTAAAATAGACCATGACGCCTGGCTAACCGCTGGTTGGTAGAAGCCGGGATAGTCTAGGGAGAGACTTCCTGTCAGAACGATAAACTGAATGTAATTGAGACAATCGCCGAAGCCAGGAGTAACTAGTCGAAGAAGATCCGGATCTCTGCCATAGTTCGATGTCCAGTGGAAAACATCACTTGTACCCCAAGGGCTGAATATTGCTGCAAATACCTTGGCAACACCAACGATTATTAGAACTATTAAAGGTAAAAACTTCAAAAACGAAGCAATGTTTCCTAAAGTTGGCGTCACCGTTGCGGACACACAGGCAACTGTAGTAGCATACTGGTCGCCATATCGAATTATGATAGTGGGCGCAAAGGAAGCGAACGCGTATGACGAGTCGAAGTCTTTGGATAGGTTGAATGCATGTAGCATGTCAAGGTCTGTAGTAAGATTTCTATGTCAGTTAGTAGGCTGAGAATACTTGATAACAACCCGCACAGTCAGATAGGGTAGGCAAGTGAGACTTACACTGGGGTGCTATTGAAGACTGGACCAAGAGGACATTGCGAACCATTTAGGAGACTTTGGCAGAAATATGAATCGTGCGTATACGGACGGTAGGTTAGGACGTCAACGGTGGAGTGAAGCGTAGTGGCGTTATAATTTATTAAGCCATGCTCAATGGTATGCTGTATCTTGCCGCCGAGAGCGGCATTCGGATCGTCCCATTCAGGGTCTCCTCGCGGTGGCAGAACAGCATCTCCCACTCTTCCAGTCACATTTCCCCATACGGTAACTAGCAAGTTGTGATTCTCGCCTTCAGGCTCGAAGACAGCCTCTGCGGCCAACGGTACGAACTGAAGCTGGACTTTGTCGTCTGGGACTTTAGTCCATATATAGTTGTCGCTCAGGCAGTTATCGAACGGAATTTGGACAGCCAACGCCACGGGGACGGTAGAGAAAGCTAGTAGAGGCAGCGCTACGCGGAGGAGGCTTGCAAGGAGATCTAGGGGATTCGCACCGCGCAAAAGCGGGCAATGTAGTCGACTCGACATTGTTGAACGGGGGTTGGAACGTTGCTCGCGGCTTTCGAAACTGGTCCTCTCATGGTGTTGTCCCGTCAGGTACTGTGTCGGGGAACAGAAGAGGCGACGGTATACGCAATAAGCCCTGAGAGAAGCAAGGAGCAACGGCGGCAACCATTGCATTACGCCCGGGTCATCTTCAAAGCTGTTAACGAGTCTCGAGCAGATGCGACTGATTCGGAGGACAGGCAATTAGGCCCTGTTGACCAGAATACGTCTTCGAGCCACGGATGACCTAGGGAAAGCGCTAGAAGAGCTAACGCGAAAGGTGAAGTGTTGGGATCTTGGTGGTTATTTTTTTGTTTTTGTTTTTTTTTCTGGTTGGAGAAAGGGGATTTGCTTCGAGAGCAAGTTAAACATGATGATAAACCGGGTCCTTGTTTCCCATTTACCTATTCCTGGGTGTGGCAGTGCTGACGATGCCTCTTACCAGCCAGCGGACTACCTTAGTGTAGCTCTAACCAGGTACCTGCTATGCTGTGTACAAGGAGGGAAGCAGGTATCCGTAGGTACCAATCTCCACGAGTACTACGCGAGGTCTACCACCAAGATACCTTGCAGGGGGGTTCCCAGCACGGCAAAACCAGCTAAAGGTACCCAGCAGTACAGTAGTTCACCTAGGCGCGCCAACTAAGTAATATCAAATCACGACTCTTTCAACTTTTGTTTTGATCAGAATTGTGTTTGAACCATATTCAAACGCAATGACTACTACACAGTCATCCGCTTGAGCTGATCCCCTACCTGAGGTTATCCTGAGGGCAATAGGGTATAAATGTGCATGATATCTACTAGGCAATCACAACACATCGTCGTAGCGATGACGCAGTATTCAAAGACACATCATAGATCTACTTTCAGTATTCCCGGCCCCTGCTCCGGGTATCTCATAGGTTAGTGGTGGCGATGATCTGGTGTGTGTCCCTTCAAAATCTTGATGTCAGGTATCAACTCATCATCGGACGTGTACAACTTCGGACATGCCCAGGTAGCAAGATTGAGCAGCTCTACCTCTGCTCTATTCTTTTAAGTAGAAACAGTAAGGACTGTAGGCAGACTCGAGGTATCGTATACCGACTTCGTATGTGCATCAGCAGGCATCGACAGTCTTTGAGATCTTTTATAGGTTGAGAAAACAGAGCTAGAGAAATACGATGCCCCCACCTACACAGATGTAAGCGTTGTTCCAAGCCTCAAAAGTCCTATCTAGACTAGGTAGGTCTCCCATTCTTCTACGGGGTATTCTACCTTACAGGTACATACCATACCTACTCACGTAACCTTACTGACAAGCCTGTCCGCTCATAGACAGCTTTGCCAAAGTCAAGGAATAGGTAGATGGATAAGGTGCCAACAGACAACCTCTGGTTGACTTGCCCAACGCTAGTGTAGGCTCCTCAATTCATGTAGGACGTCACGTCGCCTTAATATACCCAACCACTTATAATACCCGATGCTAGCTACACTAGCCCAACTGTGAGATGGGCCCATTCTGCGTTCTGTTCGTCTCACCGTGCAGAACCGTGATAGAATATGCCATTATCAATCAATAATGGTAAGTGTTAAGTGTTCTAGATATTCCAGCATGGCGTCCTGTAGGCAGACTGCATCGTACCACCTACCTGTTTGTCATTGTCTCAAAACATTGGGCCACCTCCACCTGAGGCGGTTCAAATTGAGATGTGTGAGCTAGGCTAAGCAGCTGAGCTGAGATAGCGCCGCCGGATGCTTTTGTTGTATGTCTCACGATCAGCCAGGTCCGTCATCACCCATAAGTGACATCTCTGTAGGAAAAGAATACGAAAGGGCAAGGCTTGTCGTGAGAGAGTCCTAGCCGTGTCCATTTCGGACTTTGCCCGAAATTCCAGAGTTGTGTGCTGGAGGACGCCGTGTAAGCAAACACAGAACATATGGGGTCGTACGCTTCTGAAAATCGACCGAGTCGTATGGGTTCGCATAACGCAGCAGTCAGGATGCTTCCTGGGAGGGCCCGAGCACTGAGCCGTTGTCCACGTCTGCAAAGAGGCATTGAGCATTGACAACACTGCAGCGACAACAAGGAGGGCTCGGTCCGGCTCCGGCTGGTCTGGCAGGATCCGCGACACCGAGCCAACCATTGCGACACCTACCGCTTTTCTCCCACTTTTATTAATTTTTTTCTCTTTCTCTCTGAAGCCGTAATGCCCGACCGCCAGTTCAAGACTACAGCTGCATGTCGGCGCTGGACCCTGTTTACTGGCTACTAAGCTGCGCTCGGTGTTTCTAGGCAGGTGGGATAAAAGACGCTCCCCCGCATAAAGCTTCGTCCGTTTCTCTTCTCTTCTCTCTTCCTTCTCCCTCCCTCCCCATCCTCTCCTTACCTTCACGCCTCTCACGCATCTTGTCGAAAGGTGTGGGTGGTGTGTTGTGTAACTGTAGAGGAGGCGAGTCATTCGCTAGGGCGACTCGCCAACCAACCAACCAAAGGCCGTTTTTGTGGGGCACCCTTCGATACGGGCAGCACGCTCTTCCAGTTCTCCAGGGCTGTTCAGGGCACTCCCGCCGGGCTGGGCTGGGCTTGGCTAGTGCCCTGAAGGGTCGGTCGGTCCCCCCTGGCCTACAGGCTACAGCGGCAAGCAGTAGGGAGCTGTTGGATCTCGGGTCCCTTTTGTCTCTGCCTGCCCGGCAGATCGCAGATCCTTATCCGACTGGACAAAAGCGGACAGATTTTTAGATTTTTAGATTGTCGTCAACACCCTCAATCCTCGCCCATCCTCCATCTCGGCGCTACAGCAACAATCACGACAGCATCTATTTCCCACTATTCTACACTTTATCTTTAGCCAAGCCGGTCCGTCTTTTCTGTCTTCGCTTTAGACTTTTACCTAGGTCAATACCAACGCATTGAGCCAAAGTCTGATAGCACATCCTCCACCCTGTCATCTAGAAGTGGTCAAGAAAAAAGTAGGTGTTCTTTTCTAGCTGCTTTCCCCCTTTCTCCACAGCTGCTAGTCTTCGTCATCCAAAACTTTCACAATTCAGCTCCAACTAAAATACCAGCTTTAGCCAGATTCCGATTCTCTTAATTTTCTCGATTCAACCCTTGGAAGCCAGCTTCTTAGCTCTTCTTAGCCGTGACTATCCCCAGCTACCCGACTTGTCTGTTTTGTCGCTGCCACAAAGCTCTTCGCAATGTCGCGTATTCAGATTCCTCTCGACCTTATTACGTCGCGCCTCAACATTGGCGATCGTTTTGCTGGGTTTCGCAACACGTCGTTGTCCAGCCGCTTCGCAAACATGAGGCCCATCGGCGAGTTTCTTGACTTCAAGCGCATTTCCAAGCCCGCCAACTTTGCCGAAGTCCAGTCGCGTGTCAATTACAACTTGTCAACGTTTTCGAGCAACTATGCCGTTGTCTTTGTTCTCCTCGGCATTTATGCGTTGATCACGAACCCATTGTTGCTATTCGACATCATCCTGCTCGCTGGCGGTCTGTGGCTGCTTGGCCGACTCAATGGACAGGACGTGACCATTGGTACCTTCACGGCAACCTCGTCCCAATTGTACACGGGTCTACTCTGTACATGCGGGTTTCTCTTTCTCATTGCTTCACCTTTCTCCACTGTCCTATGGTTGATTGGTGCAAGTGGCGTGGTCATTCTTGGTCACGCTGCTTTTCTGGACAAGCCTATCGATGAGGCTTTTTCAGGGGAGGCGGTCTAGGTGGTCGGCCGCGAGCTCCCGAATTTGCGCCCTCATGGGGTAGACCATCCGGGCGTAGACAGGGGAGGTATGTCGCGCCTGAGGACGACTTTTGGGATACTAGACGTCGAGTCGTCGAGGAGTTGGACAGTGATGATGCGGATATACACGCCAATAGGTTGGCGCTTACACTGAGTAATAGACGGTATGCTAGCGAAGAACTTCGATTTACGGGTATAGATATGGGTGGTGGTCGGTCGCGGAACAAATATGCCTATCAACATTCAGACGATGACGACAATTCGTCTGAGAATGATACTCAACCATCGACAGAGAGCGATACAGAAGATGAGGATAGAGCGGAGATGGAAAATGCTTTGGTGCAATCAGCTTTGGCCCGGATACGGAAGGCAAAGGCCAAAGGCAGGCATGATGTTAAACTGAATAAGGGAGAGCTGGCCGCTTTAGACCGAAGACGAAAACGTCTCCAGGCTGAAGCCGAATCTTCCTCGAAGAAAAAGGGCAAAGGCCGCAAACGAAAGAAGGGGAAGGAGGATCGAGTTGCTGTTCCACTCTCCCAGCTTGATCCCGCTCCCCGTCCGCATTCTTCAGCATCTCGTCATTCCCCACCTCAACGTCATGGCTCTTCCTCTCCCTTTGATTATCAATACGTCTCCCCTCGACGTCACGCTTCAGATACTGGAAGGCCATCGTCCTCTGCGAATAGCCTTCTGCGTGACGAAGACTTGAATGCACCGGATCCTTTCCAGTATCAAACAGCTGGTCCCTCTGAATCGTATCCTACTAGTGCTTTGGCATACGGAGAGTTGGTACCAGAAGACGATTCGAGCAACGATGGTCGTGTACAGCTTAAGAATCTGGAAGACGTCCTTGCAGTCGAAGGAAAGACCCCCGAGCAAGAGCATGGACGCTCCAAAGGGAAGAAAACTTCATCCCGGAATTCTGTCAGTAGTGGTGGCAGCCGGAGACGACATGACAAATGAGAGAGGCATGGACGGGCTTAACTGGATATCAATCTCCATGTAGTGTCGGGCTTCTCACCCAGCGACCTTCCATACCACAATACCATTTCTTATGCCTTCAAGAGGAATGATTTGCATTTGAAGCAAAGTGACAGTGTTCAAGCTAGTTATATCACATAGATTCTAATTTCTTGTCTGTTCTCATTGAATGATTGTAGGAAACTCGATTTTAACACACAACGATGGATGTAAACGTGTACCTATATACCCCAAGCCTAAAACGCCGTCTTTTCCAAAATTGCTACAATATCTCCCCCAGCCCAAATAGCCATAACCAGCTATTTTGAGATTTATGAGAAAAACTTGCCGATTCCACTAAAGAAGCCCCCGCCCCCGCTCTTACCGCCAGAATAATCCGTGTACTCGGTGCGTCGTTTCTCATAATGATAACCCCCGTCGTATCCATGATCACTGCTGGAGTTGTTGCCAAGACCAGTGGCCATGCGCACGGCCTCGCCCATTAACCCGATGCTGCCGGTACCGCCTGCTGTCTTAGCTGCCATGCCTAGCATGCGCTGGATCCCGGCTGGTAGTCTTAGCCCGAAGCGCGCGAGGAGGGCCGTCAATGCCCCGCCCGTGATCAGGGGCATAATCACGAGCATGAAGACCTTCACGGGATGTCGCTTCGCCCAGTACATCAGGTCGCGTAACAGACGTTTTAGTTTCTTGTAGGCGCGTGTCATGAAGTTGGCGCGCGGCGAGCGCTTGTAGTAGGATGGGGAACGGCCTAAGAGGGGCTCTCTGTTAGCGTCTCAGTCTGCTACGAAGCTATCTTGAAACATGTCTCTCTATCTTGCACTTTCGAGAATGGCAACCGAGATTTTGTGATCAGATGGCAAAGGCGCACAAAGGCCAATTGGACGTAGAAAACAAGCGACTTACCACCCATACTGAAAAAGCTCCGGGAACTGCTATTTCCCAAGTTGAAAAAGGAGCCCCGCGAGGCGTTGTGTTTGGAGTAGTTGCTGTCATCGCCAAGTAAGGCTCCTAGCCCGGAGGACGAGTGACGCTTGTGACGACGTTCCCGCGAGTGAGAGCGGGATCTCGACTTGTCTCGTTTGTGTTTATGTGAAGAAGAGGATTTATGCGATTTATGAGATTTGCGCGACACTACGGACGCGCCGTCGCCCCAGCTGTCAAAGAAACCCATTGTTGTCGCTGCTGTTGTCGCGTTCGCACCGCTGTGAATTAAGGGGGAGAGAAGGGGCGAAAAAATCCGTCAAACACGAGCGCTGAGGTCGCTTTTGAAAAACACAATGTTTGGCTGATTGCTTCTTCGTATCAGTCGTTAAGTCGCACGTTCGAGGCTTATCGTGAATGGACAATGCAATAAAGACGAATGAAGACGACAGCGCTCGAATCAAAGTACTCGGCTCAATCCACAATACTGTGGAGGATAGAACCAAAATTAAGAGCTCGGGATCGATTCATCGCACGACGACTGGAGAGCGGCCATAGCTTGCTGCAAATCATATCCGATGTCCTGCAGCTCTCAGACGTCCAGCCCCTTCACCGACAATTCAAGTGGCTGGTTGTCCCTTGTCGCGATCCTCCCTGCCAAGGCCCCCAATGCGCGCCTGGCCTCTTCGGGGCAAGCGTCGGGTCAAGGGTTGGGCCCATAAAAAAGAACAAGGGTCCTAATGAACCTTTCAAGCCACCGCTCTCTGCCACAGTTGCCTAAATTCCGACCAGGGTGTGTGTTAACGCCACACATGACGTGGGCCATCAATCAGTCAATGATTCCGACTCGGGTCTGGATGGGATGTTGAGTTGCCCAAGAGCTACCTAGGTATGAGCCCTATTTAACTACTAAAGACGAGAACTTCCCTACATCTAGTTTCTTTCTAGGTTTTTAATATTACTATTTCTTATTCGAACATCCAATACCTGTGATAATGGCCAATACTGGACCACCTCCTGACTACTGTAAGTTTCCCAATGGACTGGCCTTTGTAGCGAACACCCCACTAACAACTGATGATGTCTAGACCGCATACTGGAAATATCTGAGACTGCGACCACACAACAGATTCGCGATGCATACAAGAAGTGAGTCAATATGGGTTTGTTGAAAACCACTTATTATTTTACCTCCAAGTATATAAGCATGACACTGACTTTCTTGAAGAGCCGCGCTCAAGACTCACCCAGACCGGGTAGCTGCCGATTCACCAGAGCGTCCTTCACGTACCCGGAAGTTCCAGCTCGTCAATGATGCCTACTATACGCTCTCTGACTCGACACGGCGCCGAGACTACGATGCGCAACGGAGATTATTCGGTGGCACGAGAACCAAACCCAAGCCTTCGGGTGCGGCCAACGCGAACCCACCAGGCACATTTACATCAGACTATAAAGAGTTTGACTTTGACGAAGAGATACCACCAGGTGGTGCGAATGCAAATAACTTCTACAGCTGGGCTTGGAATTACTTCACGGGGAACAAGGGAGACGCAAACACCGAGCAAGCACGACAGGCGACAGAGGATGCGCAATTCGCCGACGTCTTCGAGGAGATGCTGCGGGAAGAAGGGATGGACGAGGCACAACAGCAGCAAGGAAAGGGCAAGTTCTGGTCGCTCGCCGGCGGCGCGGCTGGGGGTGTCTTGGGTTTCATCGCTGCCAATTTCCCCGGCGCCATTGCGGGCATGGTAGCCGGTAACCGTTTCGGCGCTATCCGAGACGCCAAAGGAAAGAGCGTTTACGAAGTCTTTCAGGAGCTTCCCCAGACGGATCGCGCGAGGTTGCTGGCGCAGCTCGCCACGAGAGTCTTCAGTCATGCTGTTGGTGGTTAGAGCGGTCAAGACAGGGCTAGTATATCTACAGCACTAGCAACGTGGCATGTCGCCATGTTTTACATCTAGACCCCTAGCGCTGGGGAACAAAGAACAAAGCTTCAGCTGTTTGTTTGTAAGGCACTGGCATTTTCTGTCTGGTAGCGAATTAAGGATGGGCGTTTTCGGTATGAACGGTAGGTACCTACATGATTATGAGGAAAGGGCATGCGTAGATAGATAGCTAGAAATACAGCAAGCAGTCACATATCATATTGTTGTCTTAAGTTACTACATATTACAAGTATACATAGTAGGTAGGTATGTATGTATGTATGTTCTTCCTTCACTTCTATATCCCCCATTTTTCCATGGTAGAAGTATGTGATTATAATCTAATCGAATACGATCAGAATCTCAATTGACGTACCTAGATTAGGTACGATAGTATGGGCTAGCATTGGCCTCTCATTGGTTCATAGCGCTAGCGGTACCTGGTACGCCGTTATGCTTGCTGAGCAATCTGGCAAGGGTTCCTTTTGCGACCTGCAATCTAATACATCAACCTTCGCCAACTCGACCTCCATTTCTCCTTACTTAGCCTCACTATTCTGGTCTTGTTCGCGCAATACCTAGGTAGCAAGCCGAAATGGCGAAGCCTATAGAAATCGAGTCATCCGAGCACTTCAGCTCTGTGCTGAGGGAGTCCCGCGTCGTGGTCGCAGATTGTAAGTTGCTCCCGCTCACTCGAACCTTTACCCCGCCATCGTCATTGGATACCAGTTCGAGCACCGCGTCGCGCACGTTGGGCTAGGTGCTGTAGCATTATACGTCTTGTCATGCATCTTGAGCGTTTGCGGTACCACTGGAAATGCATGTGTACACTCGGGAACTACGTACTAGCTCGATTCCGGTCCTTGCTACGGGAAGCGAGCTTGACTGGCTAGACTTGCTATTTTGAAATGGAGAGCTAATTCATGGCTTCATTGACTAGTCTACGCAAACTGGTGCGGCCCATGCAAACAGATCGCTCCCTTTTATGAACAGTTGTCACAGTCGATATCGAAGCCGAAAGCCATCACATTCGTCAAGATCAACGCTGACGCCCAAAAGCCCTTGGCTGCGGAATTCGCCGTTTCAAGTCTCCCTACTTTTATCCTCTTCCGTGATGGCTCTATTGTCGAGAAGGTGAAGGGGGCCGACCCGCAAGGCCTCCGTTCACTTATAGAAAAGCTGGCGAGCGATACCAAGTCGGGTGACGCAGGTAGCAGTGCCTCCGGCTCAGGCTCAGGCGGTGGCCTCACATGGAGAGGAGCTGATCTTCCGCGGGGCTACACCGACATCTCTGATGTAGTCGATGTTCGCGGGCTAGAGCTATTGAACGCGGATACGGACTTTTCCGTCCGCACACTGTTCAACAAGAGCAAGCCGTCTGCTCTAGACAAAGGTTCCAAGACAAATGATGAGAAGGACTGGGTCGAGAGTGACACGGACGAGCAATTGTTGCTATTCACGCCATTCAACTCAGCCGTTAAGCTCCACACAATACAGGTATGTGTCATGCAATACAATCAATGCTATATTATAACAAGCTAAGCCAATCTTTGCGGCAGCTTACCTCCCTTCCCCCAACGGAAGAAGCCGAAGAAGGCGACGACGATGAGGAGCCGCCGATGAGACCAAGTACCATCAAGTTATTCACGAACCGTCCCCACAATCTTGGCTTCGATGAGGCGGAAGAGATCGACGCAACTCAGACTATCGAGATTGGTGAGGACGACTGGAACTCGAACGGCACTGTCAACTTGCCTCTACGCTTCGTCCGTTTCCAGAATATTACCAGCCTCGTTATTTTTGTTGTGGACGGCGATGGTGACGGTGACAAGGTGCGATTGGACCGTGTGCGCCTCATTGGCGAATCGGGAGAAAAACGGGAAATGGGAAAGCTGGAAAAGATTGGAGATGAGCCGGGGGAGTGAACAGCACTGTCAATATTAAGCGAATTAAGCACCACGCTACCAGCCGTCTCTTACGGCGGGCTGTACTTAGATAGCTCCGTCGGCCGGTATCACACATATATAGAACGTAGACCAAAGTCGAGAGCCTTTGATGTGGGAGCGAAGCTCCGATGATATGACGCCTCAACATATGGCTTACAGAATGCTGAGATAGATTTACGAGATGCATAGGCAGAGTCTACGGTGTGGATCTGCAGCACATCTTCGACTTACGAATACTGCCGTGGAATGGGAAAAAATCATACCATCCCAACCAATAAGATTATGTAGCTCTGCTTGAGCATGTCTTGACCAACCGATCCTACGACGGTAAAGTTGACGTCGAGCATTGCAACGTCCCGTGCGGGGAGCGTAGTATGGGGGGGTGTTTGAACCCGAGACAATTGTAAACGATCTAGGGTTCTCCGTTTCCTCACACCAACTCGACCCCAGTAAAATCCAAAAAGTACAAGCTAAAAAAAAAAAAGGAAAGGTATGTCCGGCACGTTGCCCGCGATCCAGGAAGCATCCAGAGGCTTACTAGAGTAGGACCGCTTCGTGGGCAACAGCTACCAGCTTGCAATTTTAATTGTTCTGTGGCAAATGACTGACGCTGCGATTCTTCTTTGACAAAATATCCATGGTGAAATAGGACTCGAGCAACACGGGAAATGTGAGGTCATGCCAGCCGCACAAAGAAAGGAAAAAGAAGAGAAGAAGTTTCGAAGAAGGCTGCGGCTGTGGAAATCTTTTATGCTGCGCAACCACGCCAGTGCGTGGTTAGTGCACAGCTGTGACCACTTGATATGTGGTATCTGGCATCTGTCCGACAAGTGGGGCCAGCGACTTCCTAGGAAGTCGTGGGCTGGCTTGGTGTGGCTGGTGTGGCTGATGTAGTTCATATGGCTGCCCACGTCACCACCTCCAATTCCCCCAGGCTTCTCGTTTCTTGATATCGGGTCTTAGCTGGCTCGGAGCATCAGAATAACCAGGTCATCCCCTCATCAGTACCAAGCTTATAGAGTCTCCAATCCAGGATTTCAGTCGCCCTACAACCGTTTCCGTGTATGCCATCCACTTTCCACCCCACTGGGAGACGTTAACGTATGTCTCTGAATAGACAAATCATCCCATTATCTAGGTAGGAGGTAGTTGGGGCGAGTTTGCCCGTCCGGATTGTGCTTGATACTGTTATGACTGATATCTTCTATTCTTTTTCTATTCCCCTACCCTTGATCTTGAGCCTCCGACTGCATGGTGCCGACTAGGTACCTGGTCAGACTCGTCCGCTTCTTATCTAGTCCAGATCGAACGTATTATTCAGCGCGGTCTTGAAACTGGATCATCCTCCGCAGTTTGGGAAACTTAGCAAATGATGATCAATCTCCAAGTGGCTTTAACAATCCCAGGGCAATAATTGAGATTGATATATACCCATCCACTCGGAGTCATGTCACCAGTCGCTCTCTAACCGTTCCCATCACTTCTCTCATCCAGTACCTAACCCCCACATATCTTCTGTTCCATCTGAAAACGAAGTCGGGGAGCACGACTGTTTAAGTGATGCGTTGGGTCAGCACTTCCAAGAATATATGAGAAAGACCCAGTGACTATCCACTGCCACCTTGCTATGCATGGTGGCCACTTGCAGAGTGTCTCTGCTATCTCTTTCTCAATCTATTCTTTCAGACTTTATTTGCTCACGATGCCATGTAACGTCACGAACTACCTGGATGGCTGGCTTATATTACTCACCACTAACTGTATTGTCAGACCTGTACTTGTACCAGGTAGGGAGGTCATCCTATCGGCTGTTCAGACTGCACCAACCCCAACCAAAGTTGAGATACCACATGTGACACTTACACAGGGTCATCTCTCTGACCCGGTCCAGTTTCTCGAAATGATATCCCTGCCAGGTGGCGGGGGGAGATACGGACGAGGTAGATGAAAGGCATGATGGGGTACGGTAGCGGTCGCCCTTCTTGGTCTATGTACTTGGCCTACTCGGCCTGCTTGCCTGCCCTGGTCCCGCCTTATTCATATGCATTGCACATTTCTATTTCCTTAAATAGAACGCTTAAAGTTGCATTGACATTATCCCCCACATAAGTCACTACCAACAGAGCCGTGTCATCGCCCTAACGGCACCCGCCTTGATATGTAACGTTCGTAGCATTGTCCCGAGCTCGCCCGCAGAAATGTCGGTCCCGTTCGACTCTACAGTTTCCGTCTCGAGGCCTCATTTCTCCGAGGTCACGCACGTTAGTGCCTTTCTCGCGGATTATACCGAGACCAAGACGAAATATGGCTGCAGTCTGCTTCTGGAAGACTTCTGTTACACTGTGGTCTTCTGTCAACTAGTACCATTGATCATGATATTCCTTGACAGTACTCCGCATTGCTTGCTGCAAATGATTTCCTAGTACCGTGTTGTTGCAGAGGGCCAACAAGCTTCCAAGGCAACGCACTTTTTTTTTATCGGAAACGACCCGTTTGATCTCTGCTGTTTCTAAGCGAGTGGGCGTGCCAACGCAGCCCTTGTACTGATCATCTTATCTTACCTCATGTCCCTGTTTGTCAAGATGTGATTCCTGTCCCGCAAGTATACTAATGCCATTACGCCTTGTATGAACCCCTACTTCACCGCTTATTTTTGGGTTGCCTCATCCCCCCATCTTAGGTTCTACTTTATTATGATGCTGCTTATACTAGTATGCTGCGGCCGCTCGCCATTGAACGTTGTTGTTTGAACCTTACAACCAATATTCCCCTCTTCCAACATATCACCTCAAATCCAGGTAGTCGTCCAAGGGATTACTATAGCATATTCCTCCTCGCTGTATCTGATACCTAACTGTAGCTCTTCGACCCCCAGGTGAAGATCTCTTATTGGTATCATACATATTTTCCTTGTATGCACCTTTACCTGCCTTGATGGTGAAAGCTACAAAGCGAAATGATAAATGTGAATGCCCTAGCATCTCACTGATTAGTAGCTTGCGACAATATCACGATTTCTGGGTAATAGGTTAGCTTCGGCACGGCAAACCCAACTTTCCAAAAATTAGCTTTGTCGTTTCCCGGCCATCCTCCTAGATACTTCAGCCTTACTATCATACTTTTCCTGGGATACGAGTCCTCCGCCGGCTCACATTTAAAAGAGTGGTTAAGTCCTCGGGTATGTTTAAGTTACCTGAACCATCACGATACTAAACAGGATCTGCATTTCCCTAATATTAAGTGTAACTAATATCTTCTAGATCACTTATCTCGCAGCGCGCACAAGTGGTGTACATTAATCGATACCCCATCAATTAGTTGAGTCGGGGACTGTCAAGTGTTTCACGAAATCTTGACAAAAGGCTGGGTTACCACGCGCTTGGCTTGATCTTGTTTGTCGCATTCCTAATACTTAGGCTAGGCTGTATAGCCTAGTAGACGTCGATTAACTGGGTTGGGCAGTCAATTGGTATTCTATTGCTGGACTAAAATGGCGAGCTCTACGGACTGGTTCCCACAGTTCTCCAAGTTACCGCCAGAGCTTCGGGACCAGATCGTAAGTGACATTGCCAAAATGCTACATTCCGTGATGAACCCCTATTATTTGTCCCTAATCCTCTTGGTAACGTTTGTTCACCCACTATGAATGGGACCGCTAATGATACGAGTTCTCATCGCAGTGGTTTTATGCTTTCCCGGAGCCCCGTATCTACGAAGTGTTTGATTCTCCCTGCTCCTCTTGCGAACGAACGGCAAGTGCCAAACTTATGTTTGCTGATATTCGAAATGAACCTCCTCCTGCCCTAGCAAGAGTATGTCGAGACTCCCGGCAAGCAGTGCTTCGCTATTACAAGCCTTTGGTTTTCTCTGGCACCGTGAAGCATATAAATCTTGGTCGCGACATTCTTCTTCTCGACTCGTACCTGCAGGTCAGGCGTCTTCTCAAGGTCGTTAGGTTGTTAAGTCAGGTCGATTGCGTGAGGCGCAGCGCTTCTAGGATCGCACTGGGGACGTCATGGGGTCAGAACTCGGGATTGCATCTCCGCCTCTTGAACCAAGCTGTCCGAACAAAACCAAACATGGCGCGATTCCTTCAGTATCTTTTGAAATTCCCCAAGCTTAAAGCCCTAATCTTAGTGATATATCAGCGCTCGGCATTCGACATGACCTCCATCCAGGCTGATCACACAACTACTAACTCTTGGAGTCATCAATATTATTGGGAAGCATACTATTGTCGATTCACTGTCAACTTCAACCTCGAGAACTATTGGGCACGGAGGCCTCTTGAGAGAAAGCTAGTTCAGCAGGACTACGAAACTGTACAGGCTGAGAAAACGACAGCTTCCACGCGCGCTTCAAAGTCATATCATCGTGGCACTAGGCCGCAAAAATACGAGTACGCATTCTCAGGTCTCTTTTATAACCCAAATGTTATTATAATCAATTCTCCTTTTTTTTCCCCCCAGCTAACGCTCAATCCCTAGCATCCAAGATCTAAAGGAAACGTTTGAACAGTCGCTCCTAAGTGTAGCAAGAAATAAATGCATACCACCCAAGTTGGAAACGGCAACGGTGACCTGGATCTGTACTCCATTCGATTATGAGGCTTATTGTTGTCGACAGAACATACCTTAAGACGATGATCAACTCTTACATATATTATACTCGCCAATGTTAATCTGCGAGAACGTGATTCTGAAACTCAGCCTGCCTCATCAGCCCGAGCAAGCGGCCAAACTACTGAAATTATGCTGGAGAGGGTGATATCTTGTAACCACTTGGGCTACCTCGATATTATCCAACCACATTGCCCCTGGCATGGTTGACATGACAGCTCCGGGACCTAGACCTGCGAAAAAGCTCAGCCTCACGGACTACTGCTTGGTACAGCGCTGGATCACCTTATAAGATAATGCCTTAGTGGCCTCGTCAGCTTGAAATAGAAGAGATGTTGATTGACGGCTCATTTATCGAAAAGTTTGAGCCTGGTTGGTGAATGGGAGCACCGCAATCCATTTTGTACATCTTAAAAAAAATAGAATGCATTGATATTTAGACAGCCCCCTAAAAACCTTTCAAATGTACATAGATTCTGAAGTACCCTCTTCTCTCAGTTATAAATCACAGTTAGAGTCTTCATGATCCTCCCAACTAATGCCCCATCTTACTCGAACTTGGACTTTTAAGACTCCTTCCCCTAAAATGATTCTTATCGCACTAGACTAACCCTATCCAGCAAAGGTTTATAATTCCAATCAATGTTTCATCAATCCTTTTCGATTCTGTTATAATGTCTGTCCTATGCACAGCGCAATGAACACAACGAAGGGTGTCCCTTATTATACCCACCTGCCCATGCACATGAAAAGAAAAAGATTTAAGCGGAAATAAATAAAAAGAAGAATTCCATGCAATTAAGAAACACTGTAAGAAAAATAGCAAAAGATTAAACGACCAGGGCCTGATTCGAACAGACGCTCCCGAAGGAACAGCATTTCCAATTCTAAGATTAATTCGAGTGCTGCGCGTTAACCACTCCGCCACCTGGCCTCGGTTGTTGTGAGCTGGCATTTTGAGCGACACTATGAACCAAACGGTTCAAAATCGAGTCAAGACCCTGCATTAGCCTAGGTCGGTGAGCTTAAGGTAAACAAGCTATGTTGCGCATTTCCTGAACTTGGAGATGTCCTTTAGGTCCAGATGGTTAATACTGCTAGATATGGAGACAGGTACAGTGAGCGCAGCTACATACCCTTGCCCTATTAATATATTACCCAATCTGATACCTCAACCCTCTTATATGACTGTAATTGCGTTTCAATTCTAGAAGATCACTACTTAACTAGTCATCATTGAATAATATTCGTCTCGTTCGCCCTTCTCTTTAGATTTTAAGTGCCTTGATGGCAAATATGGAGGAGTTGGTATGCCCTTGTAGTGGATTCCTTTAATGGACTCCTTCGCAATATCATCCAATTGCTTCGTCGGCGGTACCAGTCTCACCACCTTGATGAAGACATATAGACTGACTCTCTATCCAAAGATAAGCTGTATCCTAAGCTACAAGCATATCCGCTTCTGACTTAGTTAAAGAAGAGGTACTAGGTTAGGTAGCTTGAAAGAATTCCACAGCTCATAATCAGCAAAAGAACTTTATATTTTCCAAATTGGACTGCTCTTCCCATTCACCGGTTCAAAGATGACCTAACAGCGGTTTCGTGGTGTAGTTGGTTATCACGTCAGTCTAACACACTGAAGGTCTCCGGTTCAAGTCCGGGCGAAATCAATTTCTAGTCTTTTGCCATTCTCAGGTTCAATTTACTTTTGGTTCTTATAAGAACAATGATAAGCCCATGTTGAACAGGTCTTATGTGTATAACATTATACATTTGTTGTAAAGTCAGTTTTATGTTACTATCAAGACTTACTTTTACACTTAAACTTTACCTTAATTAATACCTTGGTAATAGAATTGAATGCTACTGAACCAGTTTGAGAGAACGTTAGCTTTGAAGAGGGGAACACATGTAGATTGGAGGCAATCCCTATTGTATGGCATCCTGTAGTCTGTTTTTATATATTGCTGAAATGAAAGCGCTCTATATAGTCTACAGCTATGAGCATATCAGAGCGCAGACTTTCCCCTTCCGCCGCGAAATTTCCTCTCAGCCTCCAAAACCAAGATAAGCTGGTGCGAGGTACAGAGAAGCTCCATGTTCTCATTGCAAATAGTGACATCGACGTTCATCCTCCCGTCCTGCAACGAGTTTGCGGCAGTTCTCGTGAATATAAAGCGTGGGCGGGCGTCTCCGGAGATCCTCCTCGTGAACTCGATATCTAGAGTAATGGTACTGTTCAATGTCGACGACTTCATAGCTTCGGCGGTTGTGTTGGGTATCACGGCGGGGACGCCGGGGTTCTTCTCGGCCCATTCTTGGGATCTGCGGAGGGCGGCGTGGGCGTCGTATAAGCCGCCATTGCGGAGAAGCGTGTCAGACATTGACTATAAAGTAAACTTCAGCGTGAGCAACAGTCTGATTCTAGAGGCTCTAAGTCCAAGGTGGATCATAGTAAAGGGAGCTTTATAATCGAGGTACATACGGGTATTATATCCGTCATCATCGCCAGATATGTAGCGTCACTCCTTTCATTGTCCACACTATTCCACGCGTCGCAGATACCGTCGTGCTGAAAGCCGTCACGAGGATTCAACACCAGAATCCTACGTGTAAAAGGTACGATCTCACCCGAGACCCGTAAAGGGATCCAATTAGGATCAGACTTGTGTGCCAATACGCCATCGAAATCAGGCGCGGGCTTCGCAGGCGGATATAGAGTCCTAGCGATAGGGAGCGGAACAGTAGGACCTAATACTCGATCGAAATTAATTGCCGTAGCAAGAGCAATAACTCTGACCTGCCCTTCCTGTGCTAGCTGGAGCTCGATGGTGCTTGTGGCGGCACCCGTTCTCAAGACGGTGATGGTGATAGTGCTATCCTGTCGTATGCAAGGACGGAGAAATTCGATGTGTAAGTTGGCGACGTCTGGCTGGTTCTTCGCACTCATGACGGGATCGGTTGTGAGATGTGTCTCGGCCGCATGGTGAATTATAGCAGCGACACATCCGCCATGGAGCACTGCAGATCGATTGTGAGACGATATCAAGTGATGGATAATAATGAATGAGATGCCGTACCAGCGCCAACTGTCCAATCAACATGCCATGCAGCTGTATAAGTGCCAGGAGCAGGATTGTGAAGGTCTATTTGCGATTTTAGAATGGTTGCCATTTTGCTTTTCAGAAAGGCACTGTCTGTAAATTCGAAGCACAACCCAATGAACTAGAATTGTTGGCGTATATATAGCCGTAATACTAGGTAGCTGAGTGAACCTGTTGTAGCTGAATGTCGTCAGATCCTATAACAAGCGAAAATCGCGATTCCTCATCACGATGCAAACGTGATTTGCTCTCTTGAACTATTTATATAACAGCCAAGACCACCGCTGGACTCACAGAAAGCAATAAAATCGGTACAAATGAGGTAGGGAGTGAAGCAAATAATCTTCAAAGTTGGTCTCGGGATTTTTCTTTTTATCTGTTGGTATGCAGCATTGTGCAATTGTGCGGCAGAGCGATTAACTAACCCAATTTGATGCGTGAAGAAAGCCTCGTGCCTCGCATCTAAGACTCCATATGTATTCTGTCTACTGAATGACTCCTATGTTGTTACTAGCAATGTAGACCGATATATACGCCCAAAAAATATTACAGGTCCTGTTACAATACCGTTGAGTAGCAAAGTACACCGCCAAACGCCTGTTTGATCATGCATGTTGTATGTGGAGCAATTACTCGTGAGGAGCTAACTCTCTCGTGAGCAACTTGTCCCTTTCCTCTTGGCTTCTACTGCTTCCAACAACCGTCTGGCCATCTAATTCTGGGTCATATTCCTCTCGAGCATTTTTACTGCTCCCCTTTTGTGCAACTTTGGATGTCGCCGATTTGGACAACGAAATACTGTCGTTGCTCTCGTTGCCAATCGACTCATCGTCGCTATCGTCGCCGAAATGATCATCGAAGGGATCACGATCATCGCCATCCTCTTGGGGTAGCCTCTCATGGCCTGTCTCCTTCAGCTTGATGAAGCCGTCAATGATATAATACTGTAGAGCGTTCATGATCAAAGGGAATAGCATCATGACGAAAAATATTTGAAGCTGCTCGTTACCCTCGGTCCACCTCAGTGCCCAGTCTCCTACGCGTGAAATCCAAGGTAATATCAAGAATATGATCAATACGCATAGTTTCATGCCAAACAAACCACAGAAGTAGATAACGGATTGCTTCAGCCACCACCAAGCGCTTGGTGGATTACCATAATTGCCAGACTGTACTGATTCATATGGTTTGCCCAAAGGTGTGTAGGTGACCAGACCAGTTATCACGCGAAGAAGGACTATCAGGATGGGAATACCAATGGTAGTCTAGAAAGGTGAACTCGGATTAGCTTCCATGATGTCATCAATAGGAATGATTACGGATACTCATGACTTACATCGATAGCCAGATTCAACAGGTAGAAAGAGCAAGGATTAGGAACGTAAGGGACGTCTGCTCTTCGCAACAGTCTCGCGGCCGTCTGTACACCCGCTGGCTCCATCTGAATGGAGAACCGACCGCTGGTGAGCATCGACATGAATATGTTGGCCATGTGCACCAGAACGGAACCAAAAACTTGTTTCGACACGTCGAAGAACCATATCTTGAGCGGTCTCTGCGGTCGCTCGCGCCAGCGCTTGAAGACCAGCGAAAGAAGCGCAAGGGCACCGAGGGCTAGCTGAACAAGAAGCGCAAAGGGCCCGAGCAGACTGCATTCGCCTTCACCACCTCCACCGCCTCCTTTATCACCGTCATTCCCATCACTAGCACTGGCCACGGACGTTGCCACAGCGGCTATTGCAGATGTGGTAGCCGTCAAGAGGATAGCCATGTCTGATAGTGGCGTCGGAGAGAGGCTGACGCTGCTCGTGGCGGCCGACGTCGCTACCGCGGAGACATCGGCGGTGAAAGGTAGAGGCATTTGTAGAATATCGCGAGGCTAGAAGAAGTGCAGGCCTAAGCCAAAGCGCGTTGAAGGAAGAAAACGAGAAGCGGATGCGTAAGTGGGAGATGTTCGCTGGTGACGCAGGACTATGCGGGCGATCGACATTCGGTTTCGGCAAGTGGATGGCGAATGGCGGGTGGCGGCTCTAGAACGGCGCTGCTGGTCTTTCTTCTTAGACAGAGAAGGCAGGGGAACCAACTCTATGAAATTCGGGAACTCGACGAGATAATAGGGGATTTAGACCAGAACCTCCTGTAAAATGGAATTTATTTATCATCAAATAATTTGAATGGGAGAGTTCCAGAGGTTGCAACGAGTTCAGGAGGCGCCTATCCTCTCAAAGCGTGGATGTGGTACTTACCGTATGCCTAGAGTGACATCGGACACTGGCTTAGATGCACTATCAGGTAGGTACCTACTCTCCGCTGAGGCTAGCGGTTAGTGGTATTTAGGCCGATTCTGGTCTCCCGAGGACTCCCTAAAGGTTATGCCTTGGCTCCACTGGTATTAAGTTTGCGGCTGATGAGTTAAGGGCGGTACCTATTTTGTAAGTACTCTCCTACCCCCCTGTTAGCTGACCTACGACAGGTATTTCCGCTAGGCGTAGCGTTGAAAACCCGCCGTGCAGGGGGTTTTTCCGTACAAGCGCGATACACAATCGCGGACGAGATACCTTTCGTATGGGGCGCACTAAGGCTAGCTCGAAAAGAATACCTGACATAGGTCGATTTTACTGGCCCTGGACCATAGTACCGGCAAGTACAGTGAGTTCCGGGCCGCTGGCATTGGTCTATTTTTGGATGCACATCTGCAGCTCCCTACTTACTTACACGTAGGCATTCCCCGTACAACAAGCACCAGCTCCTTGAGATTGAACATGATTCATACCACAAATTTGGCCTTGCCTATATTGTCATGTTGATTTTATCGTAGGCATGATTCGGTAGTCTTTAGGAGGGACTTTCTACACCTTCCGTACGTATGTACCTGCTGCACCTTGAGTGACTATTTAGAGTGGGATGTACCAAGGGATCACTTTATCATGAAGCAGCCTAGGATTCTGGGTAGCTCATATCAATTATATTTGCTCTGAAAAAGACTTTGTTCCTGAGGGGTTTAGGGTATAGTTCTGAACTACCTGGAAAGAGGGGGGCATAGTTGTCAAAGCAGCATATTCCATTCTGATACCAAGGTCGACCATCCTCGTCCGTGCAAATCACATCACGGTTCTCCTTTAGCAGTAAGCGCATGCGCGCTAGTCATCTCATAATACAATAAATTTAGGTACACGTTAGTTTTCCTGATAAGCCATCTGTGCTTGTACAGGAAGGTTGATGAGGACGAACCGATTACGTCCCAGAAGTTGCTGCCGTAATGAGATGCTGTACCCTAAGTGTATGATGCAGCTTGCCTACTCAAGAGACGCAGATCTTGTTGGGTCGCTGCGGGAGAAATCCACGCACGAACGTCAATGCGGCTTTACGTGCGTGGCGAGCAACCTCGTCCGGCTTGCTCTTCTTTTTGTCCATCATCGGAATCGGCCGTCTCTTGATCGACGACGTGGTGGAGGTAGAGCTTGAGGTAGAAGGAGGAGATGACGGGACTGCAGATACAGTGCTAGCACGGTTCTGGAGCCTATCCGCAGGCCCGTCTAATCGTCAATCGATACCGTATTGTTTCTTGAGCTGACCTAAACTCTCCTGGCGGGCTTGCACGTCGTCTTTCGACTTGAGCGTCTTCTCTGGTTGGTGCCATAGTACTACATGCAACTCGGTTAGCTATATGCTGTGCAGTATGACAACACCCCGGCCGAGGAGGCAACATACCGACAAGGTATCTGTTTTGAAAGTTGAAGCCGTTTAGCTTCTCAAGGGCGTTCTTCGCGTCCATCGCATTCCAGAAGACGACATAGGCGGTTCCCTTTGTGTCGACAGAGATTCCTTTCCGAATTTGACTTCACTTCCGTTAGTAATCCCATACAGTGTTACATATGGCGATGGAGTGTGTGAGGAGTCGTACCGGATGATGCCCGTCTCGTCAGGGTCGAAGAGCTTGAAGAGGTCGCCGTCTGTGACTTCGTAGCTGAAGAGACATTAGAATATAGTCAATTACGACGAGGCGGAAGCGGATTGGTTAGCATTGTTGGGCCACTGACTTGAGGTTCTTGATAAATAAGACTCTGTATTGCAGTATGTTAGTGTGCCAGGGGTCACGATGTAAGTGCCTTAACAGCCATGTCATAAGGGTGGGCGCGCAACTCACGGCAACTGCTCGGGGGCAAGCTTTCCGGCGCGACTCATATCTTGATGGCTGTGATAAGTCCGAGATGATAACAGGGTTCCGTATAATGGCACGATTCTGATTGTGCTCGAGAAGGAGTGGAGGTTGAGTTGAGATCGGGGTAGAAGCCGATGCACGAGACGTAGTGCAGATGTATGGAAGTTTGGAGAAGTGGTTGAGCCTTGAGCGTCGACATGGCTGGCCTGGTGAGCACACGGACCGATCGGGGGCGGGGACCCACTTCTATGATCCTCTCGGGCCACGTGATAAGATAGAGAGGGAGCGGATGGGCAGGTCTGGCAGGTACTTGTGGCAGACACGCGTCAACAGCGAGTTGGAAGTACCTCTGTTCAATCCACTTTTCACATCTCTGTTATCGTCATGTACCTCTCTGGCCTCTTTGCCTGGTGAGGGGGTCCCAAAATGATCACGCCATCTGCTTCATCTTGCGTTTTTGTGTGTTGTACTGACTAGTACGAGTCTCTCGATACAGGGTGACGTTCAATCATCAGTCCATAGCCATCGGTAAGATATTGCATGGCAATATGGCATGGGATGTGGTAATTCTTCAGCAGTACTACGCCGACTTCCTAGGAAGTCGTTTGAGCCTACATTTGCAGTACCTAGTAGTAGGCATGACTACCCAACTTACCTCAATCTTGTATTGATCTCCAGATAGCGCCTCCGAGAAGAGACAGTCACATATCAAATATCATATATATGGCAAATATAATAGCAATCATTAATACCTACCTACCGCACATTACGACACTTAACCATTGACATCGAAGCCATACCAAGACAGTGTGCCCTGCCAAGTATATGCCAAGGTAATAGCGATTGCTGATGATCATCAGGGACTTACTGTACCTACTTAGTACTTCATGCCTCAGGCAACAACAATAATATACTGTATTTATCTACTTAGATCACTTAAGTTTACCTGCTTGGTGAGGTAATGATTACTTACGGAACTGCACCTCACGTCTAATTCATCTATTATTCAGATGAGCAGAGAATGACTAAGCACTGATTGATGCGCTGGCCATGTCTACCTGGGCAATTACAGGATGACTCCCTCGACTCCCTTTCCTCGAAGAACCAACCACACATCTAGCGGGATAATCATAGCACTTAAACAGGCACCTTCTACCTAAATGGGTGCAGTCTGGGGCAAGGGTGCTAGCACACGATTGGCTGGCAGACTCCAAGCCAAATGGGCAATATCCTCTGAAAGCTAGCGGAATCGCAGCGCAGACCAAGAAACCCATGTCTACTAACCTCCGAGACAACGGGCCAACAAATACCCCATCCATCTATCCCATGGCTTCTATTCGCAGGCTACGATACTCATGTTTGACTCCGTAGCGTCCTTTTGGTTCTGCTCTTCCAACCTTGGTTCGAGTGTCTTTCTAGACACTAGCAACCCGCCGCCTCGCTCTGCTCTCCCGCCATCTCAGTTCTCCCTCATAACGGCTGTGGAGAACATCAACTCCTGTTACCAACCAAGGAACACCACTTTCTCATGGTTAGGCGGCTTGCATCAGACTAATGCCATCTGCAACACCGCCCATTTACTCGATGGCGTCGCCGTCGAGTCGGAAACGTAGGCGAGACGATAATGGGGAGGTACAAATACCATTGTATGACCCCCTCTCGGAAAATCATGCAGAATGTCTCCAGTTGGCTGACAATGCTTTCTTCATAGCAGTAATTCGACGCTCGAAGCCTCTCAGAACCTTCTCTCCACCATAAACAACAATGAACGATTCATCATACCTTCGAACAGAGGCCCAACATCGCTCTTCAGTGTCCCCCGAAAAGCCATTGCCCTACCCGTGAGCAAGAAATTTCGACTCGTTGATAACAGCCAACGTGAGCAACCACACAACCATAGCCTTCACCATAACGGCAATCTACCATCCACCCTATCACAATCACAGCAATCCCACTATTCTCATGGTCATCCCGAGCTACCTTCAACCCCCTCTGCATCTCCACATCTCACCCACCTTTCTACCACCAAAACAAATTCGTCAACTTTTCTCAATCCTTGCCACATATGTCACCGAAAGCCTACTAAGAAATCCGACCTCGATTCCTTTGCCGATTGCATGGGCTGCGGTGAACGAGCATGTTATGTCTGTATACGTGCCTGCCAAGGCTGGCTACCGACAAATGATGGTGACGCCACTAGAGAGGAAGATCTATCAGCATCATTCACCATGCAGGACATAGACGATGAAGAGAGCACTTCTCACCGTACAGAAAGGGTGCCAGATGTACAAAAGCCTGAACAGAGGCAGAAGAAAGGCGAAGGAGGGTGGAACGGTGAAGGCCACTGTAGCGTCATCTGCAGCCGGTGCTGTGTCGAAAGCGGTGGTGAAGGCGATGTCATTTGCTTAGGATGCTTAGCTGGCATGAAAGGGGCCTAGAACACCCCCATGAGCGAAACAATCCAATGAATAGAAGGAAAGCCAAGTCCTGATGTTAATGGGCAACATTGAGGCCAGATGGGCCGGGGAGATATCCCGGGGATTGCATGAGTTGATGAGACACCACGAAGAGCATTACTAGAGCATCAAGGCAGCAGCCTCCGACCACCGCATCACACGTCGTCATCGCAATTGGAGGCGTTTAGACGGAGTTTATGGACCTTTTCGTTGATTTTAGTATGTCTCTGGCATACGTAGCATGGCGCGGAATGACACGTTATGAGATATTAGGGGTGTTGTTCGAGTTTAGATACCACAAATATGTTGCTTGGCGAGATGCATATATAGCGCCAAGCACTCGCTATACATATAAGGAGGGAGAGGAAGCACCCATGTGGACGCAAGTGCGGTTTAATACTAATAAATACGATCAAATAATGAGACTATAATGTCACGTTGGCTGAGTTTCGATAACTTTACATGCGTTTCATGAACACATGAAGGGAATCTCGTTGAGGTACAGAGAGCACATGGAGACCACTGTATATAGATAACTCTCAACGTTCAAATCAAGAGAACACAGAATATAAGCATATGCGAAGTCTTTGATTCATTACTGTTCTATTCATCTGTGCTACCGTGCCGTCTCTAAGAATGAGGATCCAGCCCAGCGCCATTGATTTCATTTCGCCCATACTCATACATCCAAACAAGCACAGCCCCCGTAAGCGCACGGGATAACGCATCTTTAATTGTACTGCATATATGTGGCTGTTGAGTTGAATTTGAGGTTGCCCTTGATGACCTTGTCGACGGCACTTAGGAAGTCCTTCTCGGAAGCCACCTTTCTCCTGGCGCGGATGGCGAACATACCGGCCTCGGTACATACACTTCGCAACTCGGCACCCGTGGCGTTGGGGCAGAGACGCGAGATGAGCTCCCATCGGATGTCTCGCTCGACTGACATACTCTTGGCGTGAATGCGGAGAATGTTCGCCCTTCCCTCGAGGTCGGGGAGAGAGAACTCGATCTTTCGATCGATACGGCCCGGCCGCATCAAGGCAGGATCCAGTGTCGACGGTCTATTGGTGGCGAACATGACCTTAATATTTCCTCGGGCATCGAACCCGTCCAGTTGTGTGATCAGCTCCAACATGGTTCTCTGGACTTCGTTGTCTCCACCAGCACCGTCGTCGAATCGAGCACCACCGACAGCATCGATTTCGTCGAAGAAGATGATACACGCCTTCTTCGTCCTCGCCATCTCGAAAAGCTCTCGAACCATTCTGGCACCCTCGCCCACGTACTTCTGGACCAGTTCGCTACCGATGACTCGAATGAATGTGGCGTCTGTTCGGTTCGCAACTGCACGAGCGCACAGGGTCTTTCCAGTACCGGGAGGTCCATACAGCAGGGCACCCTTCGGGGGATCGATACCCAAGTTGACGAACCGTTCAGGCGACAACAACGGCATCTCGACGACTTCTCTTAGCTTCTCTACCTGCTCCTTGCACCCACCCACATCGCCATACGTGACATCTGGCTTCTCTTCAACCGTCATCATAGTAACGCTCGCGTCGATCTTGGGAGGTAAGGGAAGCATGATCTGGTACTTGTTGCGGTCGACGCCGACACGCATACCCTCTTCGATATCGGTAGGCGAGACACGCTCGCCCAGTTGGACGACGAACTTGGCTATTTGCTTGACGTTGATGACATATTTGCTCTTTGACTCGTCCTTCTCGTCCGCAATGATCTTAGTACATCGTGCCACCTGTAATGGTTGCTCCTCGGACATGCGTTGCCGATCGGCGGCGACATCCCATAGGTGTGGCGGGGCGAGTCCCGTGTCGGATTCCTTGACACCGATCTTCTCATCTACGCTTTGTTGCTTCTCCTTGATCTGAGCCTCTAGCTTCTTGAGTGACGTTCCGTAAGGTGCAGCGCCGTAGGTCTTGAGTACTTGGATATCTCTGTCTTGGAAGTTAGCGGCTGGAGTGATGGGCATGACGGCAGTGCGTACTCGTCAGATAGAGGCTGGATCTTTTTCTCTTCTATTTCGTCATCCGCAAAGTTCTTCTTATACTTCTCCCAGTTCGACCCCGTGGCGGAAGGCTGTATGTCAGGTTAATTTAAAGTTATCTCGCGCGAGAGTATGCATGACCTACCATATTGGCGGCCGACGCAGCGAAGACGGTTAAACGGGTTTGAGGCTGTACGTAGAAAGGCGGTCGGAAGCAATGAGGTGCGTAGGAGAGAAGAAATAGAGGCTTCAGGGATCAACGAGAAAGTGTCGTATTACTTAAGAGAGAGCGTGAGATGATGGTGACGATGAAATGGGCAGGGCGAATGCTGGGCGACGTAGACGTACACCAGATAGATACCTGTAGAAGCTTAGACCAGTCAGCCTATTTGTTACCCGCATAAGTTACTATTAGGCCCCGGGTTGCTCTGGCTGGTTGCATAAGCTCTCTATTGCCTGGAGAGTACAAAGCTACTTTCCCGAGTTTCCTTCCCAGCATATATGAGCTATTAGACCCAATTGGGTTTAGACAATCGACAGCCTTGTAAGCAGGCTTGGCAGGTAGCTACCCCCCAGACATAATTATTTGGACTAAAAAAATGATAACAATTCCATCACAGCCTACAGCGGGGATACATACAGCCCGACCGCTAAATCTACCTATCTACCCTTAAAAAACACCCTACCCTACCCACCTCCTGACCACGGAACAAGACGAGGGGAGGACGGCCATTCATATCGGAACCAGTATAACGCAGTAAAATTCGAAGTCCTCTTGAGAAGCTCGATACAATCTCACATCCAAAATCAACATGGCCTCCGCCGCAGCAGCTCCGCCGAGTGGCGGCAACAGCGCGGGTGTTTTTAGGGTATGTCGCCAGGCTTGTTCCTGGGGCTATTAGGGATCATCCAAGATTGTAGCTAATCTTGAAACAGAATAAAGAGAAGCCCGTGGCTGTACGTTCATCCAACATTGTCGCTGCTAGAGGTATTCCCGTTCCCTACCCGAGTCTTCCCTGACCCCTCCATCGCTAAGCCAGTAGTGTAGCTGTTGCCGATGCCATAAGAACCTCTCTAGGCCCCCGAGGAATGGACAAGATGATTCGAAGCGGCAAGGGCGAAACCATTATCACAAACGATGGACATACCATGTTGAAGAGTATGGCTGTCATGCATCCGACTGCGAAGATGCTCGTCAACCTTTCGTCTGCCCAGGATGTCGAGGCCGGTGATGGAACAACCTCTGTTGTCGTCATATGCGGTGCTTTGCTTGGTGCCGCAGACCGCCTACTCTCTAAGGGCATTCACCCATCGGTCATCTCCGAGTCTTTTCAGCGAGCTGCCGCCGCCGCCGTCCAGATTCTACACGACATGTCACAGCCTGTTTCTCTATCAGATAGCGCTACCCTGCTTCAGGCAGCCAACACCTCGCTATCATCAAAGATTGTCTCACAATACTCGGGCCTACTGGGTTCCATGGCCGTGAACGCCGTCACAAAAACGATAGATGTCAAAACGGCCGACAATGTCGACCTAAAAAATATCAGAATTATTAAGAAAGTCGGAGGCACAATAGAAGATAGTGAGCTGGTCAATGGACTAGTTCTAACACAACCCGTTATCAAGGCCGCTGGTGGGCCGATAAGAATGGAGAAGGCCAAGATTGGTCTCATCCAGTTCCAACTGAGCCCTCCCAAGCCAGATGTGAGTATCAAATGTTACGTTTACTTACCAGAAGTGCCCGTCAGCTAATGTCCATTAGATGGAAAACACCATCTCAGTCAACGACTATCGTCAAATGGATAAGATTGTGAAAGAGGAACGACTCTACCTATTAGATCTGGTCAAGAAGATCAAGAAGGCGAAGTGCAACGTTCTCCTGATCCAGAAATCTATCCTTCGTGATGCTGTCAATGATCTCTCATTGCACTTCTTAGCAAAGCTCAACATCCTTGCCGTCAAAGACATTGAACGAGACGAGGTTGAGTTCATCTGCAAGTCAACTGGCTGCAAGCCCATTGCGGACATTGACTCTTTCACTGAGGACAAGCTCGGAACCGCCGATCTAGTTGAGGAGGTCCAATCTAACGGAGCCCGGATGGTTAAGGTCACGGGCACGAAGGCAACAGGCAAGACTGTCTCGGTAGTATGCCGTGGCGCAAACGGCCTTATCCTCGATGAGGCAGAGCGTTCTCTCCATGACGCACTTTGCGTTATCCGGTGTCTTGTCAAGAAAAAGGCTCTCATTGCAGGTGGTGGTGCCCCTGAAATTGAGATAGCGGCCCAACTTTCCAAACAGGCTCGTTCCTTAACTGGAACCGAAGCCATTTGCTGGAAGGCATTCGCTGAAGCTCTAGAGATTATACCCACCACACTAGCCGAAAACGCTGGGCTCAACAGCATCAAGGTTGTTACAGATCTTCGACATAGACACGAAATGGGAGAGAAGAACGCGGGTGTCAGCATCAGGAGTGGCGGTGTGAACACGAACATCGCCAAAGAAAACGTACTCCAGCCATTGTTAGTGAGCACAAGCGCCATAGAACTAGCAGCGGAGACGGTTAAGATGATACTAAGAATTGACGACATCGCATTGACGCGGTAAAGCGGGAAGGGACTTGCAGATATCCTGCAGGGGGTGTAACATAACAGACATGTAATCACACATGGTCAGGATGTCTAATAGATTGATTCCCCAACCATCACCATTAGTGGCCCCAAGGCTTACTTGGAAATACAACGTGTATAGCACTAGTGAAAGAAAAGATGATTACGCCGCATTCAGATTGAGTATCCAGGAAGACAGGGGGAAAATCGAAACAAAAGAGGACAATCCATTAATCGGGACGAAACAAAATGGCATCATCGTATATCAAAATGTAATTCGGCTTTGATTCCGTGCCCCAGAAACAAGTCCCCACGCTAGGCGGGGTCGATGAGGGGCAGCTGTTGCGAATGGCGTCACTCTTATACGCTACTTAGGCAAGTAGATATGGGAGCAGGGGTCGCGTGTGTGCGGAAGCTCGCTGATTAATTCAATGATCGGAGTTAAACTTTACATACTATGTATGTCTCACGATAGCCGAAGGGGTTCGACTACATGTAGAAACCATCGCGGACAATTTGGAGTTGTATTGATGGTATAATAAAGAGGCTAATTCGCTCTCGCAACAAGAGCACATTCATGGTAGAGACACACATACCTACTTCCTCAATTGCGAATATATAAACTAGCACGTCACTTGAATTCAAGCTGTGTGTCATTTCATCTATTCCATGTCCCTTCGGGCTATATCACACCCGACATCTGTAGCGTCTCGTCGGATATCCGCTCTCACGTCCCAGCTCTCGCAATCTCATATAACTGTAAATCTCCGGTCAGCAGAAATTACCACAAGAAAGGGTTTCACTACGACTACAAGAAGTAAAGGAAAATACGTCAAAATGGCTCCGGTTCCCAACACTATGAAAGCCGTCTACATCAACCAGACGGGCGGCACGGAGGTCTTAGAACACAAGACCGACGTCCCCGTGCCGACGCCCATAGACGGCGAGATCCTCGTCAAGAACGACTTCATCGGCGTCAACTTCATCGACACGTACTTCCGCTCGGGACTGTACAAGGCACCGCAATTCCCCTACATCCTGGGCCGTGAGGCCGAGGGAACCGTCGTGGCCGTCGGCCCAGGCGACGTCCTGGACTTCCAAGTCGGCGACCGCGTGATCTGGATGGGCGAGCGCGCCTACGCCGAGTTTGCCTCGGTCCCGGCGGCCAAAGCCATCAAGGTCCCCGCATCCTTCAAGCCTGGCACCGCGGCCGCGGCGTTACTGCAAGGACTCACGGCGCTGACGTTCGTGCGCGAGGCGCACGCCGTAAAGAAAGGGGACTGGATCCTCGTGCACGCTGCCGCGGGCGGCACCGGACTGCTCTTGTGTCAGTTACTCCGGGCCATCGGAGCGAACACCATCGGCACCGTCTCGACGGAGGAGAAAGCGGCGCTCGCGACGCAGAACGGGGCCTCGCACGTCATTAACTACAGCCACGAGGACGTCGCGGCGCGCGTGAAGGAGCTAACGGGCGGCAAGGGCTGCGCGGCCATCTTCGACGGCGTGGGCAAGTCCACGTTCGACCTGAGTCTCGAGTGCGTGGCGCTCAAGGGCAGCCTGATCTCCTTCGGCAACGCCTCGGGCGCCGTCCCGCCCTTCACCATTACGCGCTTGGGTGCGAAGAACGTGCGCTTGATGCGGCCTACGCTGTTCGGATACATTAGCACGAGGGAGGAGTTCGCGGCCTATACGGAGGAATTGTTTGGCTTTATTGAGAAGGATGGCTTCAATGTCAAGGTGCATGATGTTTACCCCCTTTCTGAGGTGAAGCGCGCCCACGAGGATTTGGAGGGCAGGAAGACGACGGGTAAATTGCTGCTTGATCCTTCGAAATAAATGACATTGGTGGCTAGAGTATTGTTCTCTTTAGACTAGGTGCCTATGTATTAGGCTGTATCAAAGTTGTAATATGAGACGTAATGACGACTTTGTGAGACTGTATGGTGATTCTTGCAGTGCAACCCGTATATTCCTTTTCTGTGCTTGGCATATTAGCAATATGAAGAAGAAAAGGGGGTTAATAGAGGAATAAATGCGAAGAATTCCTCCGTTTGTGATACACTTTTAAGCTCGCTGCTTAGCTGTTGACTTGCCTATGCACGAATATCTACTCACCAGCTTGATGCGGGTGTGTATTCATCCTCATGTATTCCAGGCAGCCGTTAGAATACGCAATTCCCATCGCCGCATACCTAAGCAACTAAGGGTAACTTGAGCTGGCAAAGGAAGGTGTATCTGAGGCAGTCCGCTCCTCTTGCTCATTGTTTTGGGTTCTCTGACTGTTCAGACCTAACAACATTCGTGTCCCTGCGAACGGTGTTATTGCGTAAGCTTTCGAGCCCCTTATTGCCTGTCTGCCTCAGTTGAACTCAGTAAATATCTGTCTCTTGCAGTTCTCGACACTGCTTACAGTGCCTCTTGTTACGTCTTCGATTTTATTGGCCGCGGGGATCCGTACTTCGAAGTGAGCCACGTAGTGTTCTTTCTCCTCATTCAAAATTCTGAGGAGACAAGAGTGTCGTATTGCATGTTACCAAATCCCCCGATCTATTGCGTCTCCTGATAGGCGCAGGCAGGCTTCGATGTTTAGTGGTTAATTGGATGCTAAAGCTGACCAGGGTTAAAAGAGGCTTATTCGAACTACCAAAGTGTAGCTTTTCCTCCATAACCATTAAATAATCCGACGTCATAGAGACTCCAATGTCTAGAAGGAGTGCATTGTGTAAAAGAGTGAGATAGACTATTGATAGAGAAATAGCTGTGAAATGTCATCCCGAATACAAATAAGAACTTTAGTCATCAACATCAGGTCAGGCATCCCTCTTCTTCAACTGCAACTCCGGGCCTTGACGGAGGGAGACAAATGCGTCCAATACCTGGAACTGGTTCTCGTCTGTGCAACCCCATCCTAGGCCAGGATGTCCACCCCCCAGTGTTGATCCAGGAGCCCTCCTTATATGGAATCGATAAAGCGTCCGAGCCACCGTAATCATTAGCTCTGCCAATGCTAGATTTCTTCCAGCACAGACCCCTGGACCAGATGAGAACGGACGCAAATGGGATCTCAGCCGTGCAACCTCTTCTTGATTTGTACCATTCACGATCCAACGTTCAGGCCGAAATACTTCGGCGTCGCCGTATACATTCGGATTGTGTGTATCAGCCCAAGGGACGGTGCCCACAATCGTGCCTGGTGGATAGTGCTCTCCCTGAACGACGAGTCCCCCAGGCAGCACTTCTCGCGGGAGGTCACAAGTTAGGGCCGGGGCTATGCGCATAGTCTCGTCGATACAAGCATTCAAATATGTACATGCCAGAAGTTTTGGTCCATATACGATTTTGTCTGCCGAGTCGAATGTTCCAAGGATCTCATCGACAAGTTTGTCGCATATTTGCGGGTTACCGGAAAGACAAAAGAACAAACACGAGAGGGTTACAGATGTAGTATCGGTTCCGGCGAAGACGAGCAAGCTCGACTCAGCTAGTAAGGCACTATCATCGAGAGCAAGTTGATTGGTCTCTGGATCCCGAGCTTCGAATAGGAAATGAAATATATCTTGGCGTCGTTCTGCTTCTGGTTTCTTTTGCTGTTCTTTTTGTTTTGCTATTCGTTGCGTCACGCTATCGGAAATAAACTTGTTGTACTGCTTGATGGTCGGAGGGACAATCAGGTCGAACAAATGGTCGAGGCCGCGAGGCTTTAGCCAGTTCATAACGCTAAGGAATGGAGAGCGGCAGAGCTATAAGAATTAGCATCAAAAACCAAAGTTGAAATAATTATATGAGGCTGTGCTATTCTGCCTTCTTGGACGCCTAAAGGGATGCCATCTGGCTACCTCATTCTGGACTTTTGCACCCAAACTTAGATCTAGACATGTGCGCAGAAGTTCGTACATCTGAATATGGTCGGAACTTACTGAATAATAGAACGCCATATATTCGGTGGTAAGGTTGGGCACCGCTTTTAGGGGGTTCTCGCCGGGTTCTTTGACATCGAAGGACCTCCCAAAGCAAAGATCACCTGTGATATCGAAGATGAGTGCATTCAACCTCTCCGTAAAATCTAGTGGAGAAGACCACCCATTGTCGTTGAACTTTTCTTCCTCGAAAAGGTCGTGCCAACGATCCACATGCTCAACAATAAAATGACATGCAGCAGCCACAGATTTTTCGGTGAAGGCAAGGTTTAGTATTTTGCGTCTCCAGGCATGCTCCTTTACGTCGATAGTATTAAACGTGCTGGTCTCATGCTTCTTGCGCCTGAAAGCCGTGTAGAACTGGCTACGTCGGACATTCGACTTCATGCCATATATCTCTTTATGTGCTCCTGGGTTCAAGAACAGTACTGTGTTCGGCTCTGGACGAATCCTGTCACCGTAGATGTGAAACTGCTTCCAGAGCCAGATATGGCGTCTGCCGGTTGTGGCATAATACCAGGATGGGAAACCAGTTGCTCGGGCCCAGAAGGGACCAGGAATATGGGATAGAGGATGAAGGAACACGTTATAGATAATCCTTGCGAGAAGCTATTGGTATATTCTAGTTAGCAGTAAACTACTGATATCGTTACACACGGTCCATCTGCGGGGAGACTCAGTAAACACGAACCAAAACAGAGCCCACTAGGAAGAAAGCTGTGACCCAGACAACGAGGTCTTTGCCGTGCAATAATAGTGATGACATTGTGATGCTGGCTCAGGATGACAATGAAAATAGTTGTTTAAAATACGATGATTGAACTGGCTGAGCTGGATGAGTACACGGAGTATTTAAAAAAAAAAAAAAAAAATTGAAGCAGCTATCAGTCAGATTTATTCTTCATACTGCCATACGATGGAGGAAGAATCAAAGACGTCTATGGATCGAGCTATTACTATATAGGTTTATTAATCGGGCACCCGTCCGAGCCAATTACTGCGTCTCAATCATACGCACGCCGTGGATAGGCAGTAAGCATTGCACCATAATGGATCGTGATTTCTTTTTTCGACGAAGAAGTCTACTTATTGAATAAACAGGGCACTTCAATTAGCTGGGAGGCAACTTGGGGGGTCACAGCATAATCATAGCCATCCATGCCAATTTAATAGAGGGGAGTAGTAGAACGATGACTTGACTAAACCTGTACAGAAGATAAACTACTGTATGTATGATCATATCATTATACGCGCTGAACGCGTTTGACACCTTTATGCGAATACTGCCTCAGGCTTCGGATCATGCGACTTGTGTATGACACCTTCAATTAGTCATTGACCTCATATAAAGAGTGAAGTTTTTGAAATCTCGCTCATATAGACAGACCGCAGATGTTAGGAAGGCCAGTCTGAAATTTGAATGGGACCTCATGGACCTTGACGGCCATAGTAGATTATTGCAAGTAACCTCAAACCTAGCCCTGACTTTCGATCATGAAATACTGCTAAGAAATTTCTCATCGAGCTCGCAGTGTCAGCTTTCTTCAGCTGATCCATGCACACCTGACAAACCATGCTAGCTTATGCCCACGGAGCATTGAACACCAGCTACACCATCGAATAAGACGCTGAGAAATTCAGACTGATATGGAAAAGGCAATCTTTGCATTCGTAGTATTGCCTACCTAGAATAGACAAGCTTTGTGATTCGACAGGGACCAGCAGGTTTCGAGGTGGGAACGAAAAGGCTGCCCCCTTCTTAAGCAGACTAATCAGCAGTGAGAAAGCGCATCTACTCAAGGCTGTGTAACACACGGTGACGTAGTTCGAGCTGTTCTGTGATGTGAAAAGCTCCAATAGCTACCCGTGAGTCAACTACCGAGAGCGATATCGTCATACTGTAGAGCTAGAGCTGTCTACACTCACTATAGATCTCAGAAGATATACCTCACAACTAGGTACGAGCTGAAAAAGCAAAAGTGGACGAGAGCAGAGGTCAAGCGGCCCTAGGGGCCATCATGATGCCAAGCTGTTTGACGCCAAACTCATGGCCTCTCTCCCGTTTGAGCGATCCATGCCGCAAACACATGGTTTATCTTGGTGTGTGTTCTGTACGAATGGTACCTTTATTCTTAACAGAAGCTGAATTTAACGTAGTTCGTTACAGCGAAAGTCTTAACCTTAGGTACGTAGTTTCTAAGTGAATATATATATATATAGTATGTCCCTAGAGACATAGGTCATACATACACAGAGACAAGACAGAAGAGAAGAGAACAATCTATATAGGAAAGGTGGTTGTTCGAGAGCCTTGTCGTCGTGTTTCATCCAATTCTAAGTTCGAAGGAGGATTGTGTAAGCGCCCCGCTACCCGGTACTTGTCCAAAACGATTGGCCAGCAATGGCACAATGCAATGCAAAAGCCCATCATCTTCTGATCTGCCCATCTCGAGCATTGTACTTCGTACCTATCGCGTTCCTGACTTCGCTTACCCTACCTAAATATGTACCAATTTGGCTTAGACGGGTCTGGACGGGGCGGGGCAGATTTAGCGAGTCTTCAGGAGACGGACGCCAAGCTTTGCTGTAATTGTAGCCAGGTAAGTACCTAAGACACCTGCTCAGACTGCTGTAGCCTGTAAGTAGATCTGTAACTAACGCCTAGACTCATGCGCCACCCGCTATGCGACAACCCCAGCCAACCATGCGAATGATACCCCTGCCTGCGGCCCTTTGGGGGGAGATCGTCGTTCTTCATTTCCTCTGCCTCTGCCTGTCCATTTTCCGTTTTCGCGCCCTCCCCCCAGCTCACGAGAGCGACCCCAAACTCGAGCATCGACATTTTCACTCTGGCGAGTAGTCATTCCTTTCTGAGTTGTGCTTCGACGAGTCCTTGACATCAATCATCGCTTTCGCATCCATCATTGTTTTCGTCGCATTCTTCCGTCGTTTTTTATCACAATCGCTTTATTGGACCAATACTCCGCCCCTATCCTTTGAGATCGTCTGTCCGAGTGCTTTTGCCGAGCCCTTTTCACCTTTACCACCAGATTTACGGCGACGAGTACATGAGCATTATAATTGCACGTTATAGTTCCACGAACATCGGCCTCTCCCTTGGCGAACGCAAGACGGAATAGCCGCACATTCACTGGTTTGACTGATTTAAACTGCGGGACGGGAAGATCTTTGGACGGTGTAAAGGCGATCAGACATACGCTACCGACTTTAAAGCTTCGAAACACTTCAAAACAGAGCACACACGTCCGCCAATGGTCCTATTACCCGAAGACAACCGAGCTTGAGACGTGAAACGAATTGTGCATGTTGGAATTTGGATAGGAAATCTAAAAAAGATGCCACACATCGGGATTGCGATGGAGCGCAGTCTTCAAGACGGTGGCAGCTGGGGCCATGCATTTGCGAATCTAGTGTCGCGAAGTGCTGTCGCTGCCTTGGGTCGACGTCAATCAATTGAGGGTATCTCGAACGATATCTCAGATGCTGCGACTGCATTTTCCAGTTGGGATAATTGTTTCCAGGCCTCTATTTGCAAGTAAGTTGGTGCTATCTTTGAGGTCGGATTCTTCTATTCGAGCAAAGGCTAATCTCCGCAGATGGCCTGTCATTGCGCTGTTTATTGTTGGAGGCCTCATTATTCTCTCCATCGTTTGGTGTATCATTCGGTGTTGTTGCTGTGGATTATCGTGCTGCTGCGAATGTTGCTATTGCCTGAAATGCTGTGGTGAATGCTGCGGCATGTGTGATCCCCCTCGTGGCAAACGAAGTAAATACTTGGATGAGCCGTTTGTTCCTCCAAACCACGATCAGGTCTATCGCTCTCACGCTCCCATGCAAACTGGCTTTGACACCGCGAAGCCGAGTGCGCCCCAGTATGCCGAATTTGATACTGGGAACAAGAAGGATGCGGACGCACTACCTGCAATGCCGAGTTGGGAGGATGCTAACTCTAAAAAGGTGCTGATCGAAGAAGATTATGTTGAGATGGAACCCCTGAAGAAACCAGAGGCCGCTCCAAGCCCTTCGCAAATAAACGTAGCTAACGCGCCATCTTCAACGTCCCCGCGCGCAGTCTCGCCCTATGGCCCACCTGCGGGCACAGGTGGTACGAATGCTTACATGGGAACTGGACGCAATGAGCCTGGCGCCTATGGAATGAACCAACAAGGATATAATGAATACAATAACCAGGGTTATGACCAGCAGTATCCATCTAATGGTATGAATAATGCAGCAATGGGCGCGGCAAGTGGCCCGATGGGCCGACGAACACCTCATCAGGATTACAACGCTGGCTATGACCGTAATATGAACCAGAACTATAACCAATATCCCCAGTCGCGAAGCCCCAGGCCTTACCAAGACGAATATAGACATAACGCCACACAGAATCCATACAACCATGCAGAATATCGAGGTATGGCATCTAATGATGGTTTCGGAAATGATCGCAGGTCACCAGCTCCCCAGGCAGGCTATGGATATGGAAACCCACGGATGGGCTCGCCGGGTGCACAGCCGGGTTATGGCTACGCTAATGCCCGGGCATCTCCCGCTCCGCAGGCGGCGTATAACCCTCCTCAACGCTCTCGAACACACGATGATTATACACAGCAGTATCCAGCCTCATCTCGTCAACAATATTCAAATGATCCTTACGACAACTATGGGCACGCCGAGCAAGACCAATACGTACAGCCCCCACTTCCCGCATCACCTACATCACCGATTAGAAATAACGCTGGATTTGATTTCAACTCTGGATATAGCCGCCCAGATAGTCGCGGGAGCCCAGCCCCGCAGCAAAGTGCAAATGGAGGTACTGCCTACCCCGGATACAGGAACTACAAACCAGCACAAGATTTTTAGGCACAGCAAGGTCGGGGCGAAATATGATAATTGCTGAGGCTTAATTTAGTTGTATTATTTCTTCAAAATCTGCATCTACCAGGGCGTATGCAGCTAGGGCATTAGGGTTGACTACTTTTTCTTAGAAAGAGCTTGGCGTTTGTAGGAGTTTCATGGGATACTTTGTGCATCTAGTGAGCATGATGACAGCAATGAATGAGGAGAGGAGAGCACTGCTAGAACGGGCTGATGTACAGTTGGATTACATACTTGATACCTTTGACGCAAGATGTTTCTGTGTTGTATATCCCTAGTTTATGAATTCTGCTTATTACTTCCAGTTCTTCGGCCTTTGTCTTGTCACGATTGAATATGGAACTTGGATTCAATGTCGCCTTCTCATGTAATTTTATCTCTGTGAAGCCGAGGTTGTGTTTCACTACGGAGCAGTGATGACTTTTGATTTTGGTCGATGCCTCATCAGATGCAGTCCGATTGATCTCACTGGGTCACATACATATCTGACATTACAGCTTCCCGACCTTGCCTTCATATACACAGCGTTCTTCATCCCCATCAAGATTACCGCCGTTCCTTTCCGTGTAAGTCCGATGACCCTTTTTCATTTACCTCTTTTTCCCCATACCCCGAATTTCCATATTTCCTTTCACACTAGGTGTGAAGAGAAACAAACCCCTGCTTTCTTCGTCTTCTGATGACTCGTCACTGATTATTTCTTGTGGTGAAAGGATGGCCCTGATTGGCGGGCCCCTGACATCGATAGGTCAATGGGCATGGGAGGTAGGCGGTGCGTGAGGCCGGTGCGGTTGGGGCTGGTCTCTGTTGGCATATCATGAGGAGCTTGGTCCACGTCTTCCAGGTGGATGGCTCCCATGTGATCTGCGAGATGAGGATCTGCGCTGCGTTCGTCCTGGGTGTCCATCATGCCCTCGTCTTCTTGGTGATATGAGCTCATCGTCCACGTGGAAGCGGTGCCGAACTCGGGACCGGCATTCATTCGTGCGGCATCTGCTGAAGGGACTTGCCATTGCGGGCCGAGGTAGAATTTGCCGGTGGACTTGTCGATGCGCAGGCTATTCTTGACATCAATGCCGCGGGAGACAGGTCCTCCGGGAGTATTGTGGTCGGCCATGACTTGGAGGTCGATTACACCGTCGCTGCCGTTCTCTACGTCCAGGATATCGAGGTTGCCATCGTCTGCTGTATGGCTGAGATTGTCGATGGTCTCTGAGGAAGACTCAGTCATCATGTCTGAGATGTCATCATCTTCATCGTTGTCGCTATGACCATCCTCTGCATCTAGGGTAGAACCATGGTCTGTTTGGTGACCAATGGGGCGGACATGTTCAGCAAGAGATTCTGGGTTGTAAAGACGGAATATGGGAATTGAGAAAGAGGTGAGAGGATATCATCAAAAAGATAAGGGAAAACCAGATGTATGAACTTACAGGTAGATTTACGCTGGCAGATTACGGGTTCTTCCAGCAACACGGGCGACATGGGAGCATCAGGAACAAGAGGTAGACTTGGAGATCTGAGCATTGTTCGTTCCGCAGGCGGCATCCCAGTCACAGCAGCGCCCGACATGCATGGGATATCCGACTCATATCCATCGCAAGAGACCGGCTTAGCCACACCAGGAATTGAAGAAGAAGCCGGAGCCAGAGGGCTGGGGCGAGAAGTTGACATCTTTGCATCCACGGCTGATGCAGGTCGAGTTGAGGCTGGGTCATGAAGATCGTGGTCTGACATATTACGAACTTGTGAGTTGAATCTCACTGTGCTCGGAACAGATGTGTTTCTGTAAAACGGGTTGTAGAATGCTGGATATAACGGAGAACCCGCATAATCTGGCACCTGAGGCATCACAAAGGTGTTGCTCCAACCACTGTAGCCTGATGGCGGCGATGTTCCCTAAACACCAACGCACCCAGGACTGCAAAGGAATGGAATAACGGCAGGTCCCTGTTGATGGGGGAGACAAGCTGATGTGCCTTTGTATCTGCAACAACAAGATACTGTGCTTTGATGCCCGCATGAAAAGTTAATTTGACTGTAGTAACACATCGCAGCTGAGGTGGTTAGGTTCGACTGTGAAAAGAATTTCGAGATACAAGGATGCAAGTAGAAGATGGGCGCAAGGTTTGAGGTGGAGGATATATGAATGTAGGTGCATGTGCTAGGTGAGTGAGGAAGGCTTGCAAGATCAACTGCGAGGTGAGCACAAGGAAAATTGATTGTTATTTGAGACAGGAACAGAGAGAACCTGTGCGGGGAAAGACACCGCATCATTGTTGGAAAAGTGCAGGTGCAAACCCCGAATGAATGGGTGAATATACCAGAATACACATTGAAGACGCATTATCACTTAGGCAACGGACATTGTGAATACAATAGGCACCTCTACGGGCTTACCTGAGGGTAGCTGTGAATGTCAATAACAGATTTTCCCGAATTCAATAGAACAAAGCAATAAGGTGTATACAATATCCTCCGTACACCACTTATTGCCCATGACTGTGGGTATGTCAGCAGCAGCACATCGTCTGCTGCTTCACGTTCCTGTGTTTTTCCATAGCCTTGATACTTCTGTTTGCACTAGATATTTTCTAGTTCGTGTATCTACAACAACTTACCAATAGGTGTTAAAGCAGTAACAATGCTAAGAAATGAGGTCTGCGCCTAGGTACCAATACTTAGGTCATCGCCTCAGGAGTTACGCTCTGCAGTCCGTTAGCTATATGGAGGTAAGATTATATAGCTAAGAAATGGCTAGTGATGGTTTATTTAGTTACACGCCGAGGTAGCATAACGAGATGTCATAAAAAGTCCGGCCTTGAAAATAGACCTCTCCTTCCTCCCCAGGTAGTTGAACTGTAGGATTCCCACAGAATCAGTAGGCAAATCAAGAATTCATCCCTTGAAAACCCCCATCTACTTGCCGGCCTAGTAGCTCTTCCTGTCGCTCTTCGACATTCAAGACTACATAATCGCGTGAAGCAACCACGATAGAGACAATATGTTGGAAACCAGTAGCTAAGGACAAAGAAACTTAGCGTATCCCAGTCAGACGGAGTCTCAGTATCCTTATATTATAAGAACCGGAGAATCAGGGCTTGAAACTGAGATCATTCACAACATACTAATCTGTTAGGGCTGCAAAGGTTTCCTGACCGCTAGGTCTCCTTCTTGGCCTTGCTGACTGACTTCGAATCTATATGCAACTGATATAGCCTTCGCTAACTACTAAAACCCACGAGTATGTCTCTAGCTAGCGGAGTCTGTATATCTTCACTTTTCGTATGTCTTGTTAAAGAGACATTGCAAGGTATAGGCGATCTGCATGTCTGGCCGCACGCGCGTGTAACTGCTGCCGACTCTCTAAACTTCCCACGCCAACAAAGTCAGGTTATATATCTTGTGCGTTGCTCGAGACTTCATAACTCCTGAATAAAAAGCTAACGTAACTCGTTAGTTCCATAGGTTGTATCAGCCTGAGTTTCCTATTCAAAGTAGTAGAGTGGTTGGGAGGTGGAAGGAAAGCCTGATTGTCTTCTAAAGTGTGTATTGAAAGCGCTGTCAATTTAAGGTTAATAAATGCAGCTTATTATAAAATGAGATTCCTCATGCACCTACACAGCCAGTTTATTATGTACCACGAACGTCATCGCTAGCTCGCGACAAATGTGTCCACTCAGCCACTATATATGTTAGAGTATTTGTGGGATGTGTGGAATGAGTCCAATTGCTCCTGATGAGAGGCTTGATAGTTGGTATGCACGCGCAGATTACTTATAAGCCAGTTTTCTGTTTAGAACAAGTAACAAGGGGACCTGCATTCCAGGTACCATCATGTGTTATCAGATGTTCGACGACTTTGACAGCACTAACCACAGAAGCACTTGCTACATACATCATCGAAGCGTTGGTGTAGAAGCCTCCAGAACTGGAGATCCTGACACACGAGACGAGAGTCACTTATACCATGTTGGCCTCAGGGTTAACCTATCACGCGTGGTACCATAGCAAGGATGTAGATTTGGAATTCAATGCAATGGATTATGCAATTGACAGGTAATAACGCTAAATTACATTATTTTAGAGCCGAGCTTCAAAGTGAATCGCTCAGTGGCTGGCTGGGTAATGAGAACATGGAGTGATGGTCAGAAAGACGCCCCCTATTCTCACATGCATCTGTTGTAGCAAACTTGATTGCCGACGGTATATAATAGACATGGCCACTTAGAACAGGGCAGCGGCTAGGGCAATGAAGGAAACGAGACCGAACGAGGCCGGAACGACACCAGCAGCAGCGCCCGGTGTCTCAGTTGGGTTGTCATCGCTGGAGTCTGAGGTCTCGGATGGGTTGGAGCCGTCAGTGGGAGTAGAATCACTGCCACCAGTGCCAGATGCGCGGCTGCTTGTGGTGGAAGTTGAGGTGAGGACTACAGTGGTGGATGGGCCGACACTGATGACGAATGAAGAGGAGTTTCCCTGGAGAATGGTTGTGGTGCCCTCTGGAAGGCCAGCTGGAATGGTAGCGACGTCTGGGATGGACGTGACAACAGCGGGCTGAGAAGTCACCACAGCGGGCTGCGATGTTTCGGCATTGCTTGGGAGACCAGTGATGATGCCGTCCGAGTTGGTCTGTGTCAACAGTGTTGTGACTGGGTTGGAGTACTCGTAGGTGTAAGTGGTGGTGGCGGTGACGGCTGAGCCTTCACTGTTGGTAAAACCGATAGTGAGGACCTGTTGCGAGGTCGCCGCGTTAGTCAATCTGGCCAAGTTTTGATCTGTCCCAGGAGTCACGTAGGACCTACAGTAGTGTGAAGGTTGTCGTCTTGTGCCAGTGCAACACCGGCCAGCATGGGGGCAGCGAGGAGAGCGAAAGAACGCATCTTGATGATACTGATTGTATTATGTATTATAATAACGGTATAAGATAAAAATACAAGAGGAGTTGAAGGAGTAGACGCTGGATAAAGTTGAATGAAGTTTTAGAAGAAAATGAAAAGTTCGAGCAAGCACAACTGCACGGGGGAAGACATAAACTAAGTAATAAGTACATAACAGACGGCACGCGTTGCTGTGGAGACTTCTGAATACGAGGTGGCGTCTGTGCAAACTAAGATTAGATCAAAAATAGGGGCATCATTTACTTAGTAGACTTCGGTTTAACTGTTGATCCGGCCGAGTCATGGCAGGAGGTTGAGATGATCAACCTGGTGCTTCCTCTATCAGGAAATATTCCCACTATATCCGGCCCAGTACCAAGAGTAGGACCATTTCCCCAGCAAATTTCGTGGAAATCTTGCCTATTTGAGAAAAGGCTCTGTTACACATATAACGCCGCATTGTGAATATAATCTCAGGAAATGCGGGCGAGGCGGGTAGGTTACATTCAATTAACTAAGACATAACTACCGTACTACTTCTATACGCGCGTTATTGAAATCGTAATGCTGTACGGAGTCTATTCATGAACAACGGTCAATATTCGACTAAATCACCAACATCGGCATTTTCAGAACAGAGAAGACTGTGCTCGCTGTAGGCAGCGCCACGAGGAGTCAACAGGCTCTTGCGTACCAAGTGTTCAATATCGCAATGTCTTCAATATAAACAGTGATATTATGATATGCATTCGAACGCCTGTTTAGGGCTCGGAGGCCAACCTGAGGAATGGTGCATGGAATACACTTAGTACTGTCGAGAAGGTATGCTACCTTGTCTTGTGGTCCAACTCGGCCGCACATAGCTGTGTCACTTTAAACGCCATTTCACCTCCGGCCGGAACGCCAAGTACGCTAAACAGGGAATTAAGACCAACCAGAACAGGACATCTGACGAATTTACAAGGAAATGTTGCCTATAACGACATGTGAATGGCGCTTGAATTGATCATCGTCAGTCTCGCTGAACCAAGACCATGCTATGTGCATTATACGATAGTAATCACGCTCGTCGTACCAGATCGGGGCGCAACCACGTCGTCAAGCCAGCTGCGGAGCTTCGCCTCACTTGAGAAGCCGACAGAAACTATCCCGACTCGTACATATGTTGCCGGTTTTCCATCGAGGGCTTTCAAAAGAAGGAAGAAAGACGTGGCTGTGCCTTTGCTCCTACCCCCTCCAATCTCTAGTACTTTCAAAAGTGAGACGGGAGCTATCATACAGCCGTTCGGATGGTCATCGTCGGAAGCGGAGAATTCAAATGTAGTTTCTGTGTATTTGAAGTCTTGGAGCAACTCGAACCTGGAATCGCGCTTTTGTAATATGTCAACTGCGAACGTACAGGGAGGTCGATTCTGGTCCTGGTATTTCTCCGCATCGAATCGCCGGTCCGTCTCGATTCTGTACTTTCTAGGTGTCAGTTATCAGCCAAGTAGCTGGTACATGTGATGGCGTGGGCATTACCCAGTGGTCAACTGTCATCGCCTTCCGGCAGCTATAACACAAGCGGCGGATGTGAGCTTTGATGAGCTTGCATTCTAGCTGCAAATATGCAGCGGCAGGGTCAAGATCGAATGGGCTGTTGGGATCCTTGGCATCGCATCTAGCTTCTTTGATTTGTGTCTGGAAAGCTTTCAAAGATGTAGTGGCTCCTGATGCTGCGTCGCCGACACCACCTGCTAGGAATTTGACCCCGTCAGGCGTGTCAATACTCGCCCAAGTCCATGACGGGGCTCTCCATTTGGTCGGGCGGGAAACAGTTGAATAATTTCTAGGTATCCAGAGTAAGTCTTCACCCAGAGTCCTCTCCCATACACCGGCTAGATATCTCCCTCGATTCGGATCGCCCATGTCTTGGGCACATCCAAAAATGGCCGGCAGCTTATCACTAGGCTTTGTGAGACGAAGCATACTGTAATTCATCACCACCTTCTGCCAAGAGCTAGCCAGGCGATTACGGCCAGGATCGTGGTACTTGGACTTGGCCGCCAACTGCTCGCCATATCGATCCCGACCAGGATGGTTTCCACATTCACAAATCCTTTGTTCTCGACACTCTAGCATGAGCTCGTTCCTGTAACAATGGAGATAACGCCGGGAGAGCATACGTTCTTGGTAAACCCATCCACGTGTGAGTAGGGGATATAGCTCGGGCAACTCGCCCATCACTTCCATTCTAGCTGCGATGACTGTATCAAATACACCACTCTGTTTAACTTGGAAACAGAGATCTGCGTCGCTCTTCGAAAAACAGCCCCCTTGGAAATCAGGGGAAGCTGTAGCAGCAATTGTGATGAAAGCATTTTTGTATATGCTTGCCATCTTGGCAGATTCAGCCTCCCAGTCCGACCTAGAGTCCTGAACAATGCAGAGAGAATCAATCCATATATACCTCAAGTTGAGCTTTCTTGCTATCAGTACGGCGTCTCGAAAGGTCGGAGGAAGACGGCTAAGGCTCATAGATCTCTTGTTCTCCAAGATAGTCTTTTGTGTTGTCGTGATGGGCATAGGGTCCTGTCCCCAACAATGAGACAAGCAGGCGTATGTTCCTCTCGCCTCAGCGTTCTCAGCAAACTCAACGAGTCTAACATGGTCTTCTCTATGTTCGGTTGGACTGAGATCAACCAGTCTCTTTGGAAGAAGTTCTTCCCGCCCCGGGCGGCAACTTGCGTGCTGTTGTTCACACTTCTCTATCATGCGGCACGCTCTCTGCATCGATATGTCAGAAGATGTGTCGCCGGCAAGAACTTTGGTGGGCCGCATGAATGCCAACTTCGTGTTAGACCCTAGGACGTTGTTAGACACATGAAAGTTAATCGCTGTCCTGGGCGGTACGCCCCCGCCAATTGACTATTCCGTCTTTCTTATAGGCTCACAAACCTATTATACAGAATAGCTGCACTCGACGCTGCACAGCTCCAAAATGCAGCAATATCTTGAACTTTGAGAAGGTCAGCCACATAAGAACTGCAGTCTCGGTATTGATACAACCAAGGCTAGCCAAGAGCTCTCGAAATAGACACTCGAACAAACCACACGCAGTGCAGCCTTGTCCTGCCGACTCTTTCAGGTCCTGTAGAGTGAAGGAAGAACTTGTGTCTGGAGCAATTGGCTTTGTAACTTTAGCTGCTTTTCGAGCTTTTAAGTTTAACATACTCGCTTCATTCGATGCCAGCAACGCACGACATGAGAGACGACAGCATTGTATTGCCTCCGATGTGAAAATGTTGACCCGCAGCGCAGTTGATGAATCCCTCGACTCCAGTGATATAGCATCATCTAAAGAAATACGGCGCACTTCCATCTTGGAAATTTTGAACAATGCCGAAGATTAAGGATATTGGGGCTTGTGAATCACACCCTAAGGAAGACGGCTGTGGTAAATGGACAGACTCAGGTCCTGTAAGCCAGACCCCAATAGCAAAACAGAGGTCACCAGGCCGTGAAGAGATAGCGGTATCCCCGCAGCGCCACAATGAGCGAGAGTGCATTAATTCGAAAGTATTTATATGCATGAAATATCATGTGACCAAAACCAACTATTTATATAATCATCATGTACGACGGGATCTCCATAAAGAACTTACGAACACAGCCGAATTGACCAGTAATTCGCTAATCTGAGACCCCAGGTCCAATCGAAGCAGCGCGATCAGGAAGCAAAGTAAAATCGGCATCTCAATCTTTTAGTACAGCTTCCACCAAGCCTTCGGTTTCGGCCCCAACTGACCAAAACTTGACAACCTTGAGTCCCGCAGCGTCCAAAAGCGCACTGAACTCCGCCTCAGTTCTCTCCATTCCGTTGAGCAATGCTGCGGCGCTCATTAATATATAACGAACAACTGGGTATCGCAGCATAATGCATAGAAAGAATGAGACTTACCCATCATGTTGATATCGAGCAAGGCAGGGTAAAGAGGGGTGTTGGAGCTTGGAAGAACAAATTCCGACATGAGTAACTTTGAGTACCCAGGTCTCATGGCTGCTGCCGTATTCCTGAGGATCTTGATACAGTCGGCATCGGGCCAATTATGGAATATAGAGCGAAAGTAGTAGCACCGAGCACCTATTAATAGGATAATCAGACTTTAACTCTAACAAAAAGACTTTCGCAATAAACAGTCTCCCTACCTTTAACGGGCTGCTCCTGAAAAAAGTCATACTTTTGACATTCCACTTTGGATGGCAGGTCTTGGATACTGTCAATGACTGGAGGTAGATCTTGGAGGATCAGCCTGCCTGGAGCATTAGGGTAACGTCGGTGAAACTCGAGGAGATCGTGACCTTCGCCGCCACCAATATCGATCAGCAGTGGGGCACTGGGGTCAGCGCCTTTAAGCAAGATGTCATAAACATCAATGAAATCGAACCACTGTTTGCGATCGGCTCGTTGACCAGTCATGAAGGCGTTGAAGTTGGCCATCATAGCGGGATCGCTGGCCAACCACAGGTACATATTATCTGGCGTGCCATGGGCATCTTGAAAGGGCCCCGGAGCTCCTGAGACATGCTTGAAATTTGTTTTCTCCAGATAGAAGGGAAGATTGGCGAGGGAACGGGTGGCAGCGGAGAACCTTTGGATCTTAGCGTGAGCACAAAAGAATTGGCTTAAAACCACCTACATGAACTGATATCCACCAAGCAAGGCTCGGTCTACTAGAATCTTCGTAACAGGCGTTGGCGCGTACTCTTCTTGTCGGGCCTCTTTCACCACACCCAAGGCACTAAGTGGTCGTAGGAGGCAAACTTCAAACGTTAGAATATAGGAGAGCATATAAGCGCAAGATGAGAATATAAATGTAAGTTCTTTACTTACCAAGCAACAACTTATCTGCTCCCGAGGTCTTGGATAGATGTTCAGCTGTTAAAGGAGCATCTGATTTAGCAATCTCCTGAATTACGCCAGCCTTAATCAAAGTCATACATGCTGCAGGAGCATGTGGCTGTATGAATACAAGTTAGTTACTTCTGTATGGGTCACGATACCGTTGTCTTCACGGTTTGTGGTCGGGCGTGCTTGTAAGGGGTAAAGGATGAAATCCGTTGGTCTGCAGGGCATCTTCCTTAACTTGCTAGAAGGGGTTCCATAGAGTCTCATTGCTGTAGGTCCGCGCTACTTACCGACATGACCATTCGCCAGACGGCGTCCAAAGGAGCCTCTAGCATAGCTGTTGCTTTCATGGCAGTTCCTAACAACTGCTTCCGAGCAGCCTCATCTTGACTGGCCAAGACACTCTCGGCTGCTGCAACGAAATCTGCTGAAGCTTTCGCCGCGCTAGTCATGGCGATTGATTGCGTTTTGAAGACACGGGGTCTGATTTAGTTACGTTTGAGTAGGGGGGCTTGGTGCACGAGAGGATAACTTGTAATTGAGTTGGGACATTGTTCTGCGAATCTCACGGCGCCAACTTATTGTTTTATAAGTAGAGAAATCTGATCAGGAGAAAGCAGCTTGCGCACGAGCAATTGCATATATGCAGTTGGTCCAATTGAGCATGCGGCGTATAATTACTAGCAGTCACAAAGCAGGCTGTTAGAACAGATTGTGTGCGTTGCGTTCACAACGAATCCGTGCCGGACAGCTCATCTCGAAGATAGGATCACAGTCTGGCAATAGGGGGATTTTATCTCACGCCACTCATGGAACCACCAGCGTTCACGTCGGAAGCAACGGCATCTAACTATCGTGACAGCAACACGTATATAGATAGCAGTGTCTCGGGCGTGACGTGGTAATATTGTGTCAGGGGTCTCGGGACCGAGGAACAAAGAGATCCACTGTATATAGTCAGAGAAGTCTGAATGCCTTCAGACTTTAGACCTTTCAGACCTTGTGCCACAATGAGAGTTTTACCGTATACCTTGTACAGTCCTTCTGACAGGTAGTCGGTTGGTCTCTGTTACATTAGCCAGCTCCTTGTTAACATACTACAAGTGAACAGGTCTCTAGGGTGACGATATTAGCACAGTGGTGAATTCAAGAGAAGCCTCTAATATTAATCTAGAAGACTGATATATATATAGTTTATAGGTGGTAGGCAGGATTGTATTTCCAGGTCGATACGATCGTTGTAAAAGATAGCCACGGGACCGAGAATCTGCTCTTCTTTGTTAACAGTCCTCATTTTGTGCAGATTGCAAGTAAAAAGCTATCTGCCTGTTTACCCCCCCTTTGCTATTTACAGATGACTAAGGAAGGGCATCAGAGCAGCCCTTCATTTCTGGGAGACGTGAGTTCGAGATATGTATTTTCATACTGTAAATACTGAAATTTCGCGGAAATGGGATGCAACGCGATTTATATTGCCCGGTGGAATTCTTCAACGGTAATAGTATATAGGGCAGCATAATCACACAGCCCTTGCTTGGAACTCGGACTTATCTAATGTTTGAATAAAATATAAAAAGACGTCTGACTCAACGATGAAATCAGGATCATGAGGGAGGGAGCTGGTTTGGTTCCCACCAAGCCCTAAGGCTGTAGTCTACTCTAATAGTAGTTGACATAATTAGGTAAACAGCAAGGTTCTTTCAGCTCAACTAGGGACAGGTAGCGGTACTTCAAATAAAAATCCATCAGCTCACGAATCAAAGTCCTCTTCTTGGCCATCACTTGCCTACATTCGGAACATGTAATTACCACAACTAGAACCACGATCTATCGTGAATCCTAGTCTAGAGCTTCCACCTCGAACACGACCGCCTTGAAACCAACAGCAGAACACGGCGTATCTGCATACCTAGTTACTGCAAGTAGGTACTTAGTTATTCCTCATTGGACGATGCTACACGGCATGTCGATATAGACTTTGGTGCATACACCACCGTATACTAGGTATTACGCACGGGGAATACCAACAGTCATGGGCACTGATGGGTATTTCCGCAACAGGCACATTTTGAGGCGCAGCACTGCACGACATGTTATCATCCGGTAATAAGCTGGAGGCCTCCCTCCGGGGACAGACCCGTCGCATGATCTGAAGCACCCATCAAGCATCATATTAGGTACCATGACCACATACCTATCTACACTACGACTATGAAAGCAAACCGAAGCGATTTCATCATGTTGTTCTTAGTTAGAATAGCTGTTTTGAATCCTTGATGTATTGGGGACCCGATAACTGATTGCATGATAGGATAGCTGGTTAGTGGCACATCATGGCGCATGGTCCGCTAAATACATGTAAGCCAAATCCATTAGGATTCGCCGGATTTAACCAGCTAGATTCACGAAAAGCTTGGGGCTATGTGTATCATCCCACGTCAGCTTTTGTCATTAGTTTGTCGCATCTCCAACCTGGGATAGGTATGTAGAAAACGCAGATGCTGTGTATTCCTGAAGCGATCTGTAGGCAGTCACAGAAATGCAAGGCATGGTCTAAGTTTGCAGCTTTAGGAATTTTTTTTTTCATTGAAACTTTTTGTCTCAAGCGCAATGGATGAAGCCTCCACTAGAGCTTTGAGGGGTATTAAGTATTCTATATTCATGAATAATGCTTCAGTTGGTGTGTTTGAAGGAGTGCTAACCCCGCACGTCATAATCCATGTTCCACCAACGCCAGTTTCAAGAGAGTCCTAGAGTGGGACAAAAACCAACAAGCCTGAGGCTACAAACGGGTATACAATCCTATCTGCATCATCCATCACGGATCGCGTTCCAATGCACAAGAATTCAGTCGTTCATCCTTTTCGATTCAGCGCTAATAACACAAGTTGCGCCTATTTGTTTGGTGGTGGGCCGGTGGGAGGCGCATAGTCGTTGGGGCCACCGTACACGTTCTTGGGAGGCTCAACGCCGCTGGCTTGTTGACCGTAGTGGCCATCGGTAGTCTGATAACGATTTTCCATAGGGTATGACTGTGATGGCGCTCCGTATGCGGGCGGTGGCGGGTTATAAGCCGCTGGGTTGTTAGGGGGAGAATACTGGGGAGGCGCCATCCAACCAGTTCCGTACATGGGCCGAACTCCCTGGCGGCGACGACGGCGAGAGTTAAGGCATCTACTTCAAAGTTAGGCTATGCATCGAGAACGTGTGTGTGTGACATGCAGATGATGCAGGGAATGGGAAATACTCACGCCCATAGGAAGAAGATCAAGAAGAATAGTACAATGACGATGGCGGCGAAAATCCAGCGTCCGTACCAATACCAGCCACTACCCCGAACACACCCATTGTAGTAACTGTCGTAGTAATAGCCGGAAGGGCAGACGGCGCGTTTTTGCAGCAGACTGCTGAGCTGATCGAGGACCGGGGCCATCTCGACGAAGTGTTGTGGGTATCAGTTGATGAGAGAAGATGGGATTAACGGCGAAAGCAAGGGAACACTCTGTTTGCAAGCTTCGGGAGGATTGGCAGGTTTAATAAGTTGGATGATGATGGTCGCCCAGACACCGAATGCAGAAGTGACGTGTGGGACTCTGACGGGGCTGCACGGACCCACTTAGAGAGGTAACGGACTGTAACGGAGATGTGCCCGATCGACTAAGCGAGTTGATGCGAGACTCTGGGGCGACGGGATGATGCGCTGGTCGTGGAAGGGTTTCGGAAGAACAAAATACGATTGAATCGTCTTGTCTTGGAAACCTACACCAACAGGAGAGAGATGATTAGATGATGGAATGGAAAAGAAAAAAGGTGGAGGTGGGTGGCTTCCGGGAGGTGTTTGAGTTTTAAAGGGATCGAAGGGATTGAAGGGAGCAAGATGTTAGAAGGAAGGAACGTCCGGCTTTCGTCATCGCCCGACTCTAAGCCCTGGTCTGCCCTGGGCCCGGACAACACCAGGACAACACAGCTGACAATATTGTAGCTACATGTACTGTACATGCAACAAGGGTCCTTCAGTCTTTACTACTACTTAGTGATGCCAGCGCGGAATAGAAAGTCACCGGATGCCGGCTAGCTAGCTACTACAAAGACAGCTGCACGTACTTAGCGAGCTAGTAACGGAATCGACGGCATGCAAGTACTATGTAATATAAGTACACAGCTGATTAGCACGATTTAGTCCCAAACAGGAGTTAAATGTGGCTGTGTCAGAGAGACCTAGTGGTTTAAGTAAGTGCTCTTCAGAGGCGAGAGAGGAGCAGAAGAGGAGCTCGAAGAGGCTAACAGAGCTCTATCAAGGTACCAAGGCCCTTGGCTTGCTGGGCAGGCTGGGGCGCAGCGGTACCCGGCAAAGGGAGAGAGTTTTCCAAAACATGCTCGGACGCAGTCTTTGTGTGTACTTTCTACAGTATATGCCAGACCTCATCGAATGTTCGAGCAACACATCGCAAATGCCAGGAGATTGTGCTATCGGGTATTAACAAGTGGTGTAGGTATTTGCCATAAAGCTAGACAGCAGCCTAATAGAAACTAGCGACTCGCAAATATCGGCTCCGCAATCAAGGCTGAGCGAACTAGGTACACTACAATATTTGTACATAGTAGTCATCGGGCTGCTGCGACACTCTCTAACACGTAAGTAACATGACATGGGATTTGGAATCGGCGGCTGGCAATGAGCCACATCTCGGAATTGTTTCATGGGCTTCTGGATTCGATCCGTCATGTTGTTTTGATGATTTCCTGAGCAGCACAGGCGATATAGCATAATATTGGATTGAGAGAAACATGATATATGCTGCCTCTGCAGTTAGCTAGTTATCTGTTCCTTGAAGTTCTTTCTTTAAGAAGAAGCCAATATCCTATTGTGATCAACTGTCCCTCGCTGTTACTATACCTACCTTTGACAGGATGTAACACCCTTCCTACCGCAACCACGGGTTGAAACCTTCTTAAAGACTTTGAATGACATTAAGTGCTGGAAAACTGTCACTTAGCTATCCAGGCAAGGCCAGGTAACTCGCACAAGTTTGCCACTAAAAATGACCACGGGTTGCCTGATGGTGACTCGACTATTTATTTTGGTTTCAACGTACGGTGCATGCGCGTTTGGTTCTGCATATCAAATCCTCTATTTGTTTCGATCCTTTGCGAGTGAAAACTGATTTGTGTGTCCGGGCCGTGCATACATCCAGACTTGAAGTAGGTAGGAGTCTGGTGTCTCGATTGATCTGAGCCAGGGAAGCAGGACAGAGACTCATCAATTTCGGGGCGGGACCTTAACCTGGAACGTTATCTTGATATTTCGTCATCCTTCAAAAGGGCATCATATTTTAAGCGATGTAATACGGAGGAGAGGCCAAATACCACTGGTATATTCAGATGCTAATTCATGCTGTACATAGTACTTTGGGGGAAGTGCCAGTCGAGTCAGTCAAGCTAAGCAGGTAAGCTACGATGCACGATGCACACAATACAACGCAACGCAACGCAAAAGAAACCGAGGGGGCAATGCAATGTTTCATTTGAACATGATAGACGGTCTCGAGACAAGGGAAGAACGGAATATTCGCGCAAGGGCTATACTTGGTAATGCAGATTAAAACAACCCACACACACACACATAACACTACCTCTCACGCACGAGGAAGAAGAGAGGGAGAGAGAGACAAACAGAGATAGATAGATAGATACCGTAGGTAGATAGATAGATGGAGGCTTGCTCCGAGGGACTCGAGTCCCTGAAACTCAGGAGCCCGCCAAAACCGACTACTGCGTTAGACAGCCGTCTAATGAACTGCTGCCACGTCAAAAATTCTCCGATAACCCGCGAAAGCGTGCAGCGCAGTAGTAGCAGCAGCAAAGCAGCAGCGCGCCCTGACGTGACGCCCACCTGCCTATTACTACACCTAGTTAATACTACCTACAGTACCACTACTACCACTACCACCACTCTTTATACATACCTACATATGTGTACGTACAGACTGTACATATCATCCATCTTCTTCTACCATATCTATCTACATATTATTATTGTCGATAGGTAAGTATGTCTCCGTTCTTCTCTCAGCTCAGCTCGATGTTGCCAAGGCTGCTTCGATGGGGTACAATATTGAATTGACCGTCTCTGCTCTCGATTCATGATGATCCCATCCGGTCCCGTCACCTTTCCCTCCCTCTCCCTCCTAATACCATCCCATCTTACTGTATTACTATACTCCCGAATCTCTACTCTTACTTACTCCCTTCACAAGCCCGCACGCATTCACCCGAACCTCCAGCTCAAACTTTTCCGCACAATCTCCAACCATCTATCTACCTACCTATCTTTTTTCCCGCCTGCAACTCGATTCGACGAATGATAAGAGCCAAAGGAAGACAGAGAGAGAGAGACAGCAGAGCGAAAAAAAACAAGACAGGCGCTCCAAATGGATCGCAAATGCACCTAGTCTAAACCTACCTACCTACACTACCTTACTTACTACCCACCACCCACTTTTGGTTGGCCTTTTTTTGCCAGCACACACGATTATTGCCTTGAAGCGAGTCCACGTTGCGCACCCCCCGGCAACCGCCATCCCAGAGCCAATCAGTGCCCCGCCCCTGGTCGCGACTATACGCTTAGGTTAAAAAAGGCCTTTTGCCAACGCATCACCGCATCCGCATGGTTGAGAAAGGAGAGGTGTGGTGTGGTGTGGTGTAGTGCAGCGCAGTGCAGAGAGTGTGTGTGCGTGTGTGTGTGTGTGTGTGTGAGTCTGCGCGCGCGCGTGTAGCACCGTTCAAAAGCATCCTGATCTGCCCCCTTTCATTCCACCTACTATCAGCTCAACTTTCTTCCTTTTTGGTTCTCCTCACCTCTCTTTAGGTAGGGGAAGCTTTCCTTCTTAAGTTATGTCCTCTCTGGCGCCTGTACTCATCACCTCTTCTGTCAAGCGACCTGCAACAGAACATGTCGACGTACTCGTCTACTAACTACTAACTACTTCATGGTCTCCTCTCCTTGCCTGCGACTCTGCAGACTGCTCAACACGACTGTTCTAAACACATCGAAAGGGAAGTTATGTCATGAATCATTATTTATCTCATCAGAAAATGCGCCTAAATACAGGGAGCCTCGTTGCCTGACCTGCAACATGCGAATTCTTAAATCGTACCCGATCGCCAAAGTCCCTTTCAGGATCGAGATCTTTTAGGGGAAGACATTCGCTCTTCTCTAGCATACCGGCGCCTCCCGACCATCGATGCTATTTGCATCCCAATACAGTAAAATCGCACCGAGCCCTCGAAGTCTGTCGCGAAACTAGGAATATCATCACATGAGGTCCGGAGATATCGTTCGCGTATTGGTAGCACGTCAACACCCAAACTCCCTTGGGAGGTTTGCGAGAGAAGACTTATATATTAAGTCGTTGCCGGCAGGACATACGGCCGCTTTAAGATTCAAGGATATCATGAGCGTCGTTGAAAATGCATGCATCAAACTGTTGCAAGGAATGGGGAAGGGAAGAGGATACGGGGGAGCGAGGGCCATATTGCTGGTCCCAACCACACCGTGGACTGGCACAGTAGGCCTGGCTTATCTGTTTGCCCACTTCATGAGCCATTGCACGACGGCTTCCAAGTTCGTCTCCTCTTTGGCACTTATGCCATAGCAGGAGACTTCTCGATGCGCTATGGTTTTTAGATCCAAAGCGTCGATGAGCTCGTCGACCGATATCTTGTTGGGCAAATCCGACTTGTTACCCAGCACGAGCAGAGGGATGCCCTCCAGGGTCTTCTGCGCCATGAGGGAATGAAGCTCATCTTTCGCCACAGGTAATTTGGCGTCGTCTGCTATATCAACGATGAAAACAATCGCACTCACGCCGCGACAATATCTCTCCCACATCGGTCTAAAACGAGGCTGGCCTCCCAAATCCCAGCATTTGATCGTTACGTGACCACGCTGTACCCGCTTCATGTTAAAGCCGACGGTAGGGATAGAACTACACGAATCAGTCGGGAGAAACAAGGATAAGGATTGTGCCACGTTCTAAGGGATTTGCGTGGATTTGGGTATCGTCGGAAAGGGTAAGTCGCTTACTCGATGGTGAATTCTCCTCCCTGTGACCTCGTTAGCGGTAGTCGAGACGGAACGGTAGCAAAGAGGATCCATTTTACGTACAGACAACACCCGAAGCAGAGATGTCTTTCCCGCATTCTCCAAGCCGATCATCGTCACGTCCATCTCACTCGCCCTAAGGATGGCTATTAGCTGACAGCTCGATTGCGCAAACAGCGCGTGTGATGCGATTGCTGAGACGGAACGAGAATGGGCCTGTGCATGGTCGTGTGCTGGTCCGGAGGATACCGATGGGGCTTACCAGAAGGTCCTGAGCAGCCAGTCGTATACCTTGCGAAACAATCCTGCCATGATGTCGGCCAAGTGTGGGAAGTATTCAGTGCTCGGTGTGTGGCGAGTGCCTCAACAAATGAATGACGGAATATGCGGTGGTTGTAAAGATTCGGAAGGTAAGAACAACCTGGAACGTAGGCGCAAGGCTGGACTGCTGGAAAAGGATGGAGTGGACAAGAAATATGACCGGGATATCTTAAACAAGGTGTTAAATAGTCTGTGTCTCTAACATGCAAAGTAACATGAAAAGTAATAAATAAAAATGTCTCGTATGACAGCCAGCGGCAGTGTTGCTTGTTTAGCGCTCGCAGAGACGGGCGGGTCGGCTACCAGGCGCAAATCGTGGTCGGTCAAGACAAGGTATGCAGCTACTTGCCGGTGGTGAAGACACGACCAGCGTTGGAAGATGGGTGAATGTGGGATGGAAGAGTGACGCCGCCGCTGCTGGCAGAGAGTGACAGTTCCCCACCACGGAGATCGCACAAGCTGTAAGATGCCCCGTGCCTTCGACCGAGACGGGGGGTCGACCAGGTGCCAGAGGCGAGCCAAAAGGGCGAAGCTACTCGGCTAGGTGGGCTAGGTGGGTTGCTGGCTAGGTTAATTGCTAGAGAGGGTCAACCTTGCATTCGACGAGACAGCGTCACAGAGCGGCTAGAAAGACGGGGGTTCTCATTCGCTTGTTGGCCATGTTGGTGGGGTTTCGCGGCGCAAGCTTCGACCAAAAGAGACCTACGGCACAATCACTGAGGGTGTCGAGCATACTGAAATAGTACACTGGCGACTGAAATAGCAGTTGCCTCTGGACGGACATGGGGATTGAGGGCGAGCCGCGAAGAGTAGCGCATGCGCTGATGGGGGAAGAAACACGCTCACTCACCTTGTCTGCCGACTAGAGCCTTGAGGCCTTGCGGTATAGCGCTGGGGTCCGCTAGGTTTTAGGGGTTGACAGGGAACGGGCCGGTCGCAAGCGGCGCTGCTCTGATAGCTAAGGGCAGGTCCTTGACTACCTCATATGACGATAGGTAGGAAATGGGCTGGATGTGGTATGCTGTACGGGTTGGGTACGTGATTATGGTGTGGATTTGGAGCCGATACAGGACAGCCCGAATCCTTTCTAACCTTTCCACTATAGTGCCTGTCTCTACGGAGGATGTCGGAGATAGGTAGGAAGACTTATGCAGGTAGCGACTGCGTGCTTGATAGGTATGAGTGCATATGATTGCATACGAGAAAGTGAATGGATTAGTGAGAGGCGGGAAGGCCGGCCACTTGCCTCCTGCTTCGCTGAGAGGCGTTGCAATATCTGCAGGCTGTTTAGATAATCCTAGGTAGGTCGTCTGGGGGTGTGTGACTACCGACTTACCTTCTTTCCTAGGTACCTTGGTAGGGAAGGTAGTTACCTACATATGTAGGTAGATAGGTAGGTAGGTTAAGTAACCCAATGTAAGCGTACCTCTAATTGATCTGTAAGTCGATGGTGATGTAGGTAGGTAGGTCCCTGGACAAGGAGATAGGTAGGTTAAGCAGGGTAGATGTCGTATGTGGTGGCTTCGGAATCTGAATACCACCGTATTTAAGTATCTGGTAGACCTTGTATGTAGTACCTATGTACGTCCGTAAAACGGCAAAGGTTTGGCGGAAAGACACACGTGGGAGGCAGTAGGGCCGTGAGTTTCGTTTCGTTAAATCATGTCCAACTAATGGGAGGCTCTACCTACTGTGTGTAGATAGTCTGAGAATTAGCTCGATTTTGGCACGTTTATGTCTAAGAGATGTGCTTCGTACACTAGCTTACAGTTGCTGCCTGGTGCAGCTTCGGATGGCTTCTTTCTCCCTTACTTCCTTTACCTCGAGGTGGCTCCGGCTTGAGGGCGTGATACAAATGGTAGGACAAACGAACGAGGGTGAGGGTACGGGCCGGCCACAATGGTCTTAAAGCTGCTGTTGAGGGGCCGTCCAAAGGAGGCAAAAGAGGGAGGGAGTGACCGGGGACTTTGCGATATACGAAGTAAGCGAGAGGTTGGAAATGGTAGGTTATTAAGAACAAGACTCGCAGTTGAGGCTGCCTGATTATAGAAGCACCACTATGGAATAGTCGAGAATTAATCGAGATTAATAAGGTGAACTAAAGAAGCAGTGTAGGTCTATGCACCACGTCTATCTTTGTTTACCTACCTACATGTACATGCCACTCTACATATTACATACATGCTACTACTGTACCTTGGGTATACGTGCATTTTCATGTTCTGTAGCTTGGAGATCTGACGCGGATGATGTATGGTAGGATGAGTGAATGAGCTGACCAGTGCATTGTGAGTGGCTGTTTACATGCTGCAAAATCTGATAGGCGGCATGAAGCTATCCCTCTTGTTATGTAGGGGCCTCGGGTCGACTACCGGTATCTAGATGGCTGCATGTGTACTGCAAACGTAATGCAGCATGGGCATTCATGTTCTACCCATTCAGGGTACATTGCGCGTGCCTCAAGAGGGATGGATGGATGGATGGTTGAGGAACGATAGACCAACAACTTAAGTTCAGTTCATCAACAACCTTGGTTCAGCTCGCGGGTCAGCCCCAGTAGAGATAGCACATCATAATCATAACTATCATACTAATATCATAATAATTCATGATGCCTCACTTCCTCGTCGATGAATGATGCAAAGCTCAAAGGACTTTTGATCTACACACCACCTTACGTAGCACCCGCGAGGAGATAGATAGAGTTGGGGGCTAAATAGCTTCCAGCGACTCGCCCTTGGCATGCCAGGGTATGAGAAAGGTGTGGCCTCGTGAGGAGAGACCATGGTTTAGTTTCGCTGGCGGACCAACGAGAACTGTGCCCACTCAGTCAACCCCACGCTTTCCTATCGAAGGGGCTTAATTGCTACGAGATGCGTGGTAGTGCGGATCAAACAGGCACCGGTATCGTCGATGGCTTCCTCATACCGATAAAACGTATAACTGCCTACCACGTAGTGTAATTAAAGATACCTAGTGTATACCTAGGTATGGACTGCAGTAGCAGGGCTTGAGGGTGCGTACAGTTTGCGTATTTTGGCCATGATGAGACTCGAAATGGGATGAATACCTCCTTGGAGAACTGTGGGCTCATCTAAAAATGGTGGCCTGAGGCGTCTGAGGCGGTTCGAAGGAAGCCCCGCCATGGACAAGAATGTCTATCGATAAGATAAAAGATAAAGCCATATCTTACCAGCCCATCGGGGTCCTGATAAGGTTTTTTTTGGCAGCGAGCTGGAACAGCTTCAATCCTAGCATTTACTGGTGACCCTTCAACCGCCTTCGGGACCGGGTATCTTGTTGAAACTTCATGCAAGCATAACTATTATTTTAACCCACCATCGCCTGCACCAGTAGTGCAAACTGAACTGCGTGGAGTGCCTAATCAATTTTCCCAGCCATTGCTATGGCGCGAAAACCAACTCGCACGAGCTGGGATCACCAGTACAACACATTGCGCCGCGAAGATCTCTTCCGGAACCCTCCCACCGACCATTCTGCCTATCCACTATTACAACAAGCTGTGAATCCTCATATCGAGTCTTTCGATGCTGTATTTGCCAATGATGGCCTGCTAGCTAGGGGCTTAGCGGATATAGGCACCAAAGTTTTCCTCGACGGCAACGACCGCACCCCTGTAGAATCAAGAAATAAACTTTCAATTAAATACAAAAGCATACATCTACAAAAATCCGCTCTACCGCCGACCAACAAATTCGCTGTCAAGAGGGAGATCCTACCGGCTGAATGCCGAGAACGACATGTCTCATACAGGGGCAAACTTTCGGCTACATTCGAATACAGAATAAACGATGGAGATGCAAAAGAATTCACGCGGGAGATTGGGGTGCTTCCAATCATGATCAAGGTATGCTACGGCTGATCTGCCTATGTGTAGCGAACATGCTAACATCGAATACCTAGTCCAGCCATTGCCACCTTAGAGGAAATAGTCCCGCACAACTGGTTGCGCGTAAAGAAGAGTCAGAAGAACTAGGGGGTTATTTTATCGTCAATGGAATAGAAAAGATCATACGTCTTTTACTTCTAAATAGGCGCAACTTCCCCTTGGCCATCAATCGCCCCAGCTTCACCAACCGTGGTCCTTCCTACACCCCTTTCGGCATTATCCTGAGGTCTGTGCGTCCCGATGAGACCTCTCAGACCAATGTTCTGCACTATCTCAATGATGGAAACGTTACGTTTCGTTTTTCATGGAGAAAAAATGAATACCTAGTGCCAGTCATGATGGTCTTGAAAGCGCTTATGGAGACCAATGATAGGGAAATATTTGAGGGACTGGTTGGGTCTCCCGAGTCAAAAGGTATTCAGAACACATTTCTTACAGACCGTGTCGAGCTGCTCTTGCGCACATATAAAACCTACGGCGTTTACACCATGGCTCAGACTCGATCGTACTTGGGAGAAAAGTTCCGACCTGTGTTAGGAGTGCCTGACGGATTATCAAACTACGAAGTCGGAACTGAATTCTTAAGGAGAATTGTCCTAGTCCACCTCGGAAATATCAACGTTACCGAAGAGCAAGACTCCGACAAGTTCCGTCTTCTCCTATTAATGATCAGAAAGCTTTACGCGCTTGTCGCTGGGGACTGTGCTGTTGACAATCCAGACGCTGTTCAAAATCAAGAAATCCTTCTAGGTGGGTTCTTATACGGTCAAATAATCAAGGAGCGTCTAGATGAGCTTATATCGAGTGGCCTGCGCTTGGGCTTACGAGAATATATGAGAAGATCGCCCTCAAATGACTTCAACTCTGATGCGTTTAGAAAGGACTTCCCTATCAAGATTTTCCAGAAAACCAACGAAAACGTTGGCAATGCTCTTGAATACTTCCTGTCAACTGGCAATCTGTCGAGTCCATCAGGTCTGGATCTCCAACAGGTATCCGGTTTCACCGTTGTCGCCGAGAAGCTCAATTTCCTTCGATTTATCAGCCACTTTCGAATGGTCCACAGAGGCAGTTTCTTCGCTCAATTAAAGACAACAACGGTTCGAAAGCTGTTGCCCGAATCCTGGGGCTTTCTTTGTCCCGTTCATACCCCTGATGGTTCTCCCTGCGGTCTCTTAAACCATCTTGCCCATAAGTGCAAGATTATGACTAACTCTGCCGATGCCACCTCTATTCCCCAGCTTGCTGCTGAGCTTGGTGTGGTTGATACATCCTCCGCTGCCACTGATGAAAGTGTTGTTGTCATGTTAAATGGCAGAATCTTGGGTTGGTGTAAACCATCGGAATCTCGACGAATAGCCGACACTTTCCGGTACTGGAAAGTAGAAGGGTCCCATGGAATACCCTTGGAGTTAGAGATTGGCCACGTTCCTTCATCTAACGGAGGCTCCTATCCTGGTATCTTCATGTCAGCAGAACCAGCTAGAATGGTGCGACCAACCAAATATCTTCCACTAGAAAAAGAAGATTTTGTTGGTACTTTGGAACAGCCCTACATGACTATTGCTTGTACCGAACAAGAGATTGTGTCAGGAGAGTCAACCCACGTTGAATTCGATCCCACAAACATTCTCTCAATTCTAGCCAACATGACCCCATTTTCCGACTTTAACCAATCGCCGAGAAATATGTACCAGTGTCAAATGGGTAAGCAGACAATGGGAACACCAGCAACGGCCTTGGCATATCGGACCGACAATAAGATGTACCGTCTTCAAACTGGCCAGACACCAGTTGTCCGATCCCCTCTTCACAACGCTTACGGGTTTGACAATTTCCCCAACGGAACCAATGCTGTAGTCGCAGTGATATCATACACTGGGTACGATATGGACGACGCTATGATTCTGAACAAGTCAGCGCATGAAAGAGGTTTCGGTCATGGAACTATCTACAAGACGAAGAAATACACAATTAAAGATGAAAGCCGAAGCAAGACAACCAAAAACATAGTTAAGCTTTTCGGGTTTGCCCCTGGTAGCACGGTGAAGGCTTGGACACAAACTATGCTTGATGGGGACGGCCTGCCACACGTAGGACGTGCTGTACAAGAAGGTGACGTTCTCTTCGCTTATCATACTGTCTCGGCAGATTACAGTGGGAATCTCGTGAACCGAGATGGGGTCACCAAGTATGAAAAATACAAGGACTCAGAACAGGGTTTTATTGAAGAGGTGCGAATTCTTGGAAGCGAATTAGGCAACGAACCAGCCCAGACCATCTCCATTAAATTTCGGATACCTCGATCGCCTATTATTGGCGATAAATTTTCTTCACGACACGGTCAGAAGGGTGTGTGCTCTCAGAAGTGGCCTGCTATCGACATGCCCTTCTCGGAGTCAGGTATTCAACCAGACATTATCATCAATCCTCACGCCTTTCCGTCTCGTATGACAATCGGCATGTTCGTTGAGTCGCTTGCCGGTAAGGCTGGAGCTCTCCACGGTCTCGCTCAAGACTCGACACCTTTCCGATTCGATGAGGAGAACCCTGCCGCAGATTACTTCGGCCATCAGCTGATGAAGGCTGGGTATAATTATCATGGCAACGAGCCAATGTATTCTGGTATCACGGGTCAAGAACTAGCGGCAGATATCTACATCGGCGTCGTCTACTATCAACGATTGCGACACATGGTAAACGACAAGTACCAAGTGAGAACCACAGGTCCTGTCGTACCGACCACAGGCCAGCCGATCAAAGGTAGAAAGCGAGGAGGTGGTATTCGTGTTGGTGAGATGGAGCGAGATGCTCTACTAGCTCACGGTACCGCATTCCTCTTACAAGATCGTCTTCTTAACTGCTCCGACTACACGCCCACATGGGTCTGTCGAAAGTGTGGTTCGTTCCTGTCTGTACAGCCTACGGTCACACCTTTTGGTGGGAAGAAGAAAGTAGTGAGTACAGTGCGTTGTCGCAACTGTGCGAGACGCCTAGACCAAATACCGGACGTCGAAGTGATGAAACTCAAAGGCGAAATATGGGAGGACGGACAGGGTATTCAATGGGTTGGGGGTGAAGAAACCACGAAGGTAGCAGTGCCGGGCGCTTTAAAGTATCTCGACGTAGAGCTAGCGGCCATGGGGGTGAAGCTCAAGTACCGGGTCGATCCCAAGGATGCCATACGAAAAGGACGCTTGATTCAGAAAACGCCGGAAAGCGTTGGTCTCAACAACAAGAGTTTGCCAGTCTTGGCGGCAGCTTAGACGTCCAGAAAGTAAAAAGGGTTAAAACGGGGTCTTGTATTTATCCATGGCGCTACTGGTGCATTTGCGCTCAACTGGAGTTTTTGAGGAGTCTCCATGTATTTCATACAATGTTTGTATAAACCAAAATGAAATGAGGAATCAGATCTGGTACGGCCGAACCCACGCTGAGGAACGCTGTACCGTGCCACAATATCAGAAACCGAGACTCAAATTATGCACAAAGTCAGACATGTACTCTGTCAGGTCGATATCACTTGAATGTATGTACCCGAGCGACCGGTCGGCTGGTGGCAAATTGACGATATACGAGTGGTATTACCTTGACTGGAGCTACGACATCCCGCAAATCTACGTGGATCGATATGCAGGGTGCCGTGACCCGGATAGGAACTGGACAAATCGCTTTTTAGGTAGCTACATGCCAGTCCTGCCTCATTTTACACGCTTCCGTGTTTGTCTCCCTTACACTGCAAGCGGAGTTTTTTTAGAACTGAAGCCAAAACTCATAGGCCGAGCTGCGTTTTATCCAAGCGGGCAGCGGGTAGGGCAGAGTGCTTCCACGATAGCTAATCTCGCCTCCCTATTCCCAACTTGAACCATCGTACGGTAGTGAGACTGTATCTGGGCGTGGCGACTTACACTGCACCTGCGGGTACCTACTTCACCACCTAACTATCTTCTGTAGGCGCTCGACGATCTTACACCCCCCATGTCATAGCACAGAGAGGTAATCTTTGGCGATGAGTATCTTCAAGTACGTATCATCATGGGCACATAGTGGCATGTCGCGGGTATCTACGATACCTACATATGTGACTATGTTAGTTTGGTGTAGGTAAGGATATACAAGCTTGAAGGCCAGGCCGTGACGTCCTGTGGACGTGGAACTACAAAGTTGGATGATTCGTCATCCATTCATTCATTCATTCCTCATTCGCTCACTCACCCCCTCGCTCGCGCCTTCCTGCAATTACAACTTCGGTAGTAGTAGCCGAACACCCGGGTCAAGCTGTCAGGTACCTGTTCAGATTGACCTATCGTACCTTGCACCATCTATATGTATCCGTTCACGATACATGCAGGGAAGTGTTATACTACCTAACTATATGTACCTGTCAGGTATTACTTACATTCGTACCCAGGTAAGTACATATGTAAGTAGGAGTTGCACTTGCTTTGGACAGTACAAACACAATATCGTTAGATGTAGCTAAGGTAGTAAGTAAGTAGATAAGGCAGGCACCTTCGCTAGGTGCCCAGGTAGGTAGGTAGCACCTATAGACGTCCATATTGGTCAAGAACTGGTTGCTTTACGATCAACTGAACACCATCATGTGCTCTTCCTTCGCCTTCGCCCTCACCTTGCACGGCTCGCCTCCCTGCAAATGTAGCATAGTAAGATGCTACCCGCCGTTGATTTCTTTCCCCGTTGGCCGTTCTTTTCAGACATACATAAGTGCCTGCTTCGTTACCTGCCACTGTCTGCCTACCTACTTAATATGTCCCTGTCGTCATCCAAGATTTGTCCGAAGGTCTGCGGCCACCGCTCCTCAATTTACTTATTACTGACTCAGTCTCATTTAATTCATTTTATCCTTCAAGATATCTCTCACCTAGCGCCGTGCCATTTCTGTCTCTGTGCGAGTCTAACGTTAGACACTTGTGCATATTCTAGGTTCGGGTTGCGCCTTAAACCTCGATATCATCTCACACCCACTCCTTGTCACTTATCTCGGCCACATATCCTCTGAGCAAATTTGATGGGCGGCCATTTCTTCGCACTTGGTTGCGAATGCGGATTCAACACAGCGCGTTGTGGAATACTTCGAGATTGGGTGGTTCAAGCAACTGATTCATCTTCAAACCGAGCTCGCACGTAAAGCTCCCGCTTTCACCGTCACTTGTACGCCCTAGTCCCAGACAGTTCCCGTTTCTTTCGTCTTCTCATACCGCAACATCTGACCTCTACGTGACTCAATTAGCCGCTCCATTAGTTGGTTGTGTAAGCTCACTATGATGTCTATCTGCGCCCTTGTCTTTTTAGTTTCCTTCTTCCTGCCCTATGGCCTCGCCAATAGCCACAACGACAAGGGGTATGACTATGGTCGCCACATGAACCTTCGCATCAGCAAAAGGGATTTTGGCCAATCGTCAATCGTGTCAAGTCTCCCTCTTGTTGACGGAAAGCCACAGCCGAGATTGGAGATTCGAGAACTGCAAAAGAACCATGATCAATGGAACCTTTACCTCCTGGCCCTGAGCTGGATGCAATACACATCGCAGGATTCTCCCTTTTCATGGTACCAAATTGCCGGTATGTTGAACACTCATCCGATGTTGAATTCATCATGCTTACCTAGGGCAGGTATTCATGGGGCACCCGGCCTGACCTGGGGGGATGTCGCTCCACTGCCAGGAAATGATAATATCGGCTATTGCCATCATGTCTCCATCCTATTTCCTACGTGGCATCGACCTTACCTTGTCCTGTACGAGGTAAGCACATTCGAGTAGAAATTCTTCCCTAGGGAACAGTACTGATTGATGGCAAATTATAGCAAACATTGTACAACATTATCCAGTTCATCGCCTCTCTATGGCCGCCCGAGGACATTGACAGAGTCCAGGACGCTGCTAGAAGTTTCAGGATTCCTTACTGGGACTGGGCTGTTGCACCGCCGCCCGGAGAAAGCGTACTTCCCCTCAGCATTGGGGGTTCCTCGGCTGTTAATGTAACTGGCCCTAATGGGATCCAAAGTATCTCGAACCCTCTTTTTAGTTTCACATTCAAGCCATTTAATGGATCTATATTTGCAGATTCACCTGTAAGTCCCTCTCATGGTCGATCGCAAGAAACGATGATAATAACCAGCAATCTAGTACAATAAGTGGAATGAAACAAAACGCGCGCCGCATCCTAACACTGATCCCAACGCCATCTCCAACAACTCTTTTGTGGCCTCTTCACTCGATAATCACCTCCCATCATATCAGCAACGCCTGTACAATCTGTTCGCAAACTATCCAAACTACTCTCATTTCAGCAATGAAGGATGGATGAACGAGAGCAACAACGGAACCTTTGACTCAATTGAATCGCTCCATGATTCTGTTCACACAATCGGAGGTGGTGGGTGGGGTCATCTGGCCATCATTGCATACTCTGCATTCGATCCTTTATTTTTCCTACATCATGCAAACGTCGACAGAATCTTCGCCATATGGCAGGTTATCAATAACGATTCATATGTGATTCCCACAGAAGCCGTCTATGCAACCCACACGGAGAATCAAGGTGCTATGGAGGATATTCATAGCCCTCTGAAACCTTTCTTTCTCAACGATACTTCGTTTTGGACGTCAGACATGGTCAGAGACCTCGAGACCTTCGGTTACACGTATGCCGAAGTTGCCAACAAGACGCGGGAGCAGGTCATAGCCACAATTAACCGCATGTATACAGACTACAGCCCGGCGACCATTGGTATCAGAGGCAACCAGCACTCAGCTGCTCATTCTAATGAATTAATTAATGATCAAGCACAAGATACGACCCAACAACCCCACGGCGCAAGGGGTATGGCTTGGCAACACAAGTCGGCAGGTCGTTTCCCAACACATGCCGTTTTTAAAGTCAACGCCGAGGGCAAGTCTTATCGCGAATGGGTCGCAAATATAAAGGTCAAAAAACATGCATTAAAGGGGTCGTTCTTGATCCACCTCTTCTTCGGAGATGTCCCAGATGATGCCTCTTCATGGCAACATCTAGATAATCTCATTGGTTCCCTGGGAGTGTTTGCAGATCATGGCCAGTCAACAAAGGCACATCAAGGAACAGTAACGGGAACTATTCCGTTGACATCAGCACTCATGCGCATGGCTATTGAGAGACATATATCAAGCCTGGACCCAGAGGACGCTGAACCATTCCTGAGATCTGCTCTACAGCTAAGGATCTCTCAAGCGGACGGAACTTCCGTTAACGCCAGCGAAGTCGCGGGGCTTACCATCAGTATTGTTAGCTCAATGGTCGCAGTTCCAGTTACGGAGGGTCAGCTCCCAGAATGGGGAGAAGTTGAGTCGAATTTTGATCTTGTCGTATAATACTTGGCTGCTGTCACTTTCATCAACATTGCCCATTGGCACTACAAGGGAAAACTTAGAACTGGCTTTAGGGTTTATCTGGCTTTTGATTTCATGTCCATATCAGGAGCTCAATATTGAGTAACTCCTCTAAGAATGACCTCTACTCTTTCATAATGAACCTAATCAGAGTGTATTACAGGCCCATACCATGATATCTTTTGTCTGTGGTGCCATGTAATAGTCATGATGGCAGCCTCTTAAGAGGACAAGACGTGTTCCACAACTTCTGCCGCCCGTTGTAGTTTAAAAGATGCATTTGTATTTTTGTCCCAGATGGTCGGGACTTGTGAGCCAAGCCTCCAATGCAGTTGACTTTCCGAATCAGACACTCACTTGTGACCAATAACATGAACTGGGGCTCATAATGTCAAGATTAAAGCTACCTTTGAGGTAGTTGATATAGGAGACACCATGATTCACTTGCATTCTATTGATGAGTGCATAGGGGCAGTCCGGTATACTGTCTCCTTGTGAACGTAATAAGGTAACCAAATTTGCAGAAGACTTCTTTCACAGCTGTAGCAACCCTTTAGTGAGGTTTACTTCCTGCAAGTAATTCACAGAACCTCCTAGTATCATGATACACATACATATTAGGACCTGAACAGTAGTCCTGTGCCTGAGGTACCCAATATGTACCTTTCTGAATGCCTTGGGGATTTGGCGCCTCAGTGAACCCCGTGGCTCTAGGTTTGCTCAGCGGTTGCTACAGCTCTAAGGCATTATTTTTTGTTCCTAGGTATTTTAATTCACATTCCATGAATATCTGAACATGTTCCAGGAAATAATATCCTCTGTTATGCCTACACACAAATGTGTGCAACCTTGATAAATTCCCTTCATGAGCACAGCACACATCACCATGGCTCCACATCAGCGCCCAGGTTTGTCAAGCCATTCATGTTCAGATCACTTATTGATGGTTTTTAACATCGATATATATTCCCTTCTGATCGGCATATTACTCTGCTTTTTTTGAAACATGCTAATATGCGTATATAGAAAGTTGGCTTGTCCCTTTGCTCGATTTAGCTCCTCTGCACTATCTTAATGAGTTCCGCAAGTTGCATGGACTTGGCCCGTCTAGGAACCTCATAAGTAGCATAATCACTGAGACAGAAGTGGACAAGGAAACTCAACTAGAGAACAACAGCCCAGCCTATCACGGGAACAAGACCCTTCGCCGCAACATCTGCGCCGACATCTCTCAAGAGCAAAGTTGTCGCTTATGGATCATGGGTCTCCCGCCTACATGTACTGTGCAGTTAGTCGTCTGTCTTTCTTTACTTGATATCGTGATTACTGACGCTAGGGCCACAAACAGTCAACTCCTCAGCTGCATCCGCGGCATCGGCCCCATCTTCGCATGCCATCTCACACCGCCCAGGGTAGACGGGACCAAGATCTGGGAGACATCCGCCGCCTCCCTGACCTTCTTCACAGCGGATGCCGCCAACAAGTTCCTCGCGCGCCACATCGCGGATCCCTTCACCGTCGGTGGATTCAAGACGAAGGTGGTGAAACACATGATCAAGACCAAGGGTGTGAGTGTCAATGGCCGGTCCCGTGTCTTGCGCATCGTGGGAGATCCGGATATTGTCCAGCCTGAGCTTCTCTATTGCGTTATTACAGAGGACTGGGGCGTGAACTTTGATACGGATTATATCCATTTCAACCCCGGCACAACGAACGAGATCATCTGGGCTTTTGGGAGCTTCAGGGCGCAGGCTCATATCATCTGCGTGAGCATTAATACGGTCTTTGAGGGACGCGCTCAGGCTATTTATATTGCCGATCCATGTATCCAGGGATGAGAGGCTTGATGGAGAGTGGAGGGGGAGGTTTTCGTATGTTGTGACTAGATGATAATCATGTTCTACTGTGTCACGATCCGAGGGCTACAGATAAAGAGACTCGCTGTATAGTTAGCCCTAGCCTAGCCACAAAGGCCTCAGTACCTTTGTGCAACTACAACCATCATACAGTCACAAGGTGGTTGCATTTTTCACATACTGAGCAATTGCATAGCCTCTTTCACTTATTGATAGCCATGTCCCTTAGCTATAAGAAGTGCATTCGATGCAGATTCCTTTGTTCAGCGATACCGATGAGTGCACTTTGCATGGCTTGAATCACCAACACCTGAAGAGATCTACAAATTCTGCGCTTTAATAATAGGGAACGAAGCAATCAAGGAATAAAAAGCATCGAATTTACCATAAAGCTGGTGAAGAGGTAACACGCGCAGCCTTCACCTCCCTCCTTAGGGCTATCTCAATCCAAATATATGGTACAAAATTCCGAAGCAACTATTGCATAACCCTTCTGGCTACCCTATTTCAATAGTTTCGCATTCACAGCAACATGCTATCAAAGACTTCCCAATATCAGCAACTCGATGCTGTCTGCAAAAGTAATTACTAACCCCAACTAAGTGATTTTAAGATACCATAATAACTCCGTTTATCCCTAATGCATTCAAAGCATCCAGAACATCTACCCGGCCGGTCTATCCCCGCTAGGCATATATAAATAAGCATGCACCTTTCCATGCTGCCGCGTGAGCGAGCGCCGATCTAGCCGATAATCAGTATTAGGGAAGATCAACAAACAAGAAAACAGCACATTCCCAGATCTAAAATCCAATGAAACTCCAAACGCATATCAAATCAATACCTGGGCCTTCCCCCTATTCCTGGGGCGAGCGAGTCTCGGGTGAACGAGCCAAGTCGGCGGAAATGTTCCCGCTACTGTGGCGCAGGACTCGCTTGTGCAGAACCTCGAGGTAGAGTCTCCTCTGATGCTTGGCCTGCAATGCTTCGCGGGCCTGGCGCAGGTCTGCTGCGTCGTCGTCGTCGTGGCTGCCGTGCAAGACCCAGCGCATCACGTCTTTTTGTTCATAGTAGTTGTCGACGGCTGAGGGATGGTGGTCGTAGATGGCGCTGCTCATTAGGTTCTTGGAGGGGCCGAGACCGAGACGGCGGCGATATGCGTTCAATTTTGATAGATTGTTGAGGTCGGTGATAGGGACTTGGAGCGTTACTGGTTTGTGAGGTTAGATAGATGTATTTGTTCCTTTAGGGCAAGGTGAACTCGTGAAAGGGGTGGCGTTCGGATGGAGGGTGTGGTCAACTTACTCTGTGGAACCTGTTCCAGCTGGCGGCGCCGTTCATATTCCTCATGGTCGTACTTTCTGTAAGGACCTACCTCTGCCTGCTGGTTGTAGCTGGGCCCAGGAACGCTCCTGGCAGCACCCTGATAGTACTGCTCATTTCTCTGGAGGTACTGCCACATGGTTGACTTCACTTGAGGCGTGTTTTCTCCCCCCCAGACATACTCTGCATGGGAGTACGCCACTTCACGCTGGGGTTGGGGATATTCATAGGTCTTGTTCACATGGCCGTCTTGAACACCCCCCCTCTTTTTGAGAGGTTGCTGCCATATGACCGAGCGTATTTTGGGCCTGGCGGGCCGTGGCTTCTTGACAATGGTCACCGAGTGTTGGTTTTCTAAGTCCCGGATGGCTGATGTTAGCATGTTAGCGTACTGTATCTTGTAGGAAGAGGAGAAGCTATCAACGAACCTTGGACAGACAACTGTGTGCATGGAGCAGTAGCAAATCGATTTCCACCCTCAGGCATCTTGGCAATTATGTCAAGCAAGCTTGCTCTACTGTTCGAGGATTGATGGCTGTGATGATAGGCAATAAGAAGCAGGTGAAGTAAGATGAAGCCTTGGTCGATGGCCTGAAGGATCTCCCTACGGTGATATATAGATAATTATATAAGTCCAAAGGAAGCTGTCTACTTGTAGTGCTGTGCTGCGGTATGGGTTAGGAGACCTGGCTATCTGGTAGCCAGATGATGCTCAATGAACAGAATGTATGAGAGGCATTACTCCTCAATGACAAGTATAATCGAAATAGTTTTTGGTCTAGGTAGTGTCAGTGGAAAGGCCCTCTCTTAGTTTCGTAATTATATATCAATAATCCGGGCTCATAGCGTTGCAGAACACTGGTTAAAGTTCTTCCTATTCAACATTCTTTAACCTTGTCACCATAGCAAAAAGTGTATCCCACTCTATTGTCGCTTCATGGTTCTCAATGTTCACTGTTACCGGTGCACTGGTCGACTCCATTATCTGAATGGACTCAATGGCAGTAGCGTGCTGCACGGACGTAGGCCATGGACATTGGTGAACATCTCATTGCTCGAGCCTCTTTTTGACAATACTAATTATTTTATTTAATGAGATACTGGAGCGTCTCTAATTTCATGCCTGCGCAGCAACATACAATTGACAATGAAAGTTTTACCTTTCTTCACCTATGTTGCTCAATCTAGTTTGCACACCAAGATTACCAAGGCTCGGCCCATTGTATGCTGTCTTTAATCTTGGTCTTCTTGGAACGTTTTGTGGCAAAACCTGCAGGAATCTAAGGCTATTTGCAGATTGTGAGTAAAAACTGGTGCACCAGGTACTGATCTACCTAGTAGTACTGCTATATATACTAGCACAGATGAACATTTATGAAGCTCACAGTTCTGGGGGGGAAAAAAGAACCGCTGTAAGAAAGACATTTGATACGATTTATTTGATGCTTTATTAAGACATGACGCAGCAGGCTGGAAACGTAGCAGGTGGGAAAAACTACCGGTTATTCATAAATCATGCTTAGTAGACTTAATTTGAAGCATGGATTTGACTTCCGATAAATATGTATCGTACTAGAGTGGAAGTATATAACCATTTCTCTTAGGTAAGCCTTGTGAGGCCAGTACAAGTGCTCTACATGTTGAGTATTAGGATGAGTGTGGCGAGGGAATTGGCGCAGAAGGTTATTTTCTTAACGCCACAAACCTAAGGAAGTAGAAAAGTCGACTGGGGAGAGTTTTGCTGCGTCGTACAAGAAAGCCGGCTTGTTATAGTGCATGATTCCTGAATTTCGCAGAAACTGTTTGTGTATCACACATTCTATCACATAAATAGCAATATATCACATTTGCGATGGCATCTTGTGACGTCCGAGTTTTGAAGTGCGCCGCCTCATGCATGCTAGAAGAACCCCCTCCAGGAAGGGCCTTTCCGCGTAGGAATTGGGAGGCGTCTGCAGGGGAGGCTGTGCTGATATTCCAACCCCTGAAACGCTGACCGAGACGGCCGCGATGCATACTGATGTAACCATACCGAAAACTCTGCTGAGAACACGATTGCTAGGAAGAATAGGCGATAACCGCCTGTTGGGAGGATTGACTCCCATGCGGCCGTGTTGTGTTGTAGTACCGGTAGTATGTGGGCTGTCATATTGAGAGTTGCGCGTCAAAGACAGCGTCGAATAGGGTTTCAAACCGGCACAATCAGAGTTGGTCTGATGGTCCCCAAGCCTGTGCTGACACTTTAATGTAAATCCAACAGTTAATCTAGTATTGTGCACCGTAAAGGTATATTTCTTGGAGACGTGGTGGGCGCGTTGCATATTCTACGATTTACGAGGCTCAACAAGTTGACGATGGTATGTCTACATGTAGTTTACATTTAGGCGATCAGGTATTGGGGAGATATGTAGGAGTTCTAGCCACTTCTTCGTTGGGCTGTTCTACCTAGGATACACATGCCGTTGGATAGTTCTTCACTGCCACCTGAATGCCGTAATCGATTACTTTGTGGTTCGCCATGTTACAGGGCGATGAATGGTCCCGATTGAGGGTTGCGGTGGGCGGGCTAGGGTATTCGTTTTCGCCATTCTTCATGAATCGCTCCTAGTAATGGAATATGCATGTCAGCTTCGGTAGATTCTAGTGGCTCTAGTATGCAGCAACGTTTTGGCCGCAATTGATCCTTGCGTGCGAAGGACTTTTTTTTTTATTTTTTTTTTAAAGCGAATGGGAGAACTAGATGGGCTGCGAGACTGGGCAGTATTTAGTTCAAATAGTGTTGAGACGGTCTCACCACGGCACATCATAGAGTGGTGATTCGTTCCTTTTTTGAACAGGTTTGGCCGAGCCATGATTGACCGACAGGCCAATAATTAATTCATTGAGAAGCTTCGATAAACAGTTCCCAGGCTCGCCAGGGTGGGTTGTAGTGTAGCTACTGTAATTGAATTGATGGCAAAGGTTGAGGTACGAAGGAAGCTGGGAGGTGCATATCGCATAGCGAAAAGCTACGATAGCATGCTAAACGAGGCCGTTGAAGATAAACTTGCTGGCGATGGATATTGCGTGGCTTGCTGTTGTGCTTCCATGCTTTTTACATGCCCTGGATAATCGCGGAGATCATCTGCCGTCTCGAGTGTCCCCCGTTGACGCCCGTCGACGCCCCTTGAGGCAGCGGCGGTTTTCTCCTCCCCCACGCGGTCGAGAGATGATCCTGGAGTGCTGCGCTAGGTGGCATGTGGCTGGAACGGTTTACGTTACCGAGACTGTGGGCTGGAATGGCGCGACTTTATTTAGCATCAACAGTCGAGCGATGCGCTAGAGGCAATACTTTCGCTTTCTTAATAATATAGATGACAGATATGATTTATTTATTTACTTATTTTCTGATATCGAAATACTGCTAGCATGTACTTACATTCTAGGCAAAGACACTTCAATTTCTCATTGCCTTCAAATGCCAACTTTGGCGGATGATTGGCCTGGTCATACGAGGCTTGTCCCTACTTACAATAGGGGGCTCGTAGGCAGAAGACTTTTGGTGTTTGATGGACAGGAAGAAAGGGCTGATTCAGCTAACTCTATCTTGGGGTTGCATTGCATGGGAAAGAAGAGCGGCGCTGGAAAGAGAACACGCGATTGAAGCATGTCGTGTGGGTGGTATTCATTGGCATCCTCATGGGTTAGATACCCACCAAGATAGAGATATCTTGGATTCATTGCACACCCCTCTCGGGTTGATAAAGATCAGCTTGGTACTATGTAAGTAGTTACCTACATAAGTACCTAAGGTAGGTAAGTAAGTATGTAGCTGCCTTGCTTGCGTCTGTCTGTGCCCTGTGTCTTTTGTACCGCACCACACCCAACACTGTACTAGTACGCTAGAGGTAGCGTCCACTTTTACCCTATCAGCCTAGCACGGTCTGCACGAGCGATCTGGATTAGCGAATTTTACTGGACTTGGCTCTATTTGCACAGACTTGTACTAGCAGTTGACTGTACGTAGAAGTTGGCTCCATCAGTTCAGCGGCGACTTCCGACTATCAGTCTACGACATGCCTGGCTTACAGTATTGTGTTCCGGATATATAGAAAATTGAACATCCCTTTAGTGAGAATGAGAGGGTGATAGTCAATTTTCATCTCGGTGTTATTGAGAGGGTTTGATTCAATATTAAATGATGTGTGGATTGCATTCCGGAACACAACGGTGAATGCCTTGACATATAAGCACAGTATGTAGTGTAGCTTTTGTACTGTATATTACCATGCTCGGCAGGTAACTAAGGCAGGTGGATAAGCGTAGATAATGCAGGTCCGTATCGGGAACCCCCACACAGAGCACACACCATCACGGGCTTACCTTAGCGTGACCAGAGCGCGACCAACCAACCAACCAACCATCATCAATCATCAGGTTCATCATCACTGATTATTCCCAGACCAAGCATTCGTCTGCTCCAACATATCAGACACCATACTGTAGTACAGTAGTCGGCTGCTATTCGCCCTACGGCTTATCCAAAGAGGTCTGTCTGCTACCGATTCCAGTAGTATCCCCACGCCCCCGTCAGATCCTTTAGCTCGGGCACTTCATGTAGGTATCTCCACGAACGCCACCCGTGCTCGAAGGGAAAGCTTCGAAAAACGCTAAGACTACAACACTACTACTAGGCAATCCTGCCTAGCATGCTATACTGTAGGTAGCAGATAGCTGACTTTCTGATATGTCATACGTTTTCCTAATCAACTCTATCCTGCTGTTGGTTTGTCTGTCGTCCTCTTTCGGCCCAATACCCGTGCCCTTGCCCTCGTTTGGGAAGTATGGACGAGGTAGAAGTAGAAGGCTATTGGATCCGCTGAGCCAGGTAGCCGTCGGAGTCCAGGGGAAGCGACCGGTGTGTGTCGACTATGTGTGTCGACTGAGTGCTGAGCATTCGATGCAACAGGGCCGAGTGCTGAATGCGCAATGTGACGGTAGGTGGTGAGGAGGAATGACGCTCACCGCATTGCACTGCCATTGGTACATTCGCATTATTACTTACCATGTACCTACCTACTTACAGTAGACCTCCTTCTAGAACAAGGAGTGTAAACGTCGTGCCGATGCGACGCTGACCAGAACCCGGTACAGTCTTTTCTGCCCATCATGTTGGCATAATCGACCTAACTTTGCAGGAGGCGTTGGCGCAGAGACCACCTGAGTGGTACCACAGTGGACGCCTTGCCGCTATCTGCGGAGAGCGACTGTGATCAGGTTGCTTTTGTCGGCGCCTCGGATGCATCCCATTCCCCTGCTATTGGTGGTGAGACACTGCGTAGGTAGTCTAATAGCAAATTCCTTGGCATCTTGGTCGTTCTCATTTTATCTCCTCTGCCCCTCTGCCTAATCAGATCTCCCGCTTCTCGACTTCAACCATTTTGTACCTGCCGGCGTCCTTCGCCCTACCTACATATTCGGAATAGCCCTTCAAAGTCGGTGTTACAACAAGTCCAGGTCGAAGCCGCAAAAACCATCGGATATCGCCCCTCACCAAGTGTACCTAACAGGAGCCTCACACGGCCTGTCGCCAACATGGTCGTGGTGGACGGTGTTGACCTGGATGGCCTAAACTACATTCCCAAATTTCCATACAATGGCTCCATTCCGACGGGAGGTGACTCGTTGAACGAGGATCTCAATATCTTTTACGAGGTAATTGATCTCTGGAATACTTGGGTCGTGGAGGAAAGCAGCTAATCGGTGGACTCTTCCATCAGAGCGGCGATATAGCATGGATGATCACGTCGACGGCTTTGGTGTTGCTTATGATTCCTGGTGTTGGGTAGGCCTCTCGCGCATAGATATACCTCCTTGTAAAGCGTAGCTGACAGGCATTCAAGTTTCTTCTACTCGGGGCTTGCCCGTCGCAAGTCTGCCTTATCTCTGATATGGCTTTCCGTCATGGCTACAGCTGTTACTACGTTCCAATGGTTCTTCTGGGGTTACTCCTTGACCTTCTCGCACCATGCCAGCTCGTATATCGGTGACCTCTCGAACTTCGGCATGAAGGACGTACTCGCGCATCCTTCTGTGGGCTCTTCTAGACTTCCCGATCTTCTATTTGCCGTCTACCAAGGCATGTTCTCGGCGATCACGGTAGCTCTCGCCACAGGCGCCGTAGCGGAAAGAGGGCGGATGCTTCCTTGCATCGTCTTTATGTTGATATGGGCGACCATCATCTATGACCCTATCGCGTGTTGGACTTGGAATCCGGCTGGGTGGTCGAACAAGCTAGGTGGCCTAGACTTTGCTGGAGGTACACCGGTACATATCGCTTCCGGATCGGCAGCGCTCGCATGTTAGTGATTCTCACAAATACCCAGGCCTAACCGCTCCCCTCTTCCTGCTAGGTACGCTTTAGTGAAGGCCATGCTGATATCGGGCCATTTAGATTCGATGATGCTTGGCAAACGACGCGGCCACGGAACCCATGAGCTGAATTTCCGCCCACACAACGTCACTCATATTGTTATTGGGACCGTCTTTCTATGGGTTGGTTGGTTTGGCTTCAATGCTGGTAGCGCATTCTCGGCGAATATGAGAGCAGTCATGGCCGCATGGGTGACCAACTTATCAGCGTGCGTTGGTGGTATCACTTGGTGTGTCCTTGACTATCGACTAGAACGCAAGTGGTCTACAGTCGGCTTCTGCTCAGGGGTTGTTGCTGGTCTCGTGGCCATCACACCAGGCTCAGGTAAGATTCCTCAGGTTCAAACCAGCAAATGGAACTAATAGAGGATAGGCTTTGTCCCCTCGTGGGCTGCAGTTCCATTCGGAGTGCTTGGAGCGTGCTTCGCCAACTACGCTACGAAACTCAAGTTTTTACTTCGAATTGATGATTCGCTAGACATATTTGCTGTTCACGCTGTCGGCGGTTTCGTGGGAAACATTCTTACTGCCTTCTTCGCTGCCGACTATATTGCACACCTAGATGGCGTGACAGTCATTCCGGGCGGCTGGCTGAATCAGAACTGGATACAACTAGCATATCAATTAGCAGACTCGGTGGCTGGAGGTGTATATTCTTTTGGCGGCACCTGTATCATTCTTTTCATCATCAACTTGATTCCGGGCCTCAAGATTCGCGCCTCCGAAGAAGCCGAAATCCTTGGTATCGACGACGCGGAGATTGGAGAATTCGCGTATGATTACGTCGAGTTGACGAGAGAAGTACTGACTGAGGTGGAGAACGACGATGTTCATAGTCGGTTCTCGGTGGAGGGCAACCCGACTTTTGACCCCCGCGAGAAGAATAGCATCCCTTTGATAGATGCTAGGGTATTCTCGAGTCAGTCGTCTCAAGCTCCTCATGCGCAATAATTGTATGCCATGGGGCTGCATGAGTCAAAATAAGTGTACGATATTGGGGGCTTAAAACCGGTGCTGGCGGCTGAATTGAATTTCGTCTCTTGGATTCGACACGGTATATTTTATTTCTTGCACCCCAGTAATGACAAGTAGTTGATAGATAGAGTGGCTTTCACGGCTAGAAGTCTTGTACTTATCTTACCCAAACTAGCGTTTACGATCTTATTTGTGATACCATCACTGAGCAGAGTCTCTTATGTAGCACTTACCGATTATAGACAGGATTATAATTGGGAATGATGGTGCAGTTCTTGGTTTCATTAATGAAGACGGCTGTTATCGGATTGTGGTATGCTAGTGAAGATAGAAGGATGTGATTGAGACTACCCTGTATGCTTAATGCTTCTTCAATGTGTGAACCTCCATAGATGGGGTATTGGACCTAACCTCTTGAGGCTGTAGAAGCTTGAAATAGTCGACATTTGCCGCGGAAGAAAGATGGCAATTCTTGTCACCACTAAGCAGCAATCCTTTGCAGATGATTAGCAATATGTAAATTATCTCTGGCTGTATAGAAGAACGCGTTCAACGAGAGCGCAAGGATGACTGCTCGGAATGTTCAGAGGACAGGCAGCTGACCATTGCAATCACGGCTCTTCTCTTGTTTCTACTTCATCGGAGTGGAGATCCTGTGGTCACGAGATACGCCATACTACCGAACTCTGGTACCCCACTCCAAGCAGTACGCCCAACACTGCCACCGAGCAGGTGACTCAGCTATGCAGAAGATAACATAGAAGCTATAATGTCTTGCATGCAGCTACCACTACTACCTAGACGGCTCGAATTCACCATTGGCTAGGCTGCTCGTAGCATCGCCCGCCTTCATATCCTCGCTTAAACATCTGAGGCCAATAGAGAGAAACAAGCGTGCAGTTCGCAGAGAAATGGCACCCAATGACGTAAAATCGAAGATGCGGCCGTGTCGCTGAGCCCGAATGTTGAGGCTGAGAACAGTTGGGTACTTTGGTGGCTGCGGGGAGAGTGTATGTATGGAGGTATACTGGATATGGCTTGCACAGCCTGGAAGAAACGAATATTGGTAGATGGAGTAGTGTACAGATAAATACAATTGGCAAGCACCATTCCCCTGAGATCAGGTAAGTTTTCTGATATTCTCGCCCCTTACGCGATTTCTGTTCACTTACCTATCGTAGCTTCTCTACAAACCTCGTGTTTCTGTCTGGTTCCCTACCTAGGTACCTATCAAAGCTTGTCTACAGCCTTGTCCATCTGTCCTTCGGCGTCTTGCTGTCTAGAGTACTCGGACTGATGCTGGACCGACTTCAGATTGCTGGGACTGTAGGGACATGGGTTGCTGTGCTATTGACCTTCATTACCCTCACTGCCATAATCGGACCATGGCTGCTACTGCGTCAGGCGTACAATGAGCGGAACCGGGCGCTGAACGCGGTTCAAGATAGCAATCAGGATTTTGTCACCAAGGGAGTCGGCTTCAGCAAGTCGATCCGATTTTTCAGGAAGACCAAAGTGCCGAGCCTTGCACCAAATTTCGACTCTTGGTCGCATGACATCCCGCTGAAGATCCCGGCCACCAATGAGTGCTGGACAGCGAAATACCCCGACCCAACAACGTGCCGAACTGGTTGGGCTGTTTTCTGCCGACTGCTCGAAGCATATAGTGCTTCCCAGGTAGACGATGCCAAAGTCGGGACGTCTCCTCATCACGGTTGGTGGCCCTTCACTCTCGGACGAGCGACATCCCCGCCTCAAGCCACTGGAAATCCGGTAGTGCTTCCAGGCGGTGGAAGTCTCGTTTTCAAGAAAAGCTACACTTTCCTCCCAGTTAGTAGATACTGGATCCTTGTCATCGGCTTGTTGGGGAGGTATGCCCGCCGGGAAGATAAGGGCAAGGCTCAGATGTCTGCTTCTCTCCGACGGGATCTCAACGAAGAGCGTGCATACGTGGAACAAAACGATATAAACGATATCGAAACCGCACTCTCCAAATCCGACACTGTAGGCTTTGACTTTGCCGCCAAGGTAAATCAACAAAACCTATTCACTAGATTCAAGTCTAGGAAACGCAGTGCGTCAGCAGACAGCAGCGCCTCGAGCATATCGCGCGTCACTGATGTCTCTGTACCGCCCGTCATGGCAACACCTGGCGTATCCACGCTCTGTGGTATCACAGGAGAGTTCTGCAGAGTTAAGTCGGATGATACCCCGTCCGACACATTGATGTTCACGCCGCATAATTTTTACGAGATGGGTCTGCTGACCCTACCCATAACGGAGCCGGTATCCATATCAACGCTGTTCTGGTTAGCCAATGGCTTCATCCCCGTGTTCTCTGACACTGATGGCAAGCGGATCGCCCGTGTGATTTGCTTGGAAGACCCTGCCGGGTATTCCTATGAGGAAAGGCATAGTTTTAGACGTCGTCGACCTAGGCTAGGTCTGGCTGCATTGGCTGTATCTGGTCTGGATACAGAGAGGACCCGCGCGCCTTACGTAGCACGGCGGTGGTATGACGAGGACCAGTACTCAAACGACGAGTCCACTGATCGTTACAGCGATTTCGACGTTGGTATCAATGAGCAGAATAGTTATGATGCTAGAGAACGAGATATCATTCCTCCCGAAACCACCAACGACAATGTTCCTCTAAACAAGCCAGATATAGATATCATTGGCATTACAGAATCGGAGTGGGTACCCATACCCGATGATTACATTGTTGTTGAGGACAAGCCCGAAAAGGGGATACAGGTTGACTCTCACTCCACCGAGAACAATGGCTTCGTTGATGAACAGATCCGGGATTACCCGCCCGGAAGTATCGAAGCAGATGGAATACACACCCCTAAGCCCGACGAAACTCAGAGTTCGGACGTCACTGGGCGGGAACTTGTGCTCTATACAGGTGGTACTGAAAGTCAAGATCATCAGGAGATATCAGGATCGTTCGAACAGGTAGAGGAGAATGATGAAAGCTACCGCTCATTCAGATCTAGATCCAGATCCAGATCCAGATCCATGTCACCCTATCGAGAGAGATCGCGGCGGAGCTCTAGGTCACGGAGTAGATCTCGACCATTCCGTGGAATTTTGAAGTCTAGAGCTGTACCACGGGCTAGGTATCGGAGCAGATCTCCAATTCTTAGTAGGCCTCGAGTTTGGCATAGGTCTCCGCCAAGGTTTAGAAGTCCACCCCCCGTCACACGCAAGATAACACTATGTCGAGCGACGGACTGTCCAAAGTCACTGAATCTAGCTATGGAAGCCCTGCAGATACAGTTCACTTCCATCGACTCTATGACTGTGTCAAGTGAATCCCCAACAAATACTGGGACATATAGTCGATTCGATCCCTTTTGCGCTGAGGCCCCCGACTCTACTACCCCGCGCGATGATGATGCCTCGAACACCGAAATTGGAGATGGTCAAGAATGGATCTCCTTGCCATCTCCCACCGATAATTCGGAATATTATATCTCTCGAGTGGATGTACAAACAATGGTGCTAGCCATGCTCGACATCCCCTGGGATCCGCGGGGCTACCTAATCGGCTGCCCTTCTCAAACGTCTCTCTGGCGCATGTACATGGAGCGCATGTCCACCCAGACGGAGACAGCGCTCGAAGCGTTCAGACAACTACCATGGGTTCAAGACCCCGCGATCAAGAAGCGCTTCGAGGAGCATTCCTGGCTCGAAAAGAACCCGCGCGCCTCGCAGCCGGACACGGCGAGACTGGTCGACCTGGACCGATTCCTTACCGCCATCATGCGCGAGAAAAAGCTCCAGTACAGGGCAATAGCGCTGGGACTTTTCACAGACGAAGACGCGCATTCACTTGTGTCCTCTTTGCTCTACGAATACGACCCGGATATCTTGATTTACGACGGCTCTCGGTTGGTGGTTGATCGGGAAACGTGCAAATGGAGCGCGAAACACGGCAGGACGAGCGCCGAGTGTATATTCATACCTGAGTCGCTTGTCAGGTACGATGGCAATGATGAGGTCAAGGAAGATGCCATCCTGGATGAAGATGTAGTGTTGGTATCCCTGTGGGCATGTGTGAGGGCGGAGCTGTGGTTGGGTTCTCTGAACGGGGACGACTTGATGGATGTCGTGAGGGGTCTGAAGCGGACTGTGCATTTGATCTAAGGCGCGGATGACTCGTTTTGCCGACGATTTCTGTTTTCTTCGGTCTTGGATTTCAACTTGATACCTATCTGTTTACCTACCAACTTATTTAGATTATAACTTTGGCTAGATAGAATTTCTAATACAATTCATCTACTAGACTACTACCTACCTGCGAAAGATAGTGGAATATGAGGGCGAAGTTGCCTAGATTGGATTAGTGTTTCTGTAGGGAGTGATAGAAATGGCCTGAGAGATCTCTGCTCATCACGGTTATTCTATTAGTATAATTATTTCATCGTCTCTCCGAAGCAGATAATGACCAAAGGACAATTGTTGCGATCAATGTTTGGAATCTTACACCACTTGCCTGATTTGCTACCTACCTAGGTACTTAGATTACAGGTGGTTGCACTGCTAAGTGGAGCACAAGCTAGGCACCTACTGTGCTGGCTGTTAGTGCTCCCTTCATTCCCCTCTCCACTGTCTGTCTCAGTTTGCTAGGCAGAGACAACTACATGTTCAGCTGTAGGCACCGAAACATGACAGAGCTCATTTCCATTCACTTCATGCATGAATGCCGACTTGATTTCAAGGTTAGATACTAAACTATTTATTATCTACCTATCTGCAACACGAATGTGAGTAGGACTGCTGAATCGTTGGCTAATCTAAGCATCTAGATGTGGTGCTCAGTCGAGGTTTCCGCTCAGAGGGAGACGGTTTCATCCCTCCATAGAAGCCTCATCCCGGCTCGCAGAGTTGATAGCTCGTCTGTTGTCCTAGACAGAACTTTCCTCAGCCGTCATTTACCTACAGCCACAAAGACGTGCGACATATAAACCCTGGCAAACCATGGTGTCAAAAATGGACCCCCCTCTGACAGAGAAGGTGGCCTTCTTTGAGCAGCTTGACGCGTGCAGGAACTTTGACGAAGAGTCAGACGCCTTAAGCACAGAAGAGCAAACATTGAGGCAAGAAAGCAAAGCTTTCCATGCCGCCGCCGCCGCTGCCGCTGCTGTCGCCAAATCCACCAAGCCTGCCGAATCTACCAGTCACTTAGTCAAACCGCTACGCTTTCCTACTACTAGGTTACCACCCTCACACCACCGGCGGACGGCTTCAGATCCTGCTCCAAAGCCCGTGGATAAGGAGCTTGAGATAATAGCTGTCACACCTGTGAACAACCGGCCAAACCTGTCAAGAATAGTGCCAGCCACGACTGCGTCTTCTCCAGTTCGTGAAACATCCATCAACGACTCAATCATCCCGGAAACAGAGCGGCAGCCAAATACGAGGCGTACACGAAGCGGTATTCATCAAACCACACGAGTATTAAGATCACAATCTAACTTAGAGCCATCTCCATCTGTTTCCATGGCTAAACGTAAGAGAAGCCAGCCACTTAAGATGGCCCCGGAATCAAAGCAGATATTTAAAGGACTCTTCTTCTTTTATATACCTAACGACGACATTGATCCTGCTCGGAAGATGAGGATCAAGAAGGCTCAAGAGTACGGTGCTACTTGGACGCAAAACTCGGCCAAAGCGACGCATGTTATTGTCGACGAGCGTCTGTCGTACGATGACATAAAATCTACACTCGATGACAACCTCACATCGCCGTCTATCGTTCTCGTCAACGCCCACTATCCTATCGAGTGCTGCAAGAGGGCGGTTATCATCGATCCCAACCCCACAGTCGAGAAATATCGATATGGAGTTCCCGGAGATCCTGGGTTGACCAATAATCCCACTAAAGAGCCGATAGCTCCTGAGCAGCCGGGAACCCAGGACTCTAATATGTCACTACAGATTAAACAGCGAAGAGACCGCAAGTTTACAGCTTTCAATTCACCAGAATCTAGCCAGGGTGGCAGTGATTTAATCCCCTCGTCACACCCCGAAGAAACCCGAGCTTCCAAACCTGGCTCTAAACCTTCGAAAGGCAAAGCAAAGGCCGCTCCAGTCGTCGATGACTTAACCGCATGTATTGATGAGGTCCTGGAGGATCTAGAAAAAGGTCTTGATAACAATGACCAAGATGGCTCAGATTCAGAAGATGACACCTCTCAGAGTAAAAAACGACGTCTAAGGTCCAGTGGGGATAATGCAAAGCCAAAATTCCGACAAAACGCTTTTATGTGCATGAGAGGTGGGACAAGAGGCAAGAAGATTAACGGGCCCAATGCCGAGACGATCAGGCTATTGGAGGAGATGCTAGGGGAGCATCAACTGTCGAACGATCAATGGAAGGTGCAGTCGTATCAAAAATGCATATCTACGCTTCGCCAACAGTCCAAGAGAATCAAGACAGCCAAAGAAGCTAGGGCGCTCACGAATATTGGGTCGAGTCTGGCCGAACACATTGAAGAGATCGTGACGACGGGCCGATTCCAAAAGTTGGAAGAGATACGCAGAGAGCCAACCCGTGAAGCGCTGAAATTATTCAGCAATGTCTACGGTGTGGGTATACCGACGGCGATGAAATGGGTTGAGCTAGGATATCGCACCGTCGACGATCTTCGCACAAAAGCCAATCTCTCGACGAACCAACGGATCGGCGTAGACCACTACGACGACTTATTGACCCGCATTCCTCGAGCCGAGGTCAAGGCCCTAGGCGACCACGTCAAAGACGTAGCGGCCACCATCGACCCGAGCATCGAGCTCATCATCGGCGGAAGCCATCGTCGTGGCGCCGAGTCCTCGGGCGACATCGACCTAATCGTAACGAAGACAGGGACGACATCCACGCAGGACCTCGTGCCGTTCCTAGACAAGCTCGTCGACAAGCTCACGAAAGACGGCTTCTTGACCGCATGTCTCGCCTCACACCGCCACGACGGCGGGAACAAGTGGCACGGCTGCTGCGTGCTTCCTCGCACGGCGTTCCCTGGACCCAAGAGAGAATACAACCCTATCTGGCGCCGCATCGACTTCCTCCTTGTCCCCGCGGCAGAAATCGGCGCCGCCCTGATCTATTTCACCGGCAACGACTTGTTCAATCGCAGCATGCGCCTCCTCGCGCGCAAGAAGAACATGAAGCTGAACCACAGGGGATTATTCGGCGTCGGCGTCAGCGAGGGGAAGGACGAGAAGAAGATCTTTGAGATCCTGGGGGTTCAATGGCGAGAGCCGCATGAGCGGTGGTGTTGATGAGTTAGTTCTCTGTCTGTTCGGGTTTCGGTTTCGTTGCGCGGTGGGATTGATCTGGTAGATAGATGATAGAGGATCGGGCTGTTTTGGATCGCGATGGTTTAGATACATACTCGAATTTCAGTGAATATCCTTTTCGAAACATCTACCTGACTAGATTGTACGCTTTCGCGACGATGTCGATTCTCCTATTGGAGTGAGTAGTCTTTGGGAACTTACAAGCAAGGTAAATGTAAAACATAACGACGATGCCAAGTGCTGCTATAAGAGCAATCGGAAAACGGACTTGGACTGCTCAATGTCGAGATATGTATTGTCTGGTAAATCAATTCTTACTTTTTATCATCTATAGTATTTGTTGATGAAAATCTACGCAACAGTGAAGGCGTTGGTCTAGTATCTATGCCTTTTTAGCTCCATTCCATGCGTTACCAGCTTAAGCCCGCCACATTCAAACACAGTAACAATCGCACATCGTTTAATATATCAAGCCTCCATTTAAAAGCCGCTCATTTTCAATTGAGACACATGACCACAGTGTCCCCAGCTCGGGGTTGAAGTGGTTCTTGATTACAATCCACGCCCCTATTCATTCGTAGCTTGTTGATGCCAGCTTGGTTTAGCTAGCCTAGGCTAATCTACCCTGTCGAGTCTAATATTCCTTTATTCCAGTTCAATGGTTCCTGTCACAGGTTAGACGTCATAATATCAAACTTTACAGAGATAACAGTGACTTACCAGGAGGTTTTGAAGTGCAGTCATACACGACTCGAGTGATTCCATCGACTTCGTTAACGATTCTTCGGCAGATGTTCTTAAGGAGTTGGAATGGGAACTCGAATGGTTCGGCGGACATGAAGTCCACGCTGGTAACGGCTCTCAATATGATGATCATACCATAAACGCGGCTATCACCCATCACTCCCACAGCTACCGAATGACAGTATATCAGCAAGAGTACCCCGGAAGGAGGTTGAAAACCAAGGTACATGAGTCGATAGTGAATGATGATAACACATACCTCTGTTGGTATCAAGAGCAGCATAAGCTTGTGACATCTATTCAGCAAGTCAGTGATTGTAGCTCAATGAAGTTTAGTTGAGACAAACCTGGTCGTAGATTCCAGCCTCCCTAATCATAGAAATGAAGATATGGTCGGCTTTTCTGACGAGTTCGACATTCTCACGGTTTACCTCTCCGAGGATTCTGATAGCAATACCCGGGCCTGGGAATGGGTGGCGCATAACAAGGTCCTCGTGGATGCCTAGTTGGCGACCGAACGCTCGCACTTCATCCTTGAAGAGCTGGGAGTTGGGTCAGTATGATGTCGAAAGTCAAGCCCTCTTCTAGGAAGTAACTTACCTCTCGTAGAGGTTCAATTAGCTTGAGCTGTGCTTGCTATCATTTCCGTCAGTAGCCATTCTAAAATGCATTAGCTTTGGCACACTTACTCCGTTCATCCTAGTATCATGTCAGTCTACCCAAGGCACAGATGGAGGTGTGAGGAATGAAACTTACATTCTAGCGGGAAGACCGCCGACATTGTGATGCGCTGTAGATAGTGTTAGTATGATTTAGACCAACAAGTTGTCGGATCAACATGTCTTCCAAAAGACACGACATGTCAGCTAGCTTGGATCATAGTCCACACTTACACTTGATAGTAGCCGAAGGACCTTTGAAACTCAAAGATTCAATCAAGTCGGCGTAAAGTGTTCCCTGAAGGAACCATTCCACTTTTCCAGCACGGGTTGTTTCCTTTGCCTCTTCCTCGATACGGATAGCTTCTTTCTCGAATAGATCAATAACTAAGAAACTTGGTTAGCGTTCTATGAGAAATGTCTTTATTAATGCACTTGCATAGGTATTGAGGAGACTGACAAGTTTCACCGATAATCTTGCGCTTCTTTTCCGGCTCCAAGACGCCTGCCAGGCGACTGAAGAACAATTCTGACCCGTCGACAATCGTTAGGTTGATACCGAGATGTTCTTGAAGTGTCTCCTTGACTTGTTGGCATTCATTAAGACGCATTAATCCTACAGAGCATGTATCAGTTATCAGCACGCATAACAAGATGTGTTAAATACTAACCTGTGTCCACAAGAATTGCATGGAAGCGGTCACCTAGAAAGGGGTTAGGTAAACTTGGAGGTTATCGGCCGAATCGTATCTGATAGGGGATAATACCGATCGCCTCTTTCATCAATCGAGCTGCCACTGTGCTGTCAACACCTCCAGAGACTGCTCCAATCTATTGAGTATTTGTTAGATCGACAATGATGCCATGACTTAATAGATGCGAGTGATTCAACTGACAACTTGAGCATTATCGCCCACAAGCTTGCGAATTCTAATAATCTCCTTCTCGGTGAAGTTTCCCATCTCCCAGTTGGCACGTGCGCCGCAGATCTTGATGGCAAAATTTGAGAGTATATCTGTACCCCGACTTGTGTGCGAGATTTCGGGGTGTAGTTGAATTCCTGAAGAGGCACAATCATCAAGATACGATCACAAGAATTATTAAGGAGGACGGTATACCTACCAAATATAGGCTTGGACTCGTGAGCAATTCCAGCGTATGCAGTATTCTTCGTGCTCGCGATTGTGACGAAGCCCTCAGGCAAATGCATGAGTTTGTCGAAGTGGCTCATGAAGACTGGGTGAAGGTCAGAATGAAATGCCCTAAGTTTCCTTGTACGATTCACACATCAATGTGACAGAGCTTGTCCTACCATGGAGAGTGTCGTCAAAGCCTTCAAAGAGACGGTCGGCATTGGCGCTGCCAACCTTGTGGATGGTAAGATCGGTTTCACCATACTCCCGAGCCTCGCCGCGAGCAACGTTTTTGTCGTTGATCAACCAGGCGAGCAACTGGCATCCATAACATATTCCCCTATCCCCGTGTATTAATTACGGCCCAGGTCTTGGCATACGCCGTTGGGGGTTGCCTACAGAATTGGAATACCCAAGTCAAAGATAGCGGGATCAATGCCTGAATCGTTTTAGCCTTGATTCTACGCATTACAACAATCACATGAAGCCTTACCGGGAGCGCCTTCATCGTAAACAGAGGAGGGGCCTGACCACACAAAGTTAGGAACGTCAAGTCACAATAATTGCCTCAGTTGACAAGCTGAAGTGGTATAACACGAACCTCCACTCAAGACAATGCCAACAGGGGTCCAGTCTAATTCAGCCAGCTTGGTGGTACACGGCAGCATCTCAGCGTAGACATTGAGGGATCTCAGTCGTCGGAGAATGAGATGGCTTGTTTGGCTGCCAAAATCCAGCACCAAAACTGTCTACATAGCGATACCTTAGCAACAGCGCGCACGATGCCTCGTCTATCCACTAGTGGAAGACGACGCGTAGATGGGCCGACTTACATCGAAGGTGTTGTGAGGCGCAGCGGCCGCCGTGGTGGTGTCGGCCATATTGATATCAACAACTTGTTACTACAGCTATCTGGGCTTGTTAGAAAAGCAATCAAAATATCAATATCAAAATAAAGAACAATCTCAACAAGCCTTTGAGGTTGAGGGGCGGATGTGACGATCGCCACAGAGCTTGTTGGCGTGGACAACTAGAAAAATTCATATACCTTAAGATGTTCACCGAACACGGAGCTTTCCGGCTGATAGCGCGATAAGTGAGTCAAGAGAAGTACTGCAAGGAGAGGCACCCATGCAGATGCTTACTTGACGACGTGGGTATCAACGGGTCGAGTCGCGATTAGAAAAAAAAAGTTAAGATTTCCCCTCCATGGTGGGGTGTCCCAGTTGGAAATGGAGGGGCACTCAATAGAACCCCTCCATACTGCCAAAGTGCCACTAAGTGGGGGTGGATATATTGCCCTATCTAGTAAGTTAGCTACCTACGTAATGTAGTTCCCAGGAAAGCGGAATTAAAGTACCCGAGTAGCAGCCACTTGTGGCTATGCATGGGATACGAGCCACAGCTGATACCTACCTAGGTACCTAGGTAATCAGTGCTTCCAGGAGCCTGTGAAGTGTCTAGGTTCATGTTGTTTACACGACTTCCAGAACAATGCAGCTTGAATGGTGCATGGAATCATCCCATGCCCCAATCATCCATCGTATGTAATCTAGGGAAAGATTAAGTAGGTAGGTAGTCATTACGTGAAGGGAATATTTATCTGTACATGTCGGACGAAGTAATGTTCATCGTGGTGATAGAGTGCATGCATCTTTGAGAGAGTCCTTGGCACCGGAGCTTATTTAGCTCATAGCTGGGGTTCCGAACATCTGGTCCCTACTTGTAGGTACTTAGGTTAGCAACTCCATCGACAGAATGTGTCCCAAGCACTTCGGTTCGCTTTGCCAATACCTATTGCCTTCTTTGAAGTCTGTCTGCCTAAAAACTGGCTGCAGATCGGGAGAAGGGCATGTCAGGCATGTTGCCTACCTAGGCGCAGCACATCCTATACTTACCGGGGAGTTCTGCAGTATCATCTGTCGGAGCCAATCATGAGCAGGATATTTCCCACGTTCTTTGGTCTACAACAGCACGGGCAGACTTATGATGCCATGCGCATCGGTGATTCCCCAGTATCCCACTGCGCCAACCTGCAATCGGTATCATAACCGGACTTCGTTCTTAGGGCCTCATACATATTTACATGTATGACGAGGTGGCAGAGCTTGCCTTGTCAATTCTGTTTTGTTCCGCAATCACGAAATGAGGTGGTGTCAGATCTGCGGCTTGCCCCGCGGTTCGATGTGACACGCCGAGTTGCGGGGGTTGAGCAAGTGCATGTGTATAAATGGAATTGAGTTCCTGCCATTGCTGCAAACATAGCCATAGTCCCAAAGCTTCCTACCTCACTCAGTAAGCTGTCTTGAGCCAGTAGAGCCTATTTTCTTCTCGTCCTATCGGCCTTGGCCATCCATATCGAGAAACGAGTAGGAAGATGCACAGCCAAGTCGGGATCAGTCTTGTAGCAGCTTTCTCTGTTCTTCTCCAAGCGACAACCGTAACAGCATCATTCGATGGAAACTTGAACTATGTTAGCCCATCACGGCGTCATCCGAGTCTTGGAATTGATATCCCGCATGTCGCGCGGCGGAGCCTAAAGCGCGGCAATGTGGCCTATGCTCCTAGCGATCTATCTTTTACGCATGGTGTAGCCTCGGGAGACCCCTACTCTGATTCTATCATCCTGTGGACACGAGTTGCCCCTTCAAGTGCCTCTGACGCAAGCAATGTGACAGTCGATGGCCCCGTGCCATTGTATAATCACGATACGCAAGTCTATATCGGGGCTGACCCTACCCCTATTTGCATTGACTGGGCTGTATTTCCCGAGGGAGGACTGAACGGATCAGCTATCGCAAGCGGAACGGCCTACACGACTAGCGACATTGACTATACAGTCAAGGTAAGAAAACTCTTGTTTAGCCAATATTGCTTACAAATAACTAATTGGGATGAGTGAATAGGTGGAGGCAACAGGGCTAGAGCCGTTTACCACCTATAATTATCAATTCACCATCTGCGGTTCCGACGTCACGAGTCCCGTGGGACGGACCAAGACCGCACCAACAGCAGACGCAGATGTATCAGAGGTCAATTTTGCCGTTTTCTCATGTAGCAACTATCGTAAGTCTGATAATACTAGTCTGGCGCCGTTATGCTTTGCTCGAGACTGATGAGGGTCAGCAAATGGGTACTTCAATGCATACGGTAATGCCGCCAGAAAAGATAATCAGGACTATTTCGTAAGTTTTGATTCATCCGCTGTAGTATTCGCCTAAGCCTAATTATACCTAGGTACACCTTGGAGACTATATCTACGAGAGTGCTGCTCGAGGAGAACGGGCCCATCAGCCACCTCGGTTGCTATTCACGCTCTACGACTACAGAACCCGGCATGGACAGGTGTGTGCGCCGTGGTCCATGGAATTAGAAAGTTGAAAGTTAACTAACTGTGCTCAGTACCGTACCGACCCGGACCTTCAGCTGGGTATGTAATTACTAACTCTCCTCTGATGTTCGACACCTGAGTTCACAATCTCAAACAAATTCTTGGTAATTCACGATGTTGGAAGTAGAGTCATCTACTAACACGCTTCTATACATTTAGCTTCTCAAAATTTTGCATGGATCACCACTTGGGATGATCATGGTAAGTGCCTCTAGTCCTATGAAATTGTGATGGCTGCTAAGAATGCATGACAGAGGTGTCGAACAATGGATACAGAGATGGAAGTAGTGGACTCAAGTGCGCCAACCCACCCTTATATCATCTGATAAGACAGTTACTAATATCATTCTATCTAAGTAACACCGAAGATTCTTTCTTAAAAAACGGTGGCGTCAGCGTGGATCAGCGCAAGATGAATGCCGTGAGAGCTTATTTTGAATGGATGCCTATTAGGTGAGCCATAGAGCTTGAATTTTCTAGAATATTCATGAATATACTAATCGCATAAAACAGGCAAGTTGACCTTGATGATAACTTGCGCATTTGGAGATCATTCCAAATGGGCAATCTGTTAGTATGTAACCTCTATGATGCTGAGATGAAAGTCGGGACTTTGTTGAGCATTATTGACTGGTGACATGGTAGGACTTCATCGTACTCGATACGCGAAACTACGACCGCAGTATCACTTCTCTTGGTTAGCCATTGCCCTTGACATTATATCCTTGTGACCAGGCCTGACTATGTGTGCGAAGACTGGAACGACAACTACATTGACTTAATCCGAGACGATGCGTCTCGAACGTTGATGGGCTCTCGCCAAGAGAACTGGTTCTACAGAGAGTTGTCGAAGTCCTCGGACCGTGGTGCAGCTTGGAGAATCATCGGCAACCAGATTGTCTTCTCGCGCATCTATGAGTCATACGGATTAAGCGGTGATAATTGGAGTGTAAGTATAGACAGCCCAAGGAGACTTTGTCAAATCGATACTAATTCAGCGAGAAGGGATATTCTGCCAACCGCAATCGTACACTGAAGCATTTATATGACAATAACATCGGTAACAATGTGTTTTTGGCTGGCGACAGTCATCAAAACTGGGTTCGTCACCTCACGCGTAGTACTGGCTTCCTTTACAATTAGAATGTAATTAACTAACTCGCTTAGGTCTCGGATCTGGTCTGGCTCGATGAAAAGGAATATGACCCGGAAACAGGTGACGGTTCCATTGGCGTCGAGTTCGCCGGCACAGCTGTGAGCTCGACTGGCCAAAATTCACCAATTCTCCCGGCACGTACACAAGCAGAGTATCGCGTAGGCAACAACTCGGAGCTACAGTGGCAGGACGGCTACTATCGCGGCTACATTCTGTTATCCGTGAAACAGGACAGTGTGCAGGCGCAATTCTATGGTTCGCCGAGCGTAGCGACGCGAAACTCTTGGGACTTGCCTCTCGCTAACTTCACGGTGATAAATGGGGAGAATAAACTAGCCCGCCCTGTTGCAGGAGGGTCCGTCGAGTCAGGGGCACTGAGAGGAGGCAAGACAACGCCCACCAATCTCACGCTCAATACCGACACAGGGGAGTGGGATATCGTTGGTTACGAACAAATGTATATCAAAACCTAGTATTATATAGTCCAGTAGCCTTCTTGAATGGCTACATGATGCTATAACCTGGAATTCATGTGTGCTAATGTCTTGAGAAAGGTACCAATCTAGGAAGTGGATTGTACCTACTGTACCTACATATGTAGGTACTGTCTTCTTTTAGTATCAATTTAACTGAGTTCAGGGACTTACATAGGCTAAGCCTATATGGGTAGGGAGAGCTCTGTGAGGTGGGGGTGCGAGCGGAAGCGGGGCTAGGCGGACGTGCGGGCGGTGAAACGATTAGATAGACTCGATAGATAATGCCGGCCCAAACCCACCCTTGCACCATGAATTTCCTGTTTAGTGCGGCAGAGAGTCGACTGGTCCCTGATTCGATTCAAGCCTGAGAGACAAGGGGAAAATTTATTTCGGAGCCTTTCGTAGCCTCTCGTATCTTTCGGCCTCAGAAACTGGGCAACAAGCACTCATTCTCCCATTCAACTTGCCCCAGCTTTCTTTGGTCCGCCTGCGAACTGCTGCATATTGCCCACCATGGCTGCCGACAAGATGGATGTCGAGGTCGCTGAGACGGCGCTCAAGAACATGGCTCATTCCGAGCAGCACTACTTCAACAGGTAAGTAAGTCCCCGTCGCGCCTCGAAGAGGCATCTTTCGCTTGGATATGTAACTCACAAGCAGTGTTTTGCAGTTATAATCACCATGGTTCGTCGTCGTTGTACTTGTTTAACTATGAGGGGGTGTGTCGCTAACCTCGAATCCACGCCCTTTATCAGGCATTCACGAGGAGATGTTGGTACGTGCTCTACCTTTCCTATGATGCGACGCGCTCGGTTCACTTTGACTTGCTAACGCGCTTTCTTGCCTGTTGTATAGAAAGATGAAGTGCGCACTAGGTCATACATGAATGCGATTGTTCAAAACAAGCACCTTTTTAAGGACAAAGTCGTCCTCGACGTCGGCTGTGGCACTGCTATCCTCTCCATGTAAGGAACATGCCTCTCTCCTTCTCTATCTTCCTCGACTGTCAATTTCTAATACATGTTCTTTTGATGCAGGTTTGCAGTAAAGGCTGGGGCCAAGCATGTCATCGGTGTTGATATGTCAACTATCATCTTCAAGGCCAAGGAAATTGTCAAAGTCAATGGAATGGAAGACAAGATCACCCTCATCCAGGGCAAGATGGAGGAGATCGAGCTACCGTTCCCCAAGGTTGACATCATAATCTCTGAGTGGATGGGCTACTTCCTGCTATATGAGAGCATGCTTGACACCGTCCTATACGCCAGAGACAAGTACCTCGAAAAGGATGGCTTGATTTTCCCAGACAAGGCTACCATATTCGTATGCGGTATTGAGGATGGTGATTATAAGGATGAGAAGATTGGATGTAAGTGCCACAAGCCTGCTTCAACGTCAGCAATTGCTCATACCACCTAGTCTGGGATAATGTCTATGGGTTCGATTACTCGCCGTTGAAAGAGACTGCTCTGTCCGAGCCCCTTGTCGACACTGTCGAGGTCAAAGCAGCTGTCACGGACCCGGCGTCTGTGATTACGCTAGACCTGTACACCTGCACAACTGCCGATCTTGCTTTTTCGATACCCTTCAGCCTGAAATGTCGGCGTGACGATTTCGTACACGCTCTTGTGGCATGGTTCGATATCGACTTCACTGCGTGCCACAAGCCGATTCGCTTTTCCACTGGTCCTCACACCAAATACACACACTGGAAACAGACCGTCTTCTACATCCAGGAAGTTCTGACGGTCCAGCAAGACGAGGAAATTACATGCAATCTGGTAGTGAAGCCTAACGAAAAGAATCGCCGAGACCTCGACATTCAGATCGACTATAAACTCGAGACACAAGAACCCACTCGCCAGGCTAACGGTTCATGCACCTACAAGATGTGCTAAGCTGCTCAAAAGCACAAATCAGAGTATTGACGCTCGGTCAAGCTATTTGAACGTAACATGTGGACGCCGCCAAGATAGCATTGCCTCCCTGAGGAATGCAAGCAGGTATAGCACGCATCCTAAGACACAAAGAAGGTATCTTCAGTCCTGTTGCGTCGCAAAATAGCATGTCGCATCCAGGTACCTGCGAACATCTTGAGACGGGGCCAAATACACGTTTTATCCGCCTTTTTTACGACATAGATATCTGAAGAAAGCTACGGGTGATGACTAACGAGAATCTGTATAAGTTCATATATAGTAAAGAGCTTACCATATGCATCAGCATTAATAATATTATGCTATAGTGCGTATAAAGTACGATGTCCGGACCATGGCTTCTATATTTTGATACTGCTGGTGGTCCCCGTGATTGTTGCAATTATCAAGTTGCCCATCAAGCAGTATTTTGCTTGGACTTTTGGTAAAGCTTCAGTATTATAATATGAGCTGGACAATACCTACGTAGATAACTAGGCTGAACGCCTTTCTACATAGACCAAATATGGAAGAGAAAGCCCTTAGAGATGCGAGGGGTATGACAACTAGAAATGCATGTGATGGTGGGGTCAATTAGCTAGGTTAGGTCGATTGGTCTAGCCTGGACCTTGCGAAGCTATGAGTCACGTCATTTTCAACCCATCTTACATGGGGGCATTTTGAACAGCATCATACATACATAGTTGGTTCTGTTTGTCCAGCGCCACGGAAGCCGGCGTACCTGGAATCCCACAATCACCTACCATCTGAAAATCTAGCAAGATGTTCACCGGACTAGTCGAGGAGATAGGAAGTAAGTTGCCGTCAGAAATGTGAAGGGTCTTGGGATGCTTTTTTTTTTTAACCCCAACCCCTCACTGACAAGCAGTTCGCAAGCTTCTTAGCTGCATCCAGCACATGCTGTAGTAGTGGGGGGGTTTCAAAGGAAATAAAAAGATGAAAAGGGAAATAAGCTAACGCGCGAACCAACAATCCACAGCCGTCGTAGAGCTGGACTCCCACGACGAGACGGGCGGGACCTCGCTGACCATCGCGCTGCCGCCGTCCTCGAAACTCCTCGAAGACGCCGCCCTCGGCGACAGCATCGCCATCAACGGCGTCTGTCTGACGGCCACGTGGCTCTCGCCGTCCGCGCCGCGCTTCAAGGTGGGCATCGCGCCCGAGACGCTGCGGCTCACGAACCTGGGGCAGCTCGCGCGGGACTCGCGCGTGAACCTCGAGCGCGCGGTGCGCGCCGACACGCGCATGGGCGGCCACTTCGTGCAGGGCCACGTCGACGCGACGGCGGACATCATCCGGGTCGCGGCCGACGGCAACGCCGTGACGCTCCGGTTCCGGCCGCGCGAGGCGCACCGCGAGAGCGTCATGCGGTACGTCGTGCACAAGGGCTTCATCGCGCTCGACGGGACGAGCCTGACGATTACCAAAGTGGACGATGTCGAGGGCTGGTGGGAGGTCATGTTGATCGCGTACACGCAGGAGAAGGTCGTCCTCGCCGAGAAGAAGGAGGGCGATAGCGTCAACGTGGAAGTCGATGTCCTTGCGAAGTATGCCGAGAAGAGCATGGCGGGATACCTCGGCGCGAGCGGTGGGCAGGCGCTTCTTAAGCCTGTTGTCGAGAAGATGGTGCAGGATATGATTGCGCAGGCTAGTAAGTTGATTCCTCTTCGTTTTGCGATTCTTCTTTTTCGGTTTCAAAAAATTTTTTTTTTTTTTTTATTAAATACTGGTTATAGAGCTATGTGTGCTTTTGGATGAGAGGCGATTGCTGACTCGCTTTGGCAGTGGGCGCACATCAGACGAAGTAATCTTGAGTAGGGACATACGGGGCATATGGGGCTTTCTCCTTTCACACTTCAACAAATGAGGATTTCTCAGATTATTGTGCTTTATTCTCCGTGTTGATAATTGGCCAACCTCGTACTTGGTACTATGTTTTGCAAATCATCTATGAGGTAACAGCCTGGGTATTTCCTAATATCTCTCTATCATGGGGGTATTCTATAGTCAACATTGCCCGCGTGCTTCAGATGGTCGGGGCAAGCACATGCTCGAAGTGAATCAAACTTCGCCCCAGACTTCTGCTATCTTGTGGCTTAGCGCCCTTGCGACCTTCTTCCTTCCGACAAGGTTACCCATGTGCGCAAAGATCAAGTCTTGTTTCTTCCTCTTGCCTTCTTCCCCACTGCCACATCTCTCATACCCCTTAACGAATTCATAGGGCGTCTTCCATCTCTTCTGGATCTCAAGTGCCTTTTCACCGGTCACCTGCTTGGTACACATGAGCATCTTGAGATATACATCTCGTAGCGTCATTAAATCTGACTTTGATGCCATTGACGCAAAAGCTGGATAGCTGACATAATGCCCTCTCGTAAGCTCCTTCTCTCGAAGGTGTTCGAGTAATGGCAGATAATTCTGAGTAGTGAGGACTTCCGTGGGGATGACGAAGAGAGGCTTGTTCTCGTACTGCTTTTTCAGAAGCATCGTCATGCGCGTTAGGTAGCGAATTGTGTCGTCTATCTTGTCCGTCTTCTTCAAAAAGTAGCCGTTAACTACCTGCGTAGACGCAATAGCGGACTGAACGCTTTCTTCGTACTTTTGGGCGTTCAGGCTATCCATGGATATCTCTTCAACAATATAGATCACGTTTTTGACACCAGATCGTTTCAGTCGGAATTTTTGCTCGTGGAAACGCCCGTCCCTTATACTGTATACCAGGTCGTCTAACCGCTTTCTCTCAACGATCCAATCCAGTATAATCTCGTCACCTTCGGCGCCGGTGCGAGAAAGAAAATTAGGGTCGTGACACTGGGCCACCCATAGTGCGTCACCGAGTTCGAGGGCCCTCATTATAGGCTCTACTCCCTTCTTCTTGAGCTCCTCTTGCATATAGCCGCGGTCAGTCTTTGCCCGTACCTCCCGCACGTCCAACACAAGGCGCACTGTGAATGAACCTGGAGCAAGTCTAATCGGCCGAAAGGTAGGCAAGTCTACACTATCTGACGCCACATCTCCTCTACTGACCACAACGTCTGCGTAGGCTGACTGTGGTGGTTTTTCGATCTCCTCTATCTCGGCTGAAGGTGGTCTGGCGGCGGGTAGAGGTGGAGGATTCTCGGGTACTATTTCAGGCAGAATCTCCCTCCTTTGCTGTGCTGCTAACTCAGCGGGTGTCTTTTCGGCAGTCTTCTGTATTCTTCGTGCCACCTCCCATCCTTCATCTGTCAATGCGTATCTCCTGAGAGGACGGCCTCGTTCGTAGACAAGATCCTTCTCCAACAAGGTCTTCATCGAATTCCACGCCGTGTAGAATCTCGTAGGGTCACTTGGCGCGGTGAATGAAGAATCGCAATGAGGCTGTGCTGCCTCGATGAGCTGAGCCTTTGTCAATCCGACAGGTGCGTCTTCTCCTATCGTAATGAGACCAAGGATCAAGGCGTATGCACCAGACCGCAAGGTTGGCACATACGCTTTTTGTTTCCTCGGTTTCTTGGCCGGCCTGGCCTGTATCTCCTCCTCGTCTTCATTTTCGTTATTGAGCCCTGGAATATGTGCCGCCCTCGGCCGCTTAGGCATAGGCAGACCATTCTCCTCGCAATGTTTATTGAGCTTCTCGGTTAAGCGATCACATAGCTTGGGGCCAAAGCCCTTGAGCTGTTGCAGCTGAGACGGGTGTTTGAAAGTGACTGGGCAGGCCTTCAAGGCGTTGTATGCATTCTTGTAGGTTGTCACACCCTTGGAGTTGCGCTCCCGGGCTAAGTCAACCCACTCTTTCACCCACCCCAGAAGAAGTGGGTTCGCACACGTTTCTTCCGAGGCCATTGTCGGTTGGTTCCAGAAGAACTAGCAAATGGTATAGCAAGCTAAGCGATAAAGGAGCATGGTCGGCCTTGTTCAGTCTGCTACGTGAGCCAGTTGTGGATTGCGAAGCGATTCTGGTGGCACGTTGAAAGAGACGCGACTCGATTCCGTAGCATTGGCGCGTCCTAGAACGCCAACTCACGTGACCTGTTTTAAGCTCCGTCTCAGAGCTCCGCCTCGTAAACCTTTTGCAGGTAACCACGTCATGGGGCAGGGCTGGGGCTTGGCTTAGAGCTAGCTAAGTAAAAATAGGTAAAAACAGGTAACCAGCAGGGAAACGACAGGGTCCAGGCTCACAAGGGTTCTTTATCCCTCATTCTCTACTACTTATATATACGTAGATACTGTAGAGTATGTAGTATCATCTAGGTAGCGCAGCATCGTGTCTGATCGTGTATGCGGTACCTACCGTGGCGGGGTAGTCTAGGTACTCAGGACAGTGGTACACACGTCCTGGAGCTGCAAGCATTGATTTCCGGGAATAGTAGAGGTTAGATATTGGACAAAGCTCTGGAGAATGAAGTGCGGTAACACGACACCTCCCTTGCCAGGATCCATACTCGCTTAGCATCCAGTAGGGAGGTAGCGTGAGGTAGCCATCTCCGACGGCTTGAACTGTTTGTACCAAAGGAGGGCGTATTCAGGTTCTTGGTAGGTCCTATGTACATAGTAGGTAGATTGGTACTTGTACCTGAGAAGAGGGGCATTCCGGGAAGGAGGGGTAGGTACTGTGCTGAGCTAACGTGTAACCTGCTGATGCTGGTGGTCCGGTCCGTCTTGCACTGGACCGGCCAACACTTGGTCTCTACTACTTACATCTACATTTTCCATACAGTACATAGGTAGGACCTGGGTACGACTATTAACTCTTCATCTTCGGCTGGCTCAGGGTCGTCTCATCTAGATTGGAAGCCAAAGCAAACATCCTAGTCCTCGCCCGAACGCTAATAATCTCGTCCGCCCACTCACGCTCTCTTCTCCCTTCCAAGCTTCGGTTCTTCCACACTCATACAACCCGCCACACCAACAACAGCTCTCGCTGGTCACAACGCATCCTTCGCCCTCACGTATCCAGATAGTCCTGGTACGTCAAGCGAATTGAGGTATGGATTGTCCATAGATCCACCCACAAGAGCCAACTATTTGGATTTGGAACTTGGCTAATTCCCTTAGCACCTACAGCAACATTGCCATTGTCGGTCACCGAATCTCGACAAGTTACCACCTTGCCTGGCATGGATCGAGAAACAATCATCGCCGCTTCTAAGAAGCACGACATCGTAGCGGGCAGGGTTTACAAGTATGGCACTGCTGGCTTTCGCATGAGCGCAGATCTTCTCGATGGCGTTACTTTCCGTGTTGGTCTCCTAGCTGCCTTGCGTAGTCGGAAACATAATGGCCAGGCCATTGGTGTCATGGTCACTGCGAGTCACAACCCCGCTGTTGATAACGGTGTCAAGATTGTCGATCCTCTGGGAGACATGCTTGAACAGGAGTGGGAGGCATATGCCACAAACTTGGTCAATGCCCCAAGCCATGAAGAGCTCGTTGACTACTTCCTCAAACTCGCCGAAACCTTGAAGATCGACTTGGCAACCCCGGGCAAGGTTATCGCCGGAAGAGACACCCGACCCTCAGGGATTACCCTCATCACTGCTCTTGCCGACTCCCTTGCTGCCACGAATACCACATTCGACGACTACAAGATCCTAACTACGCCACAACTGCATTACCTGACTCGCTGTGTGAATACCGCTGGCACACCAGGCGCCTATGGAGAAATTAGCGAAGCGGGATACTACAACAAGCTTCTAGAGGCTTTCGACCGCGCTCTACGTGGTCGTAAGGTCTCGGGCGGCTTGACTGTCGACTGTGCTAACGGTGTTGGTGGTCCCAAGCTGAATGAGCTTCTGAAACGCCTTGATATCCAGAAGACGGGCTTGAAGGTAAAAGTAGTCAATGATGATGTGCTCCGACCGGAGATCTTGAACCTTGACTGCGGTGCCGATTTTGTTAAGACTAGACAACGTGCACCACCTAACCCCAAGCCAGCTCCCGGCGAGCGATGGTGCTCACTCGATGGTGATGCCGATCGCCTCATCTACTACTGGGTCGATCCTGAGACAGGCTTCTTCATGTTGGATGGAGACCGCATCGCAACACTTGCCGCTTCATTCATTGCTGATCTTTCAAGAAGTGCAGGCATTGATAATCAATTAAGAATTGGAGTCATCCAGACGGCGTATGCCAATGGTGCTAGCACCAAATATGTTGAACAGCATCTGCAGCTTCCTGTTGTTTGCACACCCACTGGCGTCAAGCATCTTCATCATGCTGCCTGTTCCTTCGATATTGGCGTTTACTTTGAAGCTAATGGTCATGGCACTGTCCTCTTCTCGTCGACCGCGGTCCAGACTTTCAAGACAAAGGAACCCCAGTCACCCGCCCAGAAGGATGCTCTGGAAACTCTCAGCGCTCTAGCAGATCTTATTAACCAAACTGTTGGAGATGCCATCTCCGATATGCTCATGGTAGAGGTCATCTTGGCACACAAAGGGTGGACAATGAAGGATTGGGCCTTGACATACAAAGACCTCCCCAACAGACTGGTCCGCGTAGAGGTTGGCAACAAGGACCTCTTCCAGACTACGGACGCGGAACGGAAACTCAGCCACCCAGTGGGATGCCAGGATGAGATTGATAGAGAGGTCAAGAAGTACACTACTGGTCGCTCTTTTGCCCGTGCTAGTGGCACAGAGAATGCCTGCCGGGTGTACGCAGAAGCCGCGACTAGGTCAGAAGCTGACGAGCTCGCGAATAAAGTTGCTGTCATCGTGAGACAGTATGGTGGTAACTGAAATGGACTTTTCTTTTGAAATAGGGGAATACGGAGTCAGGTCAAAACACTGGGGTTGATGATAGTAACGAGCTATGACTGCGAAAAGTTGATCTGAATTGGCGTCAATTCAGCGTATTTGCCTAGAGCCGGGGGGTTTATGTCAATACTTATTGAAAAATAACGTTTAGTTATTCTTGTTTTAGTTTTCGCGATGGAATCCAGCAAAATAATAAATCATTTTTCTGATTTCCCCAACTATTCCCTTTTTCTCATTTATATCTTAAAGAATGTTGGTGCCAATAATCTACTTCTCCTTCTAACTAGATGTAATACACGCACGTACAGCTGAACATGCAGCTTGCCTATGGCTACGGGCGTATTAAAAGTCTCATCATCACCTTCGAGAGACATGCAGGCAATACTGAAAATGAGGTTATGCAGACTTCGCTTCTTGAAACAGATCTCTGAGACCTAGGCGATCAGGATAGGCAGTTCAATCGTACATAAAGTTAAAGTCAGCCACTAAGGTTAAGGGGGGGTTTGTTGGTTAAGAGCTTTTGAAGCCCTAGTAAATCATTATATTGTGAGTCTTAATAGTTCCAAGCCCAGACTCTGCTCTCGTTATGAAGCGTGAGTATGAGATCAAGTTTCATAGAGGATCTATAGCAGGTTTACCTAAATATTACCCAAAATATCTTTTAGATCATTTTCGAAACTTGCTCTTCCTAAAAGTTAAGGGCAAAGTATTTGGATCAACCTTGAAGAGCCTGTTGGCAACAGCTCCGCACTAGGTTTTACGTAACACAGCACATCATGGATATTTTCGAAGAAGTAATTGGCGAACACAACAATAGCATGACTCATTAAACAACACTCTCATCGAGTAGCACTGAACCACATGACTCCTGCGAGATTGAACTTACATAAGATAGTAGCTCCCTCCACGTGGCTGTGGCTAATGGAACTGGCTAGGCCGCATACTACTCGCACCAATTCAAGATGAAACCGACCGTTTCGGTTTGGGTTCCCATTTATTGGTTTAGCGTATCCCTAGCTCGATCTCAGATCCAATTGTAATGAATCAGGGTTGACCCGCGCCAGAGATGGGCATTCAGAAATAAAAATATCCTCAACCCTAACTTAACTGTGTCTTCCAAGTGGAAAAAGGTGGAAAAATGAAGTCTGTAGCTAGTGATTGTTTCGATCAATCGACCTCCGGGTTATGAGCCCGGCGCTCTTCCACTGAGCTAACTAGCTTATGATTTGGGACATTCTGGTTTGATGTTTAGTCATCACGTTATCATCTACTCTATGGGGCATAAACAGAGAGTTTGTCACTTGTTGTGAGATTGTTAAGCTTAATAGCACGTCTGTGCGTTAACGGGTCTTGTTTCTTACATGCCATCTAGCTGAAAAGTAGAGTTTGGGGAGCAAGTTCAAATCAATTCCGTTCTATAGGATGTGTTGAGTATGCCACGATGCCAAAATGAAACAATACGAGATGTGGAGATGAAGGAGCTCGCTTCTATCTTTCTAAACAGTTGGAGATCTAAGGAGCTCAAATGGGACATTAATCTATACATAAAACTGAACAACTTAGCAAGGAAGGGCGAACTTGCATTTAGGGTTCGTCCTGTGTTGAAATGGGAAAATAATTACTAGCTAATTATTTCTAATATAATTGAGTTTGTCTTTCAGCTTACCGGAATGATTTACTGAACCACTATACTTATTCCAAAAGAGAGAAGGTAAAGCTTTACTTAAGTACCACTTAAACTATAGTTACTTGAAGTTGAAGTGCTTTGAGTTTTAACTTGAAAGCTTTTCATAACGCCTGCTATTGACAGCATCCCTGGCGCTACAGTAACCTTTTTAACGTTGACAGCCCAACTCTTGCTCGTACGATCACTACACCAAGTACTGTGATCTTGATGAAAACGAACGCTAGGCTATCTCATGAATTTTCCCTACGATGACAACACCTGCTGGCTACCAATCAGCGGTTGAGTCTCGTCAGGGAGGTTCGCATTTCCACGCCGCTCACCCCGTCTGCGACACCATAAAGTGATTAGAACTAGAGCTTGCTCAACAGCAAAGACTGCATGATTAATGGGTATGCATCCGCCAAAAATACGCCAATCCAGCACTGTAGATTTCGACGACCCAGAATTGAGTCGGCCAGGGTACCACGTTGCTGCCAGAACACTAAACACAACCACCTGAAATGCGACACCCACCACACTAAGCGCGTCAGCGCTGGATTCGGGAGGCCTCGCCATAATCTGGCGGGCCTGCAAGAAGTAGGCGACAAAGGAAAGGATAATGATTATGGGTATGATGATGTATATGTGAACAATAAAATAAATGGCTATGTAGACAGCCTCTGTAAATGACGGTTCGTAATTTGGATCAGATTTCACTATGGCGTCCAATATGATAGGCATAACCGATATAATGAGTAAGAATGCGTAAAAAGCAATGAAGTGTGACGTTGAAGGGCAATTTTCGTGCCAATGATGCATGATGCAGATGAGGAAGCTGGAAAGTTGGTTTCAATTAGATTAATTAGTTGAAAACACGGCCGCATACACCTAACGGAGGGCAGCAGGATCATAGCATGTTGGGGTAAACTCACATAGCAAGCCACAAGATCCATATAATGGCGAGATTGACGAAATCAATCCAGCTGCCGGCTTCGAGCGGGAACTCCAGCGCGATGAGAAGGATAAGAGTGAACAGCTCTGTGGCCGCCACGAGATTGATGAGAACATAACCCAGGTTGATTCCCGAAGCATTGCCTCGGCGACGGGCGAGATGACAGAGCTGCGGGACAAAAGAGACGTATGTCAGGATAAGGAGAAGGCTATGAGAGTGTGAGCTGTTAGCTAGTTGTCATGATTCCCTAGGAGAATTTCACACATCGGTGGGAAACGCACATCCTGATCCAGTTGGGCATGTCGTGGGACGTCATTGAGTTTTTCTATACATAAGATCTGTGATAGAAGAATACATGGGATGCTGAGAACCGTTCTTGTCTCGCAATTCAATAATGTATGGTGTTGCCTGCGGTCGGTGTGGAATGGGATGATTACCCCTGTTAGTCACGGCTTAAGGCTTAACTTAGCAATCGCCTCCTAAGGCGATAAGTTCCTTATAACGGGTCCGGTAGGATGACACAAACGGGAAGCTGACGTGAACAATACTTCTCAAGCCGTTTCGTGTACATCCTGGAGGATCAGACGCTGAGATCCATGCTTATGCAGCCTAGTAGAGTGATAATAGAAGTTCTTATATTCAAGCTTCTTTAAAACACGCCTCTGGACGCAGAATCGCTTTCTCAATTCTAGAGTCGCCACTCTTGAAGGCTATTCTTTATATAAATATCCCCTTCGCCTTTGCTCAACCCATCCCTCAACGCCACTACTGTCTTATTCAGTAAATAGCGGGACGTGGTGGCATGAGTTCGTTGCTACAATATAATAAGAGCCTAAGACTGCCAAATCTCTCATTAGCCAAGCCCATAAAGATTGGAACTATTGCCTTCAGATGCCTATTATACTTACAAGATCGTAATATTTACTCTGTATAACTTGGTGGAATTTCGACCCAGCGTTAGAGACAAACATATGTAGATTAGTGTACTTTCGCATCTTAAGCAAGAAGTAAGTCAACAGTCAACATACATGACTACATAGCTATTGAAATGAGGACAAAGCTGAAGATGAAAACATGTTTCTAGGCGAGCCATCTGTTCCCCAAGCTCCCCAATTTCCCCAATATGGATTCGCATTCAAGTATGAGCCACACGATATGTGGCCTGGGTATGTGTAGCCCCGGCCAATTACCACGTTGGATGAAAATGTGTAACACTGGGTTACGCAGACGGAGTCTGAGAGCTGTCTAGCCATTCAAGTGCATGGCTATATGCTGTAGCCACAGTTCTCCAGGCTTTACCCCGCATATCGACGTGAATATGCACATGTAGGATTGTCCCTCATCTCAAGTGTAATGATTTCTCCTATGCCCTATCCTAGGTAGTCGGATATCCGTGTCTTCAGGGCTTTCGAGGTGGTCACCCACATATATTTTGACGTAAAACCTGAAAGCACAATTCAGACGAAAACGGATAGCCCGGATGTTCAGTAACAGTGAGGGTGTGGGATCTAATATTAACGATAACGATATTTTCTACGCAGATAGTACAAAGAAAATTCACTATTTCGCTGCGGATCCGCCTTCGGGACCCTTTATCATATTCCTCCACGGCTGGCCAGCTATCGGTCTGACATGGAAACAGCAGTTGGAGACTTTCGCAGCACTTGGCTTTCGCGCCATTGCCGCCGATATGCCTGGGTGGGGAGATTCAACTAGTCGCCGGGTCGTTACAGCTTACTCCCAAGAGGCTCTTGTTCAGGGCATGCTAGCTCTCCTTGCCGCAAATGAACGTTCTGTGTCGTCTGGGTCGGGCCCGACTGGGGTGCCGCGGTTGCGTCTTCGTTGGCGGTACATATAACAAGGGTAGAATTACTGGGCTTGGAATCTAAGCAATTCAGAATATAATGAACAACTAGGGCTGCATAAGTCCTTGACCAACCAACTTCTCTCGGCTGTTGGTGGCTTGACTTGACTCTATATACAATTGGTCTGCCAGCCCAGACCGCCTAGGTCTCTGGGGTGTGTTTCAAGAAGCGAAATCTGTATAACCTCACTTTCCAATATTGCCCAATATTGTCTGCATGTCTTGAAAGATCATGAACAGCCTGCAATGGTCCTTCGTACGGCCGAAGTGCAAGGCGAACTGCATACTTCAGCCGGTACAGAGGTTACACGTGTAACAGTAAGTGGTTAATGATATCCACCGTCCTATTTGTACTTTGGCTTCATCCAACTCACTACGGCCTCATATAGGGACCAACTTCTCTTCCGCTCTCCTTGGTGATGTCGAGATCATGACTGGATTTCTTGCTACGTCGATCGCCACGTACCGGCCCCTCTACCAGTTCATTTTCGGAGGTTCCCAAAAAGAACAGACTTCAGGCCTCCGCAGATGATCCGTTCTCGGCTTACGATGGGCGACCTCTCCAGAATAGCCACTGCGGTGCGAATGTCTCGGTGGGCGGGGCGGACTTTTCGGTTGGGAATTCGACTGTGCCATCTCATGGTATAACTGTGACTGATTGCATCGAGATGAAGAGCCATGAGAGGGAAATGGGCGTCTGAAGAGCAGCATGTACAAAATTTGGGGATCATTTGTTTTAGTTCATTCAGCTATGTCATAACAGCTCTTAGTCCAACGTCAGGAGACATTCAAATATAATTGTATTAACAATATTCTACATGACTAACGCGATCCACAAGTGTCGCCCTTTTCAACATTTTCTAAACCTCTCTTTTTCCTATACATTTCTTGCCAACCAAAACGTGACTATCTTAGACCTGGTGCGTGTTAAGACTCTAGGCCAACAGGATTGCTGCTTATCCGACATTGGGAGGAATGGGAGTACATACAGGGAAGACGACTGCTAAAACTACCTGCCTCACGATGTGAAGTTTCCTGCTGCCAAGTAGGGTAATAGGCTCCGGAGGATTACGGTTTCCTGAAATTGACCTCGGCTACGATGCACACCCTGCTTCTGAGCCTGGGCCAACATCAGCAGGCTAGCGGCACCGTCAATCAAAACCGTTCAAACAGGCGAGGAATACTGCATGACACCGTCGCAGCCCACCGCTGAAGTTATTCTGTTGGTTATAAAAAGAGCCGTTTACATGCAGCGTTGGTCTGGTGGTTGCATGAGATGAAAATGTATGAAAATTACCACCCACTGGGGTCTCGACTTAGGCAGGTCAACAAATCAATCCAATAGTGTAACGTAGAGTAATCACTAATGCGGCGCTCTCTAGTTCTTCGTATAGGGCTGTTGGCATGGCACATCTGGAGCCTGCGCAAGCCCGTGGTTATTATTGGGACGGGGTAGGACTGTTCATCACCGTCCTGTGTGTATCGGGGCTGAGAAAGTCAACCCTTCTCTTTCCCACCATTCTCTTTCCCATCAGTCTCTTTCTCACCAGTCTGTTCCATATTACTCTGTAATACCCATTTACTGCAAAAAAAAAAAAAAAAAAAAAAAAAAAAAACGATCGCCGAAAATGGCGGACAACAATGACAACAGCAGCAACAACAGCAACAACCCGACTTTAGAATTCCAGACATTCCATAATGTGATCAATGGGGCGATTGCCGACACCCCAGGCAGATATCGGCGGACTGTCAACCCTTCCACTGAGAAAGACAATCACGATGTGCCTTTCAGCGGTCCAGAAGATGTGGACAGAGCTGTCGAAGCGGCAAAGAAAGCTGCCGGGACGTGGTCGGCTGTCTCGTGGAACGAGCGTGCTGACAGACTTCAGAAATTTGCAGATGCCATCGAGGGTATCGCGGGTGAACTAGCCAAGCTATTGACCATGGAGCTAGGTAAGCCTGTAAGTGTAATTTGTAATTGCGGCTTCTTTAACGACTGGTGTGGCGAGGTGCTAACGATGATACGATCAGCCGATGTGGGCTGGTTACGAAATCGCCACTGGCATCCAATGGATCAGAGACTTCAGCCAGATGTCGCATCCTGGAGAGGATATCCAGGACACACAGGAGCGCAAAGTGACGACGCGTTACTTGCCCCTCGGTGTCGTCGTCGGCATCGTGCCCTGGAACTACCCCATCCAATTGGCGTGTATGAAAATTGCTCCCGCGCTGCTCACCGGGAACTGCTTTATCTGGAAACCTTCCCCCGGCAGCCCCTACACCAGTCTGAAGGTCGCTGAGCTAGCACAGCGCTTCTTCCCTGCCGGCGTCCTTCAGGCCTTGAGCGGCGATGACGATCTTGGCCGCTGGCTGACCGGACACCCTGGCGTCGACATGGTCAGCTTTACCGGCTCAACAGCCGTCGGTAAGCTGGTATCACAGACGTGCAGCAAGACGCTCAAGCGCTGTACTCTCGAGCTGGGCGGCAACGACGCCGCCATTATCTGTGCCGACGTGGACCCCGTTGCCGTGGGCTCAAAGATTGGCCTCTTCGCCTTCTGTAACTCGGGCCAAATCTGCATCGCCATGAAACGCGTTTATGTCCACGAGTCGGTCTACGAGGCTGTACTCGCTACTGTGGTAGGCTTCGTACAGAGTCTCAAGCTGGGCATTGAGGAAGACGCGTTCATGGGGCCAGTCGCGAATGAGGCCCAGTATAACCGCATTAGAGCTTTGTTAACAGACATAAAGACAAGCGGGCTCACTGTCGCGGCTGGAAGCACCGAGCCTCTTTCCGATCGGAAGGGGTTCTTCTTAGTACCCACGGTGATTGATAACCCACCTGACGACTCGCGTGTAGTTACCGAGGAGCAATTCGGTATGCCAACTACTTTCTCAGATCAAATACGGAGCTAACACGCATACAGGGCCTGTCATACCCCTATTGAAATGGTCGGATGAGCAAGATGTGATCCGGCGGGCCAACGACACCGACGCTGGCCTTGGTGCATCCGTGTGGACTCGGGATATGGTGCAGGCTGATCGCATGGCCCGGCAGCTCCAAGCCGGGAACGTCTGGGTCAACTGTCACGCTGAGATGCAACCCAGTACCCCCTTTTCTGGTCACAAGCAGAGCGGCATGGGTGTCGAGATGGGAGTAGATGGCCTAAAGTCCTATTGTAATGTCCAGAGCGTCTACGTCAAGGAGGCTTGATCGATATAATCCATAGCCCGTCCCTCTAGAGATGGCTCCAGATGCTGTGTCTAGCGTTCAGAATTTACCATTCACAAACTTTTGGGAGATCCTGAGCTTAATCGCGTCTGATATAACTACTTAACCTAGTCCCTCTTAAGCTTTGATGGATCTTAATTGATTTAGTAGCATGGCGCCTTTCTCTGCTGGCATTCTCGCCCCCTCGGGCGGCGTATTCCGCAACTTGAACCCGTCGCAGATGCCCTCCACTCACCCGACCCCCTCGTGCGTATTAAGTACTTAATGAATCTGAAAAAGGGGAGGGTGCTAGCAGGTCGACAATCATTCTTGATAGGAATATGAACTTAACTATCTTCGTCATTTCCGTAGTCATGGATCATAACAAAATTAGCAGCATCTTGTCCTCCAAGTCCAATGCGGTTCATTTTTCGTAATGGCCGGCACCGCGCCATCGGCATATCGACGGCCTTGATCCTCTAGGAGTACATTATTTACTCATACGCACAGCTACGCTTAAGGAGGTAGTTGGTTGCAACTCATATATTGGTGGGGAGGGCCTTTATTCGACCCCTAGGTGTACGCTATACGCGCGTTGTATGGCCGGCTACACCTAGGGCTCGAATAACTGCCCATCCAAAGTGCGCATTAAACTAAGTACAAAAAATAAAGCATATATAACGCGAAATAACACCTCTTGCCCTGCCCTATTGGCCTCTAACCCTCTCTCCCTTTCAAGGGGCGGTGGGCGGGTTTAAAAACCCTCGCCGACCACTACAAACAAGACACCTTCATGAGTGGAAAAAATAAGGTGAAGGAGGAAAAACCCATCTGCGAAGCTGTAGCGAAAGTAGCTCCTTATAGTTCTTAATGAAAGGGTGCGGATCTTTTAGCTAACAGGGCAATATTAATTGTTGGATTTTACCACTGCACCAAAAGATCTTGTTATTGGACAAAACGTTATTATTGGTCTTAATCCAACAGCAACCTGGTCTTCCTAACTTCCTAAGTCCGATAACATGTCTCTTCTGAATGCGGGCTAAATGGACTTACTCTGAGAAGGAGACTGTCTTGGTTGGCCAACGATACCCGTGTACTTGGCAAATTGCCTAATACAGACTTCGGACCATTCCGCTCCGCCCAAACAGTGTAGAATCAATGGTATGAGCACGGACAACGAGCCTCACAAAAGGGATTACCAGAGATCGTATGGTAGATCGAGTATCCTTCAGAGCTGCAACTGCACTTCTCAACAGACTGTAACTTGAAGTAGCAAGGGTTGAGAAAGCCATAAAGAGAAGCAAAATCTCTCAAGATACTATCACGTTCACCTGTCTTTACAATTCAACAACATTTTCACAACATGGATGCGTTTAAGGCGCTCATTTTTCTGCTACTTACTGTTAGCAGCGCAGTTGCTGTACCGCCGTTGCGAAAAATCGGGCTACTTTCACCCGTCGTGCGCGAGGGCTCACAACTCCTGGTTGATGGCAAGCAATGGAAGGCGATAGGCCCGAATGTGTACTGGTTAGGCCTAGATGAGAACGTTGTGCCGCCCGCTGGAGAGCCATATGATGCATCAACTCATTCCAGCTATCCAACCAAGGAACGCGTTACTGAGGTAATGGCTGTGGTGAATGCTTTAGGTGGGACTAGTAAGTAATTCCTGTGGCAACTTTCGATGGAGTTGAGTGTTGATGGGGAACGTCTGAGTAGAGGTGACTGACTTCCAACACGATAGTGATTAGAAGTCATACACTTGGAGCCAATATTGGGAACCCTCTAACTATATGGCCCAAGCAAGGTGTGGTGAACGATGAAGCGTTCGATAGCATTGACTGGGCGGTATATCAAGCCGGCCTTTATGGAGTCAGATTACTTGTGCCTCTCGTTGACAACTACGTTAGTATTTACCTTTCGCGCGTTCGAGAGATATGGATAAGCTAACTAAACAGGATTATTTCCACGGTGGAAAATACAACTTCCTCCGCTGGGCCGGTTTTGACCTGACCAAGGACAAAGATAGCAACAACCCTCAGATTCAACAATTTTACACGAATGCCACTATCGTGTCCGTCTTCAAGGATTTTATCAAAACGCTATTGTCTCACCGGAATCAGTATAACAACTTGACATACGCAGAAGACCCCACCGTCTTTGCATTTGAGACTGGGAATGAGCTGCTCGGTCCCATCTGGGGAGATATGAATTGCCCAGCAGACTGGGTGAAAGACATCGCAAAATATGTCAAAAGTCTTGCTCCACAGAAACTAGTCTTCGACGGCACATACGGGATCAATAAGACGCATCTCAGTATCGAAGAGGTAGACGTATTTTCGGATCATTTCTACCCACCCAACAATAAAAAGCTGCAGGCGGGCATAGATGCTGTGGCAAGTGTCAACAAAGTTTATTTCGCCGGGGAGTTTGACTGGGTTGGTGCCTCAGGTGGCGATTCGCTTGAATCATTCTTCAAAATCTTGGAGAACAGCACAACAGTCGGCGGGGACGCTTTCTGGAGTCTATTCGGAAGAAATGGCCCGGATTGCAATGTAAGTAGCCACGACTACATGGGACTCTTTTGTGCTAAAGAGATGATGACTGACACAATATACCAGACTTTTATAGATCATAGCGACGGCTTCACGCTGCAGTACGGAAACCCCCATAATACTGCTTATACGAACAATAGAATTCGACTCATTCGGAAGCACTTCATCGCGATGAGTCAGGGCAAAGTTATTGACGCTGATGAGCCGCTACCTCCTGTGTCATGCCCTGCTCCTCCTCCGCTGAGCCGGAGGACATAGGGATGAATGATAACACTTGAGTACACAGATATTGGGCTTTCTTAGGCCAGAAATTGGCAAACTACAAGTTGCCCATGATCATGATGATTATAGATGTCAAACTTACCTACTCTTTTGAAAATGCCAAGACAATCCAATACATTGATCATCGGATCAATCATTGTGATAAGAATTTATCGCGGCTTTAAAATAAGACATCGAATATGTCATGGAGGTATGTCCCGGAGTGAGTAGAAGGTCAGTCACAGTCAAGTAGGTAGGTAGAAGGGATAGTATAGGCGTCAATAATCATTGAATCCTGAACCCTCCAACCCTCGAAGGGGGGCCAATACCCCTTTATATAACTAGTAGGTCTAATACAGCCACCCCTAGGGTCTATGTGACTATATCACCTGACAGAATACCAGCATATGTAATATCTGTCACACGCAGAAAGCGCTGTGCCAGCTGAATATACAGTTCGCCTTACACTTCGGCCGTATAAACAGCCATTACAGGCTGTTCATAATTATTTAAAGACATACAGACAATATTGGGAAGTGAGGTTATACAGACCTCGCTTCTTGAAACAGACCCCAGAGATCTAGGCGGCCTGGGCTGGCAGACCAAGTGTATATAGAGTCAAGTCAAGCCACCAACAGCCAAGAGAGATTTGGTTGACGAAGGATTTATGCAGCTCTAGTTGATCATTGTAATTGAATTCTCTGTTCCAAGCCCAGTATCTACTACTGCCCTTGTTATAATAAGAGTGTTCAGCAGGTTCAACTTCAATACAAGGTTTTAAGAAGCTATAGTGTTAAATTAAGAGCCGAACACCCATCACTACTAGTGTCTGCCCGGTTAGCTCAATCGGTAGAGCGTGAGACTCTTAATCTCAAGGTTGCGGGTAAGTTTCTACAATCAATAATTCGAGCCCGACTCGTTCATAGCTAACGCGCGGCGGCGCCGCAGGTTCGACCCCCGCATTGGGCTCAATCCCTAATGCCTCCTACACACTAGGAGTTGCAACCATCTTTTTTTCTTTTCTTTTTTTTTTTCGAGCTGGTTAAAATAGTTTAAATAATTTAAACGTGTGTGTAAGCTAGAATAGTGGGTAGTCTGCTTGACAATTGACGGACAGCTGGCAAGCTAGAGCTAGCCCGAAACTTAAAATTGGAAGTCTGTTTGTTGTATGAGAAGCAACCGCACCGAACAGTACTTTTGGCAGAAAACTCCGTTTAGGCTCCAAGGCAATATGAACGGCTGAATTGGAGACATGAGCCACTTCATTCAGTATTATGAACGCCATTCGCTATTGATATACTATATTATATGAGAAGGAATGTGATTGTGTCTTCAGTATCGCTTTCAGTCCTCTGCTCTGTTGTTGTTATAATTATCGATAATTCAATATTTATAAAAGTTGCCAAGCTGCCCGTAAGTGAAACAATTTCCGGTCTGTTCTTAACTCTGTTACGGCTCGTAATCTTCGTCCGAGTCATCGCTATTTTCTTCTGGTACCATATCGAATATCTCGTTAACTTCATCTTGCAGCTGTCTCAAATGCTGGTAGTTCTGACGTGAGAGATACTCTTGACATGCCCTAAGAACCGACCGCAGATACGGGCGGTATACCTCTTGTACCGCCCAGCACCGGCATATTATTTTCTTGAAGTCCATACTGAACCGAGGGTTCTCACAAAATTCTTGCGTGGCATTGGTGTCGAAAGGCCGAAGTTCGGGGATGCCGGTACAATGGAATATTGTGGGAGCGATACGTTCATCGCGGTCAAGAGTTGCTAGTGAGTGTATTATCTGCCGGGTTGTTAGCCACACTTTTTTCGACTTATACGGAAACTATTTAGGCTTACTTGTGCTACTTGAAACATGTTTGCCTGTTCGGCTTTCAGGATTCTGTAACTCTATGTCAGCTAAGGCCACGTATAATGGGCTTTAGGCTGTTTTTGTTTTTAAGAAGAAAAAAAAGAAAAAGCTAGAATGTTACCTATTATGTTGACCAGTTATACCAAAATCGATAATCTGTAAATCCTGTATTAGTAATGACCAGACACACTATCCTGGATCAATTAACCTTCACTATAACACGATATTATTGTTAGCTTGTCAACTTTGAATAAGTTCTGACGTATGAGATTGACCGCTGGACAACTAGCAATGTCTATCATCTAAGTATTTCTACGTATGCTAGACGGACATGCATGCCGTAGATATTAGGCTTGACGAATCAATACTATCCTCCGCTCAATGTATGAAAAGAGTTGCCATGTTACTTACATATCGGTGTTGGCCAGTGGCAAATTGGTGGGTTGTGGCGAGGATCAATATCGCCAAACATGATATTGTCTAGAGTAAGGTTTCTATGGACGAAGTAAGATCCGCGCGTTCCCAATGGTGGCCATACTTCCCTCCTGTCTAGAGGCGCGTCATTACCTCTTGGGGGGTAGCTCATTCCGAGACATGCGCGGACCACTGCACTATATGTTAATTCCAAATAGTAGTGAGAGAGGCGGCAAGTCGTACAACATAGAAGAAAATACCACAGTACTGGCTCTGATATCTCCCAAATATCTAGGTCTCTACATCTTTGACGTAGCTCCTCTCTACCTTTAACGTTAGTACCATCTTTCTCAGATTCAATTACGGCACGAGTTCAAGGATGAATGGTAAGATTATTTTCATATCCAATAGACCCAATCTGGGCCACGATAAGTGTTACTGATTGTTACTCACCCAGTGCCCCGAGACAGATATTCTGTAACAAAAAAAGGAAACCCGAACATCAAGACATTTCTGTAACGTGGATGGTCTATGTTCAATTTCCAAGGTAGGCCTCCTGTCAACGCTCTGTACGTAGGCTCAACCCAATCTTCGTGCTCAGCATCATCGACGATAGCTAGCAGCTTCGGCATGTGTTCGGATCCCCACAGCGCGCGCAAAGCCATCTCATCTTCCCCAATCCGCTGATCGGGGCGGATAGGTAGGTTGCGTGCATGCTTCACAACTATTCTTTCAACAGCTCCCCGACGGTCTACTCGTTTGAATATTATAGGACCGGAGATGTATTTCTCGGCAATAAAGCCGTACCTATTGGAAAAATAATCAGTCAATTGGAGGGCTCGTTGCCCGGGGTGTAGATCCATGCTGAAATGTCTAGGCACAAGACTGGTCTAGTATCATGAAAATGTTACTGTTATCGATCCAGTCATTTAAGCCACTGGCGAAAGTGAGGTAAGTAACGAAAACGGAAAGGGTTGAGTCAGCTTCTTTGTGCAAAAACACAGTGTTCGAATATACTTTGCATACAAAGGCGCAGTGTTGATATGAGAGTCTCTAGGGATCTCAATTAGAGTCCGTCGCACTGCTTTTGTCCCATAGGGTGGAGGCTTTGACACAAAAATAATCTCACAAAATTTGCGAGATCAAGAATTGCGTCTCTTCTAGCAATGCAGGACGCGAGATTATGAGTAATCGCAGCACTGATTCCATTTACGTACACCAGCCATTATTTCGCATCGCAATGTGGGCTTCCACCTGAGTATATGCCTCGCGTGGTCTCTGCCTATGAGCACGTGCAGCGAGTATCAATCAGTCTACAGTTTGCCCGCCGCCATCCACTTCGCCACGAGCATTATTAAAACATCACAACTTCTCTAACACCAGCGAACTGCTAACTATTCTCCTCTAACCATTTCTCAAAGGGGCCCGGCTTTACTTTATATTTGTCCTTGGGCAACAGTCTTGTTCTTGCCCAGGTATCAATGGCCTCCCAGTCGATACAGATTCTGTCTGAATTAGAGCGCAATTCCTTGTTAAGGAAGGCGTTATGATCTCCAATCCAGTACGCTTTATAGACCGCTATGTCGGCTTTGCACATAAGACTACGGCGGATGGTGTCGACACAGTGACCTGAATGTGTATCAGCTATTAGTGAAATCTCTGAGGCGTCGGCCAATATTACTAACTCAGATGTATGATATTGTAATTCCGCTTGTCTTCTGTAGCATTAGGATAGTAATAATCGTGATATATATTTCTGCGTAGAGCATCCTGTGCGGTATTAGTGTTGTCAATTGTCAGCGCGATGATTTACAATGACATACTAGGCAATGAAATTCGTGATGTACTGATAACACTGACACGTAATCACCGTCTGTAAGCCGGACAATCTCTTCTGTGAAGTCTGCGTGTGATTGTTCGAGCTCCTGGTGTGTCAACCGAATGTTGATTGCTGTTATAGTTAGACAGATACCAGGCAGGTTGACTAGGCTTTGACGGCCGCATGAAACGCACGCTCCAGTAAGTAATCCCATGCCCTATCAACCTCTCCAGGAGGTCCCATAAACTCTGGGTCCTCGCCAAAATACAAGGCTTTCCGTTGATAGGAAAGGATATGATTGACCGGTGCTAGATAAACCCAGGAAGTCAAATGCTGGACTCTTTTCGGTGAGGATGGATCACCAACAGTATGGAGATTCGCTGTTGTTGTTTTTGTATAGAATTATTGCCAATGCAACGGTAGAACAGATCATATAAAGGTACCAAAAGACCCTACAGGTGAGTTGTAGCATCTGGGCGCTCGATCTTCGGAGCACATCCTTCCCATAAATTAAAGGCTCATGGCTTTCTGTGTGCTTAGCTGAAGGCCAGAAGACCGGTGCCTCAATCGGTACAAGTTTAGAAGCCTCTCAAGCTTCAAAAAGGTTATAGTAGCACTCAGCATGGGCGAGATATAAGCAGATACCTCAAGCGCCTTTGCATCTTAGATTTCTCAGCACGTGGTCTCAAGGGTACTGTATATCCAGTTGGCGCCACTGCCTTCTTCTATATCTTGGCTGGTCAATACAGAGGAGATGGGAGCCTGTTCGGGTGTCAATAGTTCCCACGTGTATGGTATTACGGGATCTATTTAGGTATTCCGAATTCAAATTGATGACACGCTGTGCTAGGTCCTGCTTGAGAGACCATGGGCGCCGCTCAGCCTACCATGTCTTATCGAACGAATATCTGCCCTTTCTAATAACTCTTGAGAGTAGGATCCCTCCCAAATCCAGTCACAGGAGTTGCCTTTTCTCTATTAGACAGCTCGCTAGGTATGCCGGGATGGTCATATCTGGCGTAACAGGCAATGCTACAGTGCAAAAAATGCCTAGACTTCATATTTCGGTAGATACGAGAGGTATACCGGTATTCACGCTCGTGGGAGGAGTTCTTGCACCCTAAGCACTGGATCGCACTTATCTTCACAGTAGCCTAGTCCACAGGCTACGGCATATCATGACATGCAAGATATGCTTGTTCTGGCGAAAATGCTTTTGGGACAGACTATATAAAGGAGTCTCAGTGAGCGAGGTCTCCCCGACCTGTTCATCGTCAACCATCCCCTACAGCGCCGCGTTACTACACCATTCAGTTTAACCCTTCCAACAAGAGTTCAAAATCGTTAACTTAGAGTCACCTGCAATTCTGATTATGTATCTTTGCTATGCTTTATTTTTCAGCTTCGCTACCAGCACCACTTGTGTACCGCTTGGTTTGTGGCATTCCCCAATGTTGAGATTTAAGCTCACATCGTAAAGCTCTCAAGGCCACGCGAGCTTTCGCCGAATATGAAGTGGGAAGAAAAAGCCCTCAGCCCCCCATTTGGGACGGCAGGGTAGACTTTGAAGCGACCACGAAAAGACGCCTCGGGGATAGCGATACAATCTTTGAAGCTGATAAGGAGAGGCGTCAGAGCCATGTTCCCGGGCCATTATGGGATATTGAACATGACGTAGACACAAAGTGACATGGTTTCTCTCCTCAGTCTTGGTCTTATCCACTATTTCTTCGCTTGGATAGCATCGATTGACATAACTGTGCGGTTGCCACAATGCGTTGCATTGCATGTGGCAAGGCCGGAATATCTCTTAGACTAGATATGAGACGGAGCAAAAGAAAAAAAAATTATATGATAATACCCTATCAATTTATATATAGAAAACATGCAAACGTCTTGATTGTTATGCGAAGATATCAAATACATTCTTGTCCAATCCTCAACTGCATCCTTATCTTTTCAAGGACGTTTATCATATTATGCCTTTATGTTCGACGTCTACAACTTCTGAAATGGAAGGTATATGAGGGTTACATTCAACTGAACTACTTGACTTGAGTGAGGTGGGAAGACCGTCTTATATACATGAACAGTGCCTTCGTGACCCTTCGTGACCCTTCGTGACCCTTGACCCGTACCGTATACATGAAGTGACTCCTTTACCACCTACACTTTCAACAACAACAACAAATGGTCACTCGCTGTGCATGAACAATCTAAGAATATCACTTCGGTGAGCAAGTTTGGTGCACAATGTCCTAATCTTTCCTGGCTTTGCCTCTCTTCCATCCAGTCTACATATCGCGCCAGATGCCATATGAGGGCAGAAACACTTTAGCGCGAGCAGCTCTTTACTAGTGCCAGTAGAGTGCATTGGTCCTCAATCATGGCAGTCCTCGATATTCTCTATATAAAAACTAGTTGACTTTTGGGTTAGGTACTGTCAGGAGGGCTGTACGAAGTATACAGGAAGACTCTCATTGTACAAAGCCTAAAAGGGGTCAAGAGTTTGAAGGTATTCAGACTTCCCTGGCTATACACAAGGTTTCTCTTTGTTCTCCCATCTCCAAACCCCTAACAAGCGGTCTCTATTTCCCCTCTTCTCGCACGTCTAGAACGTCTGGACAGATTCCATTGATCGATTCGACTTTGTGGCGTTGACGGCATCCGGTCCGGTCCGGTCCGGGGAACACTGCCGGAGTACACTACATGATGCGAGTCTAACGCATAAATTAGATTCCCCCATACATGTTGTTTTGGTTATCGCTGGTAATCAGCGGCATTCCACGCAGTAACCACCCCCTGACATGGGGTCGTTCTTATGCTGAAAAGTATTATGGGTATTACGATGATCTCCAACGTTCTCTCTATTGTGTACAATTACTGAGGCGATATCTATAGCACGTTTAAGTTGGTTTATCTTAGATCCCTTCTATCGGAATATGATGGATGCGAAGCACATCAGGTGCTTTTCTAACTCGTTTATTAGATAATAGTCTAAGAATATGTCTATGGTCTTTGAGTTGTCTTTGTTCAAACCACCGTGCTCATATTATTCCTTGATAATGTACGAAGCTCCGCAGATCCACCAGTGCGTCGTTGATTCTTAATCCTTATATAGCTTGATGTCCATTTAATAGAAATTTTCCCTCCTGTAGCCCTGCTGCTGTCGTTACTGCCTTCAAAGCGACGGTTCATATCGTCCGCGCGCAGGAACCCCGACTCCAAGCTTATCAAGAAGGGTTTTAGGAAAGGAATACATGCAGTCATAACACTTGATACCTGAACAACTTCTGCGGCGAGTGTAGCCCTCCATATATTTTTCAGCACGCTATCATCCAAGACAAGGACACGTATATAATACAGATGCACGGCTGAAGCTGCAATAGCTCTGTAGAGACATTAACACACTTTCCACAGCACAAGACATCCCAGAGTCATCTTACCCAATTCGTGACCAAAAGCCTAGTAGTATTGTGACTCTGTGGTCCCAGCTCATCTTTGTCGGGATGACAATCAGAGATGGGATGGCTATGAGGAATACATCAGTTATAATATTGAAACTGACGATAACCGTCCTCGTAAGATGCTACAGACAGGTCAGATTTGCACCTCATTTGATCACTAGGGGAATCACTTACTATATTGCTACACATCGTGTTCTGTATATTCCATCGTTGAGGCCAGGGACACTGGAAGCCCAACGCAAAGCTGCTTGCAAATAACCAAGTAACCACGAGTGCCCCCGTGGTGGCTATCACAGTGCGATGTTCGGATCGCGGCGTGATAGCGTAAAGGGCCATGAGAACCGAGCCCTTAACCGCAGCAAGTGAAGAGATGCCGAGTATATCACCGCTGTACAATGCCTAAGAATCTAGGATCAGACTGGCAAACTAAATGGAAACAGTTGATCTACCTTGAACGTAGCGTCTACTTCAGATGTCGTCAGTCCCGATGGGATGTTGCCTATGTTCTGCCCGGGGGGGCTGAGTATCGACGACATCTGGCCGACGGTGAGAACCTGGAGGTCATCTAGTTAGAAACCCAGAACCCGCACTGTGCGCGTCTGGGGACCGTGGATAAGGGCTCAGGGAGAACTTGCAAGTGCGACGAACAAGACCATATCGGAGGCCCCCAGGTGTCTCATAATCGCCCTCTTCATTACAAGCTGAGTGGCGACTGAGAGTATCACGAACGACAAGAACAGCCACGTGAGAATCTGTAGTACCGGGCTCATGTGGTCATCCGTAATGGCCGGCCGTTCGCGAAGCGTGGATAAGTGTCTGTTGAGAATCATAGTAAATATTCTTAATAATAACATCTTTCGTTACTCTGATCGAAGCCTTCGAGTGAGATGAGTAGCCATAAGTAGCCAATCTTTTATTCGTCGTCTTCCTACATGTTTTCAGCGAATCCGACTGTGAGGGTTCGTAGCAGTGCTCCGAACCTCAGGAGCAAAGGGAGGAATCACAGGAGTTGTTTGTTCAGCCCTTGTCATAAAAGCGGACATCCTCAGCCGTTGCGATTGGTTGGTTCCCATAAACCCCCTCTCAAAAATTGCTTCTTTTGGTGTATCTCATCTTGCGATTCGCTCTCTCGGTAGCTCGTCCTACGACGCACAGCCATTTTGACATATAATCCCAACGGTGTCAAGGGATGATTTGAGACCTGGAAGCTCTCATGTCGTTTCTTTTCGTTGTTTTGCGATGTATCAGAAAAGCGATATACTCTGAGGGGCTCTTAATGCATGAACGACTTCGTAACGGCCTTATCAGCACCATTCCAACTACCTAGTATCTGACCAGGGGAATGTGTTGGGGTAGACTGGCTGTGGTGTATCCCAACGTCTTGAGATTGGAGGAGGTCCGGTTAGTTACATCGTAATTTTGCTGGGATAAAAATGAGATATTCAGAATGCGCGTGATGGCACAAGACTAATAAGGTGCTTATAGCATATAGTAAGGCAATCTCGCTGCCACTAATAGTGTGGTAGTACTAGGTGGATACAAATGAATGGTCCTGGGACACTTGCTTAATGCTGTGACAACCGATGGTGTGCCATTACTTTCAAGATAAGACATTCCGAGACTAAAATTCTGCTTGTCACACCTTTCCCTATCTACTCAATCAAATATTCAAATGGGATTTGTTTTATTCCCAATTAACCTGTCACGATACTCCGGAAGTCATCATGGAGCTTCAAAACGCCGCAAAGGATCGCACGATGGCGGATCCCCAACTTCTTGTGGACGGTATGTACAGTCTGGATGATAGGGACTTGGCGAGACTAGGTAAGAAGCCTGTGTTGAAGGTAAGTTCTGGCCAGTTGTTCTACATTACGTATTATACAGCATTCGGCTCACCATGGTAGCGCAACTTTGGGTTTATGTCCATCTTGGGATTTTCCTGTACCGTCCTCATCACATGGGAGGGTATGCTCATGTACGTGAAGATAGCCATCCCACATGTGTCATCATCGAATTAACAGATAATCACAAGTGTGTCCACCCAGAGCCTCCTCAAGTAAGTACTCGGCCTATACCATGCTTCGTAATGTCGATCGCGTGTATCTACCTAGGCATAGAGCGTGTTGTATATTGATATCACCTAGTGGCGGACCTGCTGGAGTACTTTACGGATACATCATCGTATGGATTGGCACGCTTTCAACTTTTGCGGTTCTATCAGAGCTGGCTTCCATGTAGGTCACTACCCTCTGTGCTATCATATGTCGGTATCCTACTCATACAAACTCAGGGCACCAACCGCGGGCGGTCAATATCAGTAGGTCACCATCCACCAACAGATCTGCGGCAATTCCGCTAACATGCGTTTACAGCTGGGTTGCTATGCTGGCATCTAGGCCCTCGGCGAATTTTCTGAGCTTCATCACTGGTTCGCTTCTTTATAATATCATAGCGATTGTCACGCCTATCTAACTGTGAGCTATAGGTTGGGTGACATTTGCTGGCTGGCAAGCAGCCACTGCGGCCGTAGCTTTCCTTGTTGGTACTCTCTTGCAGAGCGTTATCATCTTGCTTGATCCGGGTTATACCCCCAAACCCTGGCAGAGCTTGCTGTTCTTCTGGGTAATATTGGCTTTCGCAGTTTTCATCAATACCATCGCCAGTAAAATACTGGCCCAGTTCGAAGGCCTGATCCTAGTGCTTCATATCTTCGGTTTCTTTGGTGTCTTAATCCCGCTTGTATATCTCTCTCCTCACGAGGATACCTCAATCTTTACTACATTTGTCAATACTGGCGAATGGTCAAGTCAAGGCCTCTCTTTTTTTATTGGCTTGCCAGCCGCTGTTTTCTCCTTGATCGGTACGTACGTCCACCTTAAACAGTAATAGGGCAGCTGTGCTAATGATGCTCTAGGTGCTGATTCAGCTGTACATGTAAGATATTCTGTGTTGCAAGCTCTACGTTGATATCCTGACAACCCTGCCTGGTTATAGATGTCTGAGGAGATACGAAATGCGTCTACAGTGGTACCAAAAGCAATCATGGTCAGCATAGTACTCAACGGCGTTCTAGGTTTTGCAATGATGGTCGCGTATCTGTTTTGCCTCGGTGATTTAGATGCGGTCTTAGAATCCCAGTTGACTCTGGGTTATCCTTTTTTATACGTTTTCAAGATAGGTGTCGGGTCGACTCCTGGGGCGGCAGTCATGGGCTTGCTTATTGTCATCCTCGGCGTCTGTAGCACTGTTGGTGTGCTTGCGTCTTCATCTAGAATGTTGTGGTCCTTCGCGAGAGATCGTGGTGTACCTCTATGGAGGCATTTCATCAAGGTAAGAAATGGCAATTTCTTCTCATTCAACTACGCTAACCTCCACAAGCTTCAACGGCGAACATCTATCCCTGTCTATACTATTGGCTTCACTACCACGATTTCTGTTCTCCTTTCCCTCATCATCCTTGGCTCGAGCGTCGCTTTCAACAATATTGTCAATCTGAGCATTGCTGGCCTGTACTCATCTTATCTTCTTTGCTGTTCTCTGCTTCTCTGGCGGCGTATTCAGCCCAATTCCATTAAGCCCTACAGCCCAGACGTTGCCAAAGTTGGACCAGGACACCTACACTGGGGACCATGGCATATCCCAGGGTTTCTTGGTGTTATCAACAACGTCTTCGCCTGTACTTATCTCCTTTTGCTCTTGTTTTGGGTATTCTGGCCCCCAGTCACCCCGATAACACCGGAAACGATGAACTTTAGCGTACTTACTTTTGGCGCAACGATATCCGGGGCCATTATATGGTATTTCATTCAAGGCAGAAAAGAATATAAGGGCCCAGTAGTAGAAGTAGATATCTAGTTCTAGGGTCACGGAGAAGGTGATATTCCTACTCTATACATACATGAATAGGCGTTCTTCAAATACGACTTATATTAAAGGACACCTGCACAAAGAATTTATCACCGTGTCGTGACTAAACTGCTCACCCGTGATACTCTGACTGTCTATTCATCGATCTAGACTAATAGTACCAATGGATTTGATCAGAGCCAAGACTAAACATCCGTTTCTGATCGCTGCCATGAATCCTCCAGGCTCAACTTGTAATTCTATTAAAGCGAAATGTATATACGAAACCTCTACCTATCATAGGTACCAACCGTCATCTAATCCACCAGCTCTTGATCTAAAGACACTGGAAGTAGCTAAAGATGTGTTAGCATTAACGGGTAAAGTTATCAATCAAACTATGATCACTTACTAGTCGTTGAGCTTAGTGCATTTGAATCCGCTGGCGCACGCCTTCGGACCACTGTATCCAATACCACCACATTGGCCATAGTGGGTTTGCGTTGCGGTAGGAGCTGATGTAGTAGTGGTAGGAGCAGGCTTGGTAGTTGTCGAACCGTTTCCAGCACCGGATTTGAACGTAGAGCCGATGTCGCCCCATCGAATGTTGCTAAAGACGACGTGTGTTCGCGGGTTTTCCTGTATTATCAGGGCTGGATTGCCTTCGGTTTCGCTGCAAGGGCCGTTGGTGCCAGCATCGAGCCAGTTCATATATCCGCTAGCATCGTTCCAGATCGCAAACGTCAGCACCATGCCGCGGCCCAAGGCTTCACCCATAGTGGTCAACCCGCCAAACTTCTCGGAACCGGTACCAGCAGCGTTGCACGATTCTGTCGTGATGGAATCACCTTTGGGGTTAGCGGAATCGACGAGCTTGCCGCCTTGCATATATCTTCTGTTGACAGTCGTCAGGGTACCAGTTGTTGTCCCGTCATCAGTAATAAACTGGGTAATGACTGTAAATGGTTTCGAGGTGTCGACTGTACCACCTAACCCATAGTAGTTGGTGTGCCCTTGCGCATAGGGGTTCAGTCCACAACCGCTCTTATCACAGTCGGTGTCACTACAAGGGTGAGGTGTAAATGAATGCGCCCTGGAATTGGCCTCCAAGACTAGTAACAAGAGAAGTCAGTAAGCATCCTGGTAACAGACAAGGATTGCCACTCACTATCCATCTCGTTACAGCAGTATCCAGAGCCGTCGAGATTCAGGGTGCCATTTTTCCAATTCTGAACAGGGCACTGAGCATCGCAGTAACCAGATCCCAACTTGGCGCCTCCAGTATTGTGCTCGTTTCGCCCGCCAGTCTTGTCCATTTCGCCCAGATACAATGCCGCGTTCTCACCGCAGGGCAGCGTAGACAGATCGACAGTGAAAGTGAGCTCCTTTCCAAGTAATTGCAGCATTTCGTAATTGCCATCATCACCCAAGAGGTAAAGGCGCGGAGACGCATTCTGTGGCTCGCCGTCTTCGTTGATGGTGTATTGATACATCGTTAGGGTATCCCCTGATGTCGAGACGCCATTGTTGGTATAGTTTGAATCCCCCTGGACGAAGCAGTTCTCTGCACATGTAGCTTGATCAGGACACAGGGTGGCATTCACACTGCCAGTGTCAGTTGTGCAGGATAGCCAGTCCGCGGTATGAAACCAATGGTAGTTCCAGTCGATAACTAAAGCCCTCTCATTTGCGACACAGCCACCTGCCGTAGTACACTTATAGACGGTGAGAGCAGGGTGCTCTATCAAGTGTTAGTTATGGGATGCTAGGTACTTCAACTATTTTTCTAGACTATCCAATATGTGGTCTTAGTTCAGACAACAGGTGACGTTCGGGGTTAGCTTACTGCGTCAATGTTAGCTATTCATTCAACGAGTTGGTAATGAGAAGATGTAATGGCTTCGAAGGACACTTGATACATACCGATCAGCAGTGTCATCGGGATTCTGCCTTTTCTTCTGCGCACTGGCAAATTGGCAGCTAGCCAGGGCCGCGATCGTCAACACGCTTCGGAAGCTTGGCGGCATTCTTTGAGCCTAAGGGTATACTTGTCAAATGACAGACAGCGACTAGGGTGACAATCGATGAGCGTGACTTCCATCATGTTCTTGTTAGGACTTCGCATATTTATGTTTCAGAACAATTATCCCTCGTCGACTGCCTTACCGGCTTCCCGGCTTCACGGATTCTAGCTGTCGTGAGCCTCCACGAATCAAAACTAGTTCAGGTCCGCAACCCACCGAGCAATCCCGATGAGGACATCGGAGCCACTGTGCCGATGAAGCTGAGCGACAGTAGGACGGGATCCCCGATGCATCGTTCCAGTTATATCCCTGTCCATATTCCTGCAGACGATCACTGATCTCGTTTATTTCAAGCGTCTAGTGTCCGTGGGCTCATGCCTGGCCTTGAAACTGCAAACGTCTTCGGATCCTCGGGGACTTGAGCCGTCTTATCGTCATTGGATTGTAGGAAGAACAGTGAAGCAAGGCACTTGTCTCGCATGATATATGTTGTGATCTTCGGCAACTCGTCACCATTCTCTTCTATATTGAACAGAGGTCAATGGTGAATGAAATAAAGATGAGATGTGAGTTGATTGCATCCTTGACAGTATGAGCAAGAGCCTCAAAGTCTCTCTCCATCTCTCTCCATCCTACAATCTAAGCTTTTCTGCTGCCATCCACTTGGCACCTACCAAGCCGCCTGTCTGGTCTGGGCGTCCCGAGAGCCTGGGTTTGTCTGACGTGATTAATATGTAAGTTCGGGAGATCGACAAGCGATTGCCTATGCCAAAGAGGCGCCAGAGCATAGTTGGGCGCGTCAAACTCTCGTTCACTGCCACCACACTTCTGTACCTTATATTGCATATAGATAGGACGTTAATCGATCTATCCGCAGGTCGCCCTAAGCCACACACTAAGTCTCCTACCTCAGCCGGCGATTTTATGATAGCCCTAGATGTGTCATCTGCGCATTTGACGGGCTGTTTGGGTATTGCAGCACCGGTCTCCCATGTGGGAAATACTAAACTTCAATGCCCGCCCGCTGGCTGTCTAGCAGGTAAAATGAAGTTTATTCCACTCGGCAATTCCAAGGTGCTTGGTGAACGAACAGAATACTTTAAGGTGCGTATGTCAGGGTTATACTACGGTATTGTGACTTCAGCATATTTGCGTCATCCGTCATGAGCATTCCGCTCGTCGAAGATTCGAATACAGTTATAGCGAAAATAGCTTGACTACCCAATTGGCTTTGCGAGAAGTACTTCACTTTCTCAAAGCATAAATATTTCTTAAGTTGAAGTAAGTTTCTCATCTAGACAATGCCCATTTGATATACCTACAACTCGCTCAAATAGGTAGGGGAGCCATCTGCTCTGACCTGCCTAGCAAATGCTGCCATAGTGCTATACTTGGGGCTCCCAAGCGCTGTATCTGGCGCTAAGTCGTGGCCAGATAGCTAGCCCAAATCCCCTGAAACCTGGGGTAGGTCCGCCAGGGGGTCCAATAGTAGTCAACCTCGTATTACCCGCGCGACACACAAGACCCTAGCTCTGCCGGCACTAAACATTTAGGCATAGGAGTAGTTATGTTATTCGTGTGACTTGCTTCCTTGGATTTCCACAGAAGTGCGTCACCACACCAGCTTTCAGGCTTGCCATGAGCAGCAATTCTTCCTCCCCGATGCGGACGACAAGATGCTCATACGATGGAAGACGGCCACGCCCCGCCCTTTGCGCCTGCTGCTCATAGGTCTAATAGCTTGCTCGCTGCTGCTGCAGACAGCCGACGCCTCACTCGGCGACCGGCTGCCCGAATTTCGAGAATGCGTCGAGGTTCGTGATGCCATCGCCCGTACTCTCCTCTCCCACCGGGCTATTGCCAGTAGAAGAAGTCAAGAGACGCTAACGTAGCGGTGACAGGTATGCGCCCGTGAGAATTGCGATCCGAATAACGACCCGACTCCAATCCGTAAGTTCGACCATTTCTCCCTACCTTTCCGGCGCCGGTATCATAGAACCTTAAAAAGCTAACTTTGCCCTCTGCGCGTCCACACAGCCCTCCACCACCGCCTCCTGCTCTGGACCTGCGCGCAAGAATGCGATTATACCTGCCAACACATCACGACGACACTGCGTCTCGAAGCCGGCCAACCCATCACGCAATTCCACGGGAAATGGCCTTTCGTCCGGGTACTAGGCATGCAAGAGCCGTTCTCGGTAGTCTTCAGCCTCGGGAACTTCCTCGCACACCAGACAGGACTGGCCCGGCTGCGTGAGCGCGTGCCCCCCAGCTACCCGATGCGGTGGTACTACGAGCTGTTCGCGTACTTCGGGATGGCGGCGTGGGTGTTCAGCTCCATATTCCACACGCGCGACTTCACCTTCACCGAGCAGCTCGACTACTTCGGGGCCGGCGCAAGCGTGCTTTACGGCATGTACTACGCGCTCGTGCGCGTTGTTCGCCTCGACCTGCCAACGCCGCGCCGCCGTAGCGTCCTGCGTCTCTGGACCATCTTCTGCTGCGCCCTGTACGTCGGCCACGTCGCATATCTCAAGCTCTGGCGTTGGGATTACACGTACAATATGACGGCCAACCTCGTCGTGGGCATGGTGCACAACTTGCTGTGGTCCTACTTCAGCTGGGTGAAGTGGCGGGAGACCGGCCAGACTTGGGCTATTTGGCCGAGTATGCTCGTCGCGTGGATCATGCTGGTCATGAGCTTGGAATTGCTTGACTTCCCGCCGCTGTGGGGAGCCCTAGACGCACATAGCCTGTGGCATCTTGGTACGATAGCGCCAGCTATTTTATGGTACAAGTATGTATTTTATCCCGCTAGACTCTAGAAATTTCGCTAACGACATATAGCTTCATGATCAAGGACTCTCAGGAGTTGGCGAAACACGCGAAGATCAAAGAGATTAAGGCTTGATGTACGCCCAACCTGCTGACAAAATTTACTTGAATCAAAACAATTCGGTTGTTGTTTTTCATGTATCATATCAACGAGCACTAATAGAAATGCGTATATATCATGACCGTAGGCAAAGAACATATTAGAACCATTAATGAGACTTTGAAAATGTTGTAGCATTGAAAACAGCTATCTACCTAAGTATTCAGGACTATAACCAACCTTACCATTCAGACGCGCTAGACGAGTCTGTAGAGTAGACAGCAGACCAAGCCCATTACTCATTATACCACCGTATATACCAATCGGCAGCAGTTGGGCGAGAGTCGACCATACAATCAGAGACCCAAGCCAAGCTGTCAAGCAAGCACAAATTCATCTAGAGAAAACATTAGCATTTTCTCCCAAACTCCAAATTTCCATAGAGAGAAAAAAACCACAATCTCAACACACTCTTTTCTCAAAGAGAGCATCAACATCCAAACATCAGAAACCAGATTAAGTATAAGCATAACAAACATTCCCCACCTCCACCACCGCACCAGCCCCAAATCCTCCTACACCGTCCTCCCCTCGCGGCAAGCACATGACGATGCACACGCGAAGGACACGACAGGGTTCGAACAAGGGCGGTCTCAACGAATGGGGAGGCCGAAGGGGCAGGAAAACCAGAGCTTAAAAAAAAGAATATTTTTTTCAAATTCCTGATCTTACCTGCCGAGGACGGTCTCATACGGCTCTTCCTATTTGAGTAATATGTAGGTTGGACACTTGCGTGTCGGAGTCATCATGGTAGGAATGTTGCGAGAGCAAATAAAAAAGAGAGGGGGATAAAAACAAAACGGGGGGAAAAGATGCTCACCTATAAGCTTTTCGGGCAACCGTTGGGATGTGTTCATAGTTCGCAATATACAGACCCAGCGAGCATCACTAGAAAAAGCAGTGTGTCATCGTCAAGATAACGACGCAGCGCTGCGTGCTGCGATAGAGGTGGTGCTGTGATGTGGCAGAGAGGATACTACAAGAGGAAGAAGCTCTTGAGGAAATTTCGTTTGAGGTGGAATTTATGTGTGGGTCCGCCAGCTACGTAAAATTGCGGGCGGGAAATGGCAGCTGCCCGTCAGATGATTCGAGTGCCAACCTACCGAAGTAGGGTACATTCACCGATAACTCTTTACATATATGTACATACTTCAGTACCTACTTATTGTGCCTCATCGCATCTCGCCCCTTATGAGGCTCCTTTGGAAGTCAACTAAAGACCACGGTCACTGGCATTGCACTAGATGTTATGAAGGGTTAGGTGGATGATTCTTTGTATTTAACAAAAGTAGCCACCATCTCAAAAACGTAATCTGAATGTGATACAACCACCATTACTGTCTGGTGCCTCCAATAGGCTGGCCCGCCACCCATGTTTCTAACTAATAACGCTATTTGATGCGTGTGGAAATCAAAGTGCTATGGAAACAACAAGTGTGTACAGTAATCAGAGGCGTGTTTTCTACCTAAACGGCAATCTTGGCCACTTCTCTTGCTAACATGAACAATCCGAGGATCAGCTTCCGTATCCTTCTCTGTTCATTCATCGTCATAACGTCGTAAAAGAGCGTTTACCCATATAGAGTGGTGAATTGAGCTAGCTCAAAGCAAAGGGGCTTTTTTTGGTTGTTTTCTTCCTTGTTGCTCACTCAACAGAAATGTCCGTGACTTTAATGGTTTGGAAACCCTTGCATGTCTGCAGACGTCCAATCCATATTAAAATCAATATTGAAGTCTTGACACTGTGGCTGAGTGTAACCAGCGGTCATACTCGGTGGGACGGTACCAAAAGGCGTGGGATCAAAGTCCGACGATTTTCCCATATCGTTTGATGGGAACAGAGTGAAGTCGCCACCAAAATGGACGTTGCCAGCCGGGTTAAAATCATCAAATCCTTCGTCAATATCCACCATCGAGATGGGTGTGTACAGCATAGTGTTGCCATGTCCAGATGGTGAGAAATGGGGTTCAGGAACTGGCGGACACATTGTTGTGTTGAAGTTGGTGAACGCTTCAGGGATTGTCTTGTTGTACACGGAATATGTGGGTGTAGGCAACCGTACGTGAGCGCCATAGATGTCCTCGAACTGTGCAGTAACATCGGGGCTGAGTTCTTCATAGGTATTGAACTGACCCGCATCGGTTGAAGGAGTGCCGCTCTCGATAGGAGAGAAATCAAGCGAGATATCAGACTCAAAGGGCTGATTGTCCATAAACGCAGCATTGAACTCCTCAGTGCTCGGGTACGTGGGGAAAAGATCTTGGTTGTCCTCAAAAGTCGGGAGGTAAGTATCCTCCGGTGGTGTGAGAATCGGATCCGTGTGGTCACTGCTTGGAGTAGGCAGGTTGTTCAACAAAGGTGTAGGCTTCGAACTACCGGCTTTGCTGCCCATCGTCTTTGGGGCTTTGGACCGTTTATATGTCCAGCCGTGGGCTTTCTCCATATGCTGCTTGCAGTTGGATTCACGTTTGGATTTATAAGGGCAAGGTTTGAATTGACACTCAAACATCTCGGGAGCAGCCGAGTGTTTGTCATTGACGTGACGAGCCATCTCCTTTTCCGTTGGCCAGCCATACTCGTGATACTTGCAGGTTGGGATCGGACACTTCCATGGGCGGGAATGAGTCTTTTCGTGTTTTGTAAGATCACATGCTCGCTTGAACTCCTTGCTGCAGCCAGGATGGGTACACTTCTTGGGGGCTAATTCCTCAGGCGATGGGTTCTTCTTTCGCCGTGCCATGGAACGCATGATCTCGTCTTCATCCTCGGCCTGCTGGCTCATGGAGCGCTTGAATCTAACTGGTTCCGTCGGTTCTTCCATATCTTCCACTATTTCACCAGTTCTGATGGAAACTGCTTTGCCGTTCTTCTTTACACGAACGATCTCAGCTGGACGGCCAGTAGTGGCAATACCACCAACGAGTTTGAGTTGTTCAGAGCTGTATGGTTGTTCAGTATTTGAGCAGTTGATAGGGTTACGTTGTAACACATACGGGTCAACATCCATTTCAGAAGGCTCCTCTCCTGAAGCCAATCTCTCTCGAGTTTCTCGGATCTGTTGTGCGTGCTGGCGAATCTGTTCAATCAGGTCAATGAAATAGCCGCTGTTGTAGGGTCGATCGTGAGGCCGCGTTTGTTCTCGGTCGCTCAAATATTCGACGGTAGCTTGAATGCATCGGATTGAGGTGGTGCAAAAGTCGAGGTACAGTTTGGCAGATTTGGTCCTCTCCTTTAAACACAACAAACGATAAGTAACTCCCCAAACTCCACTATCTTTCAGAAGCTGACTCACCGGTGCCATAAAGATAAGAGTCTTTTCAAGATCCCTAAGACAAACAATTTGATTCTCCTGGATTCTTCTAGGGCAATCAAGGACAATGGGATGGAAGTCCTTAAGCTCAGATTTTGCAAGTAGAGGTTTTAAGGTATGCTCATGGATACGGTTGATAGCACGACTGCTCAGACGTGGCAAGCGCTCGGCCCTAGAGGTGTTGACAGACCGTGTGATAGCTGAAGCACCAACCTTACGCTTTTGCACAGAAGATACAATCGACGATCCCAAACCACTATCGGATTCATGATGGTTGGATGAACGACGCATGCGAGGGCGCAACACCCGCCGCTCACTATCCGAAGATTCCATCGCCATCTTGTCTACCATAACAGTGTGATTCAAGAACCCACGAGGAACAGGAAGACTGTCGTCACGGAATATTTTAAGGTCCAGAGAACGTTCGTCATCAATAGCTGCGAGTCTGTCTTCGAATTTGCCGATATTTAGAGCCGCGCGGCGTAGATGAGCACCAACAACATCATCCAGGTTGGTTTGAGACCGACGAGGAAGTGAGGGAGGGCTAGACGGAGGAGTGGCAAGAGATTGAAAGGTAGCTCCTTTCCGGAGGGAGGGGCTGCTCTTAAGTTTCAGGCCATCGCGAACATTGGTATCCAAAGGAGTCAAAGCACCAGTCCGGCGAGGATTGGACATGATGGCTAATGTTGCTCCACCGAAATGGATGTACGAGGGGATGGGCGGTATATGTTTGTTTGACTACTGTGCAAAGAACCAGTGGATTAGCACCGGTACACACTGCAGGGCTGATTAGGCCTATGAGTCACCAAGTCCTTGAGCGTACACCGGATCGGGGACAGCCTGAGGACTCGATGCAGATATCACAGTAGTCGATACAACATTGACCAATCCGCAGCCGTCGTAGATTTCAAGAACGAAGAGAAATGACCAGGTTCACCCACACCGGGGAGAAGAGCCGTTGACAGACAAAGTAGACGAATGTTCTTACAGGAAGGGTAGGCCAAACTATGGGCCTCGAACTAGGACAATGTGTCGGATGAGAGCACGGGTTGAGTACGGCTCAGGTTGGCTCGACCTCGAGAGGATAAGTGCAGACTCGAGGGGCGAAAAGATGAAGTCAAGCCAGCTCGTATCCTCGAAGGGGGGGTCAGACAAGTACAGTTATACTCCAACCCCAATCAATGAGAGACGGTGTCCAAAAATGATGATAGCAAAACACGTGTGTCCGAGACGACGGCTATGCACTGCGATGCTGAGAGGAACAAGACGTATGTGGGTGGAAAGTCAAAGAAGGGAGAAGATGGAGGGGACAATATGTGCACAAGTGAGTCGGGTGTCTCGGGGATGGACGGAGAGATAAAACACGTCTCCAGATTCGTCACAGGCGAGACGGCGTCGGGAACAGAACAGAACGGAACAGACCAGACAGACAGACAGACTACTATGCAGCGCTAAGGGGCAAAATATGGTGGCCTGAGAGCTTGGTCGCGAGACGGGCGGCGGAAGAGAACTGGCTGAGAACTGGGACGAAGCAACAGAGCAAGAGGCGGATGGGCGCGATGGGATGATGGGATGGACGTTGAAATGTGTCTGTCGGCGTGGGATTTTAGGCAGCAGCCTTTGGCATTATTGGGGCAGCCTTGATGCATCCCTGTCGCCCGTTCTGCCCATGGCATGGACCTGGTGAAGCCCGATACTGTCAAATGTATTTTTAGACTGAATTCATGCTACAAAGGTACTTATCACACTAACACGCGCGACATGTCGACAAGTCCTAGCGGGTCGCGATACCACCCCCCGGCGACTCATCAGCTGCGCCCTCTGCCCGCCTCACGCTAGGCCCTTTCGGCGAGGGGGGAGCTCCAGCCCAGTGGACTCCAGGATGGCACGGTGGAGCAACAACCACTGTCATTGCCTCTCATTGCCTCTTCCTCCTCTGCCGGTTGCCGCATTTGTGGCCCACGATGAATTCATTCATTGCATTGCAGCAGCTAAAGCAGAACAACATTAACAACAAAACAACAAAACAAACGGCGCACTTCCGCCCTGAAACTTGGTTCTAATCTATCGACATGGCCAATATCCTGCTGAATCAACTCCCGCGTCAACTGAGTGTCAACTGAGCATCGACTGAGACGAACTGGTTTTGTCTCACCTGTCCGTCCGTTCTGTCAAGTCCATGGAATCGGTGGACTACGGTACCTAGGTAGGTAGTACGTCAATATAAAAATAAATGGCCCCAGCCCTAGATAGATTAATAATGCGATACGGAGTCATCAATCAACCCGCTCAGTGTACTGTACTTTCTTAGGTCCCAGCAGGCAAAGTATCCGATTCGATGCTACCACTTTACACTCTCCTTACTTACAGTAGTACTTAGTATGCCGGTGAGAATCAGCATAACCCGTCATAGGTATTCAGTACCTAGGTATGCTTCACCAATGGATCTGTTTCCCCCTTTGTCAAGGCAAGGCGTTGCAGTCGATAGCATCAATCCAAAAGCATACCTAGGTACTTCATGCCAGACTCCTCCTACCTACCTACCAAAAGTAAGCAGGTTTATCCGTAATAAGGTCAGTCAGTGTGTCCGTGGAATAAATATCATGGACTAATAATACAGTACCTATAGTAGATAGGGTAGCGAGGGTAGCGAGGGTAGGTAGTGCAGGTTAGCGTGCTGTAGTCAGACGTGGTGTTTGTTTCGCTTCGTGCTCCGCCACAACGCTGGTGTGCTTGTCTTGGCGCATCTTCCCTGACCAAGTTGAAAATACCAGCACACCATCACGGACAGAGCCTCTCGTACTTACCTACAGTATGTGAACACAGATTATGTGTGTACATAGATATCTGGCCAAATCTGTCTGTCATGTATTAGGTATGTAAGTAGGTAGCTCGTATGCCAGGTTCTGCCAGGTCCTTTTCAGCAACATGCATCCCCTTTCCACCGCATCCTTTAAGTATACTATGTAGGTAGTAAATGGTAGCTAGGCACACTACTAACTACCGTACATGGGCAAATCGGTATGGGTTTCTTGAATGCGAGACTTGACTGTGAGTCTGTCTGCAACCAGGGCCCTACAGAAACTACTTACAGTACGAAGTAAGGTAGGTGTGCTGTGTGTGTGTGGGCATAAACATTCCCAGAGCTGCACGGAACTTCAGTGGCAGCAATGAAGGCCACACTGATCAATGATAGATTCAAGTTCCGCGGGCGCAGTCAAGCTTATGCTATGATCCCCTCCCCCTCGCATGTGATCTAGGTACTGCGATATCGTATTATTATGGTATTATTATGGTACTATCATGTACTTTACGCAGCAGTGCACGCAGCAGAGTACAGTAGGTAATAATACCTACACAGGAGGACAGCTGCATCTGCAGCTCTGCGGTCAGTTGTCTCTGGTTGACTCACACTTGCTTCTCAGCGTTGCAGCAAGCGTTGCACCACCCGCGACTGATTCGTCCCGCTTGCTCGCTCTCAAGTGTGGAGGGGGAAAAGTGCACATTGAGAGACATCTTGGCTCGTTCGACATTGTCCAACAAGCCCCCTGTCGAAATCATCTCACCTGTACTACTGTGTACCTATGTATGTATTCCCCAAGGGTGGGAGTGCGGAATGTACAAACGCTTCCTTCGTACTTCATACATGTACTACTACCTACATACATCCCCCCTACATGATAACGTGCAAGCAGTGAACACGTAGCTCAAAGTGACTGTAGATTCGGCCTGTGCCTGGGATTATCTGAAGTGCGATCTGAGTGCTTAATTCATTACCAGGTACAATCGGGTCAGGGGTGTTGGAGTTAAGTACAACTTCCCTAGAATGTTCAGATGCATCATCATCACCAGTAACCTACCCAAGTACCACATGACACATCCCCATACCTTTGATATCAAACTTCACAACAGTTGCATCGTTTGGCAGGTGTTATTATTGCAGAGCATATGGCATTATATGTGATTACCATGTTTCTCGTTCGTGCGTTGGTGCCATTTCCCCGTTTTCTCCTGTTTGAGATAAACGAGACATCGACAGCGCAAACAGGTTTGTCTCTACTGTAGCCCATTGCCATGCTCTTCTACCGTTGTCTATGCCATGCATGTACTGCAACATATGACCGACCTACCAACATATAATAGCAGTTGGTATAGATCGACCATACACAAATGCGGTACCAACAACAAAGATATCTCGTTTACTCGCCTTCCTTCTCCTCTAGCGAACGCCAGCGCGTCGGACGAGACAAGGAAGATAAGAGGCTGCCTACAACACATCGTCCTTAGCTCAATCACTAACCTGCGAATCCAAGGACTAGCAATTACCACCCCATAGTCAATCGTACGTCCTCAGCAACGTAGCAATATTCGTATGCATTACGTCTCCCCGCATAGAAATCTTCTTCCTCTCCCGTCCACTAACCTTAGGCACCTGGATTTCTGTCCTGCTTGACATGTACCGATGAGACATGGGGGCAGTTCGGTACGCGAGACAAGAGAAGGCATCTCTATTTGGAGAATTATGATTGGCCGAAATAGTTAGCGGATAGGGCTGATCCCACAGCCATCGAGCATTAGCCTAGGAACAGGCATGCATGCATGTCTTGGTGACCGGTTACGCAACCTGTCCGAAAGGAATGTTCGAGCTGTTCAAGCCGCGTGGGCAAGGAAGCTGACAAGGGCTGTTTATGGGACACCTAGCTGTTAGCTGGGATCACCATGGTCAGCCGCATGGCGCTCTCGTAAGTAAGTCGCTCATCGGATTGTCTGACCTAGGGGTGGGTTGAGAAAAAAAGGACCTCATTCTTGAAGCATTTCGTTTTATCCCCGTTACCGCCAATTGGTCGTATGCAAATTTAATTGTCTTACTCGACCCGAGAGCATGGCAGTCGCAACATGAATTGTGTTCGTGGCTTCTCCTAATGTAACATCGCACAGTTGATGCTGTCGCTAATCTCTCTAGGTACTTATTTCATTAAGCAGCCTTTGGTCAGAAGGCTTTGAATAGAAGTTAAAGAAGCCAAAGTCGGTTCAGTCTGTGCCGATGATAAAAGTTTCCATTTATGCTGCTGTTCTTATATTGTACTCAAGTCACTAATTATCTCTTTTCACTGAGCGTGTAGGTAATTCCTTAGACATATACATTCATCAATCATGTATCCTTCAACATTGGCCTGCGCTGGATTCAAGCAACCATACCATAGGCGAATAATTGATTCACATAAGACTAACGTACTTGCGCTGTCAGGGTAGAGTGTCCTTTCTCGTCTTACCTTTTTGGCTCCAAGGCTAATTACAAGTAAACAATTGAATTGGGGAACATAAACATAGAAATAAACTACCAAAACGAGACTTTACCAATGTGCAGTTATACCATTATCAACATAATTTTCATCTAAAAGTTCTATAGCCCCTGTCGGCCGGAGGAGGAGGGGACTGTATGGGCGAAACCGTATACTGCCTCAGATCCTCGCGGTCGAAATCATCGTCGCTACACTCGGAAATACCGTTGGAGTCTCGGCGCACGAGCCGCGCTACCTGAGGGGCATGGAACTGGGTTCGACGCCCCTGAACGACAGGCTTCCGCGCGATGACTTGTTGCCGGCGAGCTAGCGGCTCCTCTGATGCTCGCGGAATCGCGCTCATCATTGGCATCCTGGGTGGCTGCTGGCTGACGAATCTTTGCTGATAGTATGGTGGTCGTTGAAACGGTGGGACGGGATTGGGTCGATGAATTGGCTGCTGCTGCCGTTGTTGTTGCTGTTGCTGTCGCTGGCGGTGTCGCTGAGGATCATAAACTGCTCTGAAGTCTGACCCAGGCATAGCGGCAAGCCCGCCTGCGAGACCAGGCTCGATGATTGAATCCCTGCTACCGCTTCCTCGGTGATGGTTAGTGTTACCGGCGACACCACGTGTTGTTGGCCAACCGTAGTTTCTGGCGGCTGCAGTAGCTTGCGCCTGGCGTTGACGCTTGTCTGCCTCTTCACGCCTGGGATCCCTGTATCGAGGTTGATTATGCCGCTCTGGTTGGCGTTGATTGTACACCGAGGGATGGGGCTTCTCGTTTGGTGGTCGGTAAGGAGTGACCGTATAATAGTCGTCTTCTGAACCACAGCAACCCATCTTGAAGAGTAATTAGCTGTCTGCGCCTCTAACTAAAACTCGAATTTCCGGTGTTTTGAAGCGAAAATGAAAAAAGAACGAAGGAGATGGATATCTGTGCCGGACCAAATAGGGGCAGAAGTGAACAAATTGTAGGTGAAGATATTAATAATGTGTAAGTCGAATATCTAAATGCTGAGAGAAAGGTAAAACAGTAGTAAAGAATCGAATAAAGTGATGAATATGAATATAAAATTTTTAAATAAACTGTATCATACTCGCGCAATTAGGACGCGTTTGGTGTTTTAATGCATCCCATTGCAGTGTCAACGGACAAAGATGCTTTGTTACCTTTGTCTGGCTATTTTAAGCTACATTCACCGCTAGCCTTAGAAGACGTGAACCGTCAAAGCCAGCCCCAAAGATGATTCTGGACGTCTTTTTTAAACTAAATGACTACTCATCTCCCCATGGAAAGAGCACTATGTTTGACATACATTGAGACATTGTTCGTAGATGATACAAGTAGAGTCGGCTATAATACGTGAGGCGCATTATGAGGACGTGGACGGTTTTTGTCAATCATCACAGGAATATAGGAAAACTGCGTTTAGCACTAAAAGCCAGGCGCGTACTCATGCTTGTAACGAAGTAATGAATTTAATGCTAAGTCGCTAAGTTTCCTGTCGTGGTTCCATGACCGAATGGTCAAAGAACGAGACACCATAACCAAACATCTGTAATAGCGAGTAAATAGAAACAATATCTATGTCGCTGCTATCAATGCATTTCCATCAAACCGGGTTCTTTGTTTGCACTACCAAAGATAGTAGCCCCAACAATGGGTTGCATAACTCCTTTTGAGCGATAGATGGTTGAGACAAGGCTCCTTCACAGTTTACGTCTGGATATCTTGTTGTCAAATGTCATGAGCACTTCTTTAGTTAGAACAAAGGGAGTGTTATAATATTGTTACCAAACCTTTTACTTGATAAGACTCCCATCTCGGAAACAAGCGCTAAATGGTTGTGCTCCATCCGGCTGCACAAGACTCCGATTCACAAAATCCTACCAGATGGAGTCAATCAAAAAGTTTTTCTCGTCATGTACGAAATCAATTGAAAAGTCAAAGTCCAAAGGACGCCCTCAGATCAGTCAACCCGTAGAGGGAAGTTTCAAGCGTCTAACACCAGATATTGGCCTAGCAACAGAATGCGATAACCCAACCCAAATATCATCTTCTCCCCGTCGAGATAGCAGTCATCATCCAAATGGAAGCCCAACTATCCCTTTTACTCCAAAGGGGCGTGGCAGAGAAGAAACAATTGAGTGGTTGACAACAGGTACGTGCGACTCTCTCACTTCGCTGCTAAATGAACGAGACAAAGCCTCAAGACAGGTCAAGCTAGGGCCAAATACCAAAGGCATGAAAGAAGTCCAGCAAATTCTGAAAGAACCAAGCTGCCATACCATGAAGCAACTTCACAATTTGAAACAAGAAACAGAGGTAACTCTTCGATACGGCGCTCCAGGCGCCATGATGTTTAACTTTAGCAAAACTCTGGGCTGGAACCAGGCTTCCCAACCGCTTTCGCTACAATTGAGAAGTTTTGGGACTACGAAGGAAGAACCCAAACTTGTATCTGCCAGCATACCACCTTTGCCATTCTCACCTATAAGCTGGTTTGTGCTACCCCAGCAACCAGCACCAGTACAAATACCCTCAATGCATGAAGACAGAGGTGAGCAGCAGCAGCCACGACCACCATCTCCAATTTCCGAACCAGGAGGCTGGCGGGACGATACTGATCAAATAGACATCGCCGACATGCGGCTTGATCCATTCCTCGGGATGGCAGTAAGTGCAACAAATGGGGCCATTACCGATGACGATGACGATGAAGATGAAGATGAAGATGAAGATCTTGAAGGCGAGTTTTCGCGACATGGGAATGATGTAGTTTCGACTGAGGCGGTTGCTGTCAAGATAACCCCGGTCTCTACCGGCCAGGTTCACCAGGTCCGCATACGGAAAATTAAGTAGACATTAAAGAAGATAAGTACTACCCTTGTAAAGGCTTCGCTGCTTCGCTACCAATAATAACTATATATACTTGATGCTGTAATGAGAGGTCGGTGTTAATATAAGAATTAAAAATGGCATAATTGTTGAAGTGTTGGTATGGAAGCCTCCAGGACTGGAGGTTCTCGCATCCGAAACTGGAATCCCCCATACCACGTTTGCCCCACAGGGCGGAAACCTTCTCATGAGCCTCACCCGACGAAGTTTTGGATGAGATAAATGATCGCGGCCATTTTTATAACGATCACCACATAATTAAGGACATAGGTATTCTAACATAAATAATATACCTAAGTAAATGTTTTTATATAAATATCTCTATTTAAAATGTCTTTTAAGTGGAAGAAAGTAAGTATTATTTGAGAAGTTATTATTAATAGAAATAAATAACTGTGGCGCACAGTTAGGGAGACCGATAATAACAGTTACTTTAACATTAAACGGTAATTAATGGTCGCATTATTTAATACTATATGTACAAATGCTATATTACCCTTAAAGGGTATATTTAATAATATTAATAGGATTAACTTCCGTTTTACCTTTTAAGAATTAATTCCTTATAATAAAGAGAATATTTATAGTTAATTAAACTTAATTATTAATTTTAATATTAATAATATTAATTTAAAAATAAAGCTATCCTTTAATTTTAAAAAATAAAAAATTTTAATTATTTTATAAAATAAACTTTTAATATATTAATTTTAAATTATAGCTATTATTATTTTATTTATTCCTATTATATATTTAACTATAAGGTAAGTTAAAAAGCTTGTAACTTTTTTTCCAGCTATCGGTAGATGTATGGGCGTATTGTTATTAACATCCTAGAATTTAAAAGGGAATGAAATATTTTACCCATTAGTAAGGGCTACCTCCACCAGGCTCCGTATAGCCATATTTTAAAAATATGAGCTGGGATTAGTGTCCAGCCCCTAAAGATGCCTGAAAGTGGGAAAGGGGGCCAATCCCGTTTATTAAGAAGCCCCTTAGGCGGACTTCTATAGATACTAGCGCATAGGCCACATACTTCACAATTGCTAAATAGAAAGCGAAGCTTAAAAATGGAAAAAAAGGAGCCAGCTAATCCTCCGCTTATAGATACAAATTATAGCTATAAAGATTTTTATTAACCTAGCTATTTATATAATTCTTTTACAAGTTATATTCCTTTATAATAATAAGATTATATATAAATAGATTTTTTAATTAACTTAATAGTGTATACCTTTTAACTAATCTTAGCTATAGTAGAGTTTATATAATATAAGTCTATAGTTGGGTAAGTCGTTTAAAAATGCTTTCGCCGAGATATGATATCTTATATAAGGCGAACCGAATTAGAAAAAGGTTAGCTGACCTGCCTGATCTCGTATTAAATATTCGTGGGCACCCAAAATAGCTATAACAAGGGCAGTAGAACTGGGCTTGGAACTGAGGATTCTGATTACAATGATCAACTAGGGCTGCAGTAGTCCTTGACCAACCAACTCCTTCTCGGCTGTTGGTGGCTTGAGATGACTCTATATATAAATGATCTGCCAGCCTAGACCGCCTGGGTCTCTAGGGTCTGTTTCAAGAAGCGAAGTCTGTATAACCTCACTTTCCAATATTGCCTGCATGTCTTGGAAGGTCATGAACAGCCTGCAATGGTCCTTCGTACGGCCGAAGTGCAAGGCGAACTGCATTCTTCAACCGGTACAGAGGTTACACGTGTAACAATAGCAACTAAAACGACCGTAGTCGACGCCGACTCACTGCCTCTAGCTAACTACATCCATGAAGTACGAATTCCGCCTTGCTCCTTGCGATAGCGCAAGTCTGCGTGATATTGTACTCACCAATGACCAATCGCGAAGCGTATCCATCGTCCTAGCTGGCGGTAGTCCACAAGGCCCTCGCGTGTAGAAAACGGCTTTTGGTCTAGGTAGATGATAAAGCCACGTTATCTCGCTGTTTCACAATCCGAAGGAAAGTGAGGTAGTCTATACTGCAGCTTTAAAGGAGGCGCGTAATAAAACAGCTAAATTAGTTACGAGATTAGCAGTTTTATTTTACTAATAACCTATAGGACAATTAATTTATTAAGTGGATTTTGGGCTGTCTCCTTTTCTATAAGCTATTAGCTATAAAGCTTGAAGGTCGCAGAAGATGACAAATATGCTAGCTTAGGTGTAAAGTCTTGAGCGAAGCAGCAAACTTGGCTAAACTAGATCCCACACTCAAAGGCCGATTAAAAGAAGGACGCCGTAGAGAAGAGCCCTCGTGTCAGGGAACATTATAGCACTAGGGTAGAAGTTACCCCAAAGGGTAAAGACAGCGTAGAAGTTAACTATATAAAGGTGTCCAAGCTTCCTTTTTATATTTAAGGAGCTAGGAATTAATAATATTAAGCTTTTACCTATACCTTTAATTTATTTACTTTTTATATATTATTTATTAATAATTTAACCTTATTTTAAAATAAACTTTTATAATAAATTAATTCCTTTTTTTTTTATTTCTTAACTATTATTAAACTATTATAAATAATTATATTAAAGTTAAATAATATAATATCCTTTTATATCCTTAATAATTCTTTTAATAAAATTATAAATATTAAATTAAATATTAATACTTTTTTAAATTAATAATTAAATGTTAAAATTATAATAATAAAAAAAAAGCTAGCTTTATAAAAAAAACAAAAATAGCTTTAAAACCTATAAAGGGAAGTTAATACTTTAATTATTACTTTCCTTAAGAAAAGTATTAATAAATAAGCTATAAAGAAATTATAAAGTAAAATCTTTATTAAAATTAACTTATTTACCTTTAAATATAAAGGAAAGATTAAAGTTAAGCTTTCCTTCTTTTTTATTATATTATAATCCTATATTTACTTTATATAAATAGTAGCTTTAAAAACTTAATTAAAAGAAAATAGATTAACTTCCTTTTTATATATTATAAAAGTAATCCTATTTAAGTTTTTTAAAAAGCATTTTAATAATAGTTCTATATTAACATTTTAAATAATACTATTAATAGTTTAACTATAATATTAATATTATAAACCCTTATATAAAGAAATAATAAATCCTTTAATAACTTTTTAAAAAAATTTAAAAAAAGTAAAAATAAAAAACCTTAATAATTTATTAAATAAGGTATAAGTAATATACCTTTTAATAAAGTTAAATAATAAATTATAAATAAAAATTATTAAAGGATCTATTTTTTAAACTTATAATAAATTAATTATTATAATAAAAAGGATTAAATTATTAATAAAAGTTATAGGAATTTATACTTTAATAACTTTTTTTTAACTTTTATTAAATAAAATTAATTAAAGCTATTTTATTATTAAAGTTAAGCTTAACTTAATTATTAAATAATAGTTACCTTATAAAAATAAAAAATATAAAAAAAGTAATACCCTTTATATTAATATAAAAATAAAAAGTTAAAAACTTATTATTTATTATATTTATAAAAAAAAAGGGCTATATTATAACTATATATTTATAAAAGCTTCTTTAAAGAATAAAGTCCTATTATACTTATAAAAAAATAGGATATTTTTTTAAAGAGTATTTAAATTATAACTATATTATTAATATTATATTATTAAAGCTTTATTATAATATTATAAATATATTAATAGTTTTATTAAATTTTAACTATTAAGAAAACCTAACCCTTTATATTTACTTTAAAACTTAAATAAAGTTAAAAATAGAAGGGAAATAAATTATATTAAACAGGTTAATTAATTTTAAAGTGAATTATAATATAATTAACTTATAAATCTTACTTTAAAGAATTAAATTATAATTATATAATAATAATATATTTATTAATGGAATATTTAAAAAAGGGTAATTAAAAGAATAAATTAACTTTTTTATAAAAGTATATAATAATTTAAAAATAAATAAAAAAGTATTAATTAACTTTAAAGTTATAATAAACTTTTTATATAATATAATCCTTAAATTAATTTAAAAAAAGTAAATAAATTTAAATTTAAATTAAATTATAAAGAAGTAAATATATTATTTATAAAAAAAGGATATTACTTTTATATTAAATATAAAGGAATAATAAAGGGTTATAAAGAATTATAAAGTAATTATTATATTTATAATAATTAATATAATAGCTTTAAAAGGATAATTAATAATTAATAATAAAATAGTTATATTAAAGGAGTTAAAAGAATTTAAAAATTTAAAAAACATTAAATAAATTAACCTTTTATTAAAATACTATTTTTTAAAACATTTTATTAAATTAAAAAAAGGTAAAAAGCTATTATTTAAATTTATTTACTTATTAAATAATAAGGAATAAAAAGTATTATAAAAGTATATTAAATAAGCTTTAATAAAAGTGTAAATTTATTATTTAAATAGTTTAATTAATACCTTTATCCTTTTTATATTTAAAGTAAGAAATAAATTATAACTTTATATTAACTATAAGGGGCTAAACTAATTAATTAAAAAGGATTATATATTATTACCCTTAATTGGAAAAATATTAAATAAGGTTATTTATATTAAAGTCTTTATTAAGGTAAACTTAAAAGATATTTATTATTAATTATATATTTATAAAAGAAATAAATAAAAAATTATATTTTAAATAAAATATAACTATTTTAAATATTTAATTATACTTTTTAATTTTATTAATATACTTATTACTTTTTAATAATATATTAATTTATATTTATTAAATTAATAATGTATCTCTTATTTAACCTAGCTACTTAATTAACTTAGCTACATTTTTAACCTTTATATACATATAAAAAAAATCCCTTATTTCTTTATTAACAATTATAAAAACCCTTTATAAAGAAAGCAACCTATAATTTATACTTTAAGCTATTAAATAAAACTTAAAAATTATTTATTTAATATATTATTATTATTTATAATGTTTTTTATATAATATTTGCCTTTTAAATAAAAGGTTTTAAATTAATAAATAAAATATTACCTTTAAAAGCTTAATTAACTCCAGATAAAGAAAAATTAATTATATAATATATCTTTAATTTTATAATAAAATTATTTTTACCTTTATATAATTATATAAAAAATATAATTAATTAATTAATAATATTATAAGGTTAAAAGTTAATTAAAAAGAATTAAATAATAAACTTTATATAATAAAT